TGCAGGGGATGGAGAACGTTCTATGTTCACATGAAAGTGTCCTTTCCTTGGGCCATGGAGGGAGCGAAAATAGCATGACCTGGCTCAGCCACCGGGGCTGGGCACAAATGACGGGCAGGCAGGCAGGATCAAGCAGTCCTGGGGAAGAATCTGTGCCAGAGGAAACATCCCTTCCTAAGTCTTCTCCACCAAGGAGGGGGGATGGGTTTTCTTCTTTCCCTTGTGCTTTTTCCTGGCTGGCTATCCTGTACAAACTGTCCCAAAGGTGTTCCAGGACTAATGTACTTTCTTGCCCTGTGCCTGATACTTCTCATTTTGTGTCTGATTCATTAACAGAAAAAAATAGCATCTTCAAAGGCTAGGTTCAGTAAGAGATGGGGAGGGCTGTAGCTCAGCGTGCCCGCTGAACACAGAAGGTCCCGGCTTCAGCCCCCACCCCGCCCCCACTGGTCCAAACTACTCAGGTAGTGGGGTCCCACAGCCCTGCCTGAAACCTCAGGGAGCTCCTGCCCATCAACTGCTGTTCCCCATTCGTTGTTTCTAGATCCCAAGAAAGTTTGAAACAGAGGGAAATGAGTAAGCAACTGAGGTTTATATGCTACTGCGCTCAAAAATGAAGTTTGGACTACCAAATGAGTTTTGGGCTTCCCTCTGAAGGGTTGGGGAGCATTTGGTGAAGTTCAGTTCACACAGGGAGCTCAACATGGGGGACAGCCGGGTCTAGCGAATCCTTTTTCTTTGCAGCAGTGCAACATTGGGATAAGCGACAAAATAAGGTGGTGAGTGGACAAAGATTATTCCTGGCCTGCAGCATCCCTGTGCCTTGAAGTGGAAGACCATGAGCCTCATCTAAGGAAAACCTCTGATGCAAACGGGAATTATGAGAATTAGGTGGGATACAGACTGGCCCTCATGATTGGCAGAGCCTGGTCAAGCAGAGCTTCTTCGCTGGAAGTGTGCAGGGGAGCAGTCTTCCGCTTTTCCTCCTCCTCACTGCAGCACCACCTCGCAGCCTATTCTGGAGGGTCTCCCTTCAAGGGCACAGGAAGCATTGGTGATGATCACGGTGCCACAGTTGCTTGTGGTGTCATTCACTTTGCAGAATTTCTGCTTTGTGCAGCTTTGGATCCAACCCACTGTAGTTATGTGAACGAACTGTAAATGTTGATAAATTGGTTACCAAAGAGAAAGCATGACTCAATCCATTTTTGGATAGATTGGGATGACTTCAGGGTCCCCCGAACAATTATTTATTACTTATTATATTTGTATTCTGCCTTTTCTCCTTCAGAAATACTGAAGGTGGCTTACCTAATTCTCCTCTTTACAATCTTACCCTCACAACAACAACCCTGTAGAGTAAGTTGGGCTAGGAGTCTGTTGGAATCCAAGGACACCCAGTGAATTCCATGGCAGCGTGGGGATTCGAACCTAGACTGCCCGGGTCCCAGTCCTGCACTCTTAACCACTGCACCACACTGGCTCTCTACACGGATTACAGAATTCAGCTGTAGGGATTTCCTATTTCTTTTTTCACATTCTTTTCAATGAGAGCAGTGAGCTACCTAACTAAGCTTTGTGCGGCTGCTCACAATCTTAATGTTTATTCATGGTTTTAACAATTTTAACATAAGCATTTCAGAATCAGTACAAAAATAATTTAAATAAACAAAAATACTGGAGAATGGATTATGCATATCAAGATTATCTGCAGTAACCTATTTTTGTATGCAATATATTTAAACAACTTAGCATTAGCTTTGCACTACACTGCAAAGTAATGTTTATGGAGCATTATTTGTAACATGTTTCAAATCTTTGCTAATTCTTTCTTTCAACCCCTTGCAAAAGTAGTTATTGCTTCCTTTTCAAGCACCGGAAGCCCAGGCAGAAGATGGCGATAACCCTAGGCTATACAGTGCAGCCCAGCTGACTTCCCACTCTGGAGTTCAGTCCTTGAAATGCCCATGTTCAACCCTCCATCCACTGGTACACATTAGCCTTATGAAAATGTGAGAATTGTAGATTTATACATAAAGGATTAGCCACAGAGTCGGGCATCAGATTGTTTCCATGCCGAATCTAACAGTCCACTAGCAACGTCTTACTAAGAGCAAAGAAACTCCAGTTCCCCTTACCCTAAGGGGCACCTTCTTCTAAACCAAACAATAAAATGTCAAATTTGCTTAGCATATACCTCTGTTAACTCAGACTGAGTGAAAATTACACCTGACATGACCAGTACACACAGTTGCAACCTGTGAGTCAAAGGATGGTTCCCCCTTATCTTGCAATTATTTCTGTGGAATGTCAAAGTTATTTGAGAAATTGTATCATGTCATGGAGAAATGCTTCTGACCTCAGGTACAGAAAGTAAACTCCTCTCCCAGTTACGTCTCCGATGTTGTGCAATCATAGGGTTATTTGTAAGCTTTTGTTATCAACTTAATATAGTTAATCAATTTAAAATATTCAGCCCAGTGTATAACCTTCACTATAGATAAAGAAATGGCAATTGCTGCAGTTGTCCTTTATTATACTCACTGGGCTTTCAATTCTATGGATTGCATGCTGAGTTTTAGAGATGGGGCTAGCAGCTTATTTCTTCTGCACTTGACAGCTGAATATGGAAGTGAGGAAGGGCTGCAGCAGCCCAGGGATAAGTGCATGTTTAGCATGTATGACACTCAACGGCCCAGCGCCACCAGGTAAAGAATGCCATGGCTGCTTTATATGCTAAAAACACAGGACCCCAGTGGAAAGTTGTGCATGTTCCCACTTGAACCCAAGACATGCTAGGCATCTCATTTTAGACCTGGGGTACTCCTCAAATGTGCAGAGTCCTTGTTTCTGGATTCCTGCAGCTTCTCTTCGACAGGCTGTGTGGGGTGCTGGCTAGTTAGACTGTTGGATGAGGACTTGGGATGTCGAGGTTTGAGTCCCAGCCGGCTTTAAAGCTCACTGGGTGACTTTGGACCAGTCACTTACTCTCACTCTCCAGTCCAACCTACCTCACAGGGTTGTTGCTGTGAGGATAAAATGAAGCTAGTAAGCTGCCTTGGGTTCCTCACAAGAGGGAAAAAGGTGGGGTATAAATGCAATGCAGTAGTAATAATAATACACGATTAAATGAATCACATACATTTGCTTCCCATGTTATAAGATGTAAAGAAATACAGTAAATCAGTAATGTGAAAAATGTGGGAAATATGTGGAAGAGCTGGTACCAGTCAGTCAACTGCACTTAATGAGACAGCACTGGTTTCACTCAGAATAAGGCAGTGCCTCATCAAAAGCATCCACCTTTGGCCACATTTTCATCTTCCAGTAGAAATAAAACTCTTTATGACTTCACCAAAGCTGAGGAACAAAAACACTTTGAATGCTGTGGACTCAGCTACAAAGCTTCCATAAAATAACTTTCAATGCCACTTCTGTATGACCCATTTCCAAGTGAATCTTCCACTTAGCAACCGACATTTCTACACCAGTGTCAGCTGGTGATCACAACTGCTACCATAAGTTGCCACGTGCAGGTGAAAGCATAGCGTCAGCTGTGGTATCCCTGTAGATTGTTTATCTGGATTGGGGTTGGGAAGCACGGTGTTAAAATGGTTCTGGTCCTTCCGGGAGGAAGCCTCAGAAAGCAGCACTGAAGGGCTTTTGTACCCCTGCATGGCTGCGAGCCTTGGGGCTTTGCAAGACTCCATTTTGGACCCCATGCTTTTTAACATCAACATAAAACTTAAGTGAAGCCACGAGGAGATTGTGGATAACATGCAGCTCTATCTCATTTCCATCTATACATTCCAGGGAGGAGGTCAAACCTGTGAATCAGTCCAAATCTGGAGGTTCTATTGGGGTGGATGACGGCACACAGTCCACAATTTAATCCAGCAAAGGCTGAAGTAGGTTTGCAACTAAACCGAGATGGGGTAGCACTCCCCAATTATGCAGCCTCGGATGCCTTTTGGAATCTGAACCAACTAGGGAAGCCCAGGTGGCTGCATTGCTTAGGAAAGATGTTGTTAGTCACGAAGTCGTGTCCGACCCATCGCAACCCCATGGACAACACTCCTCCAGGCTCTCCTGTCCTCCACCATCTCTGAGTCCACCCAAGCTCACACCCACTGCCCCAGTGACTCCATCCAGCCACCTCATCCTCTGCCGTCCCTTCTCCTTTTGCCAGCATGCTTAGGGATGCATGACACCCACTTAAGCTGGTATGCCAGCAGCGGCCCTACTGGGAAAGGTGACCCTGCCCTAGTTGATCACGCACTAGCGACATCCAGTCAGACTTCTATGTGCTGCATATCGGACTATCTTTGAAGATGGTTCGGAAACTGCAACTGATGCGGCAATCTAAATGTTGGTGGGATGTCCACTCGTGCAACCCCTGAACTCCACCCGCTGCACTTGGTGCCTGCGTTCTCCTGATCCCCGTTCAGTGCTAGTATGCCGATCTCCTTAGAAAGCCTCTCCCACCCTGCTATGTGGGATGCTTCACTGCCTCAGGGCCGCCCAGAGTGCCAGGCAGCCTTGGTGAGGTTATTCTGGCAACGGACAGACACATTTCCTCTTGCCTCTTCCGCTCAGAATGAGGCCGGCCAGAAGGGTCCGCTTGCCCTTTCTGATATCACTGTATCGCTGGATACGCAATGCCATGTCATCGTGCCGTCCATGGGATCTCTGGTTTGATGGAAGACTTTCACTGGGGGTTTGCCTTTAAAAAACGACGCCGGAGCTGCTATCAGGGAAAGCAGAGGACAAATCTAAGTAACAGACGCTGTGGGTGGGAGTGCAGACTGAGGCACCCAGACAGCACCCAAACATTCACTGCCGGGCTACATAACGCACCAGTCAGTACTCGATTCCTAAAACTACTGTGAAATGAGCTGCCAAAATAGCATAAACATATAAAATATTAATAATATTCATTGTGGGTCTGAGTGACTGAGGAATACTTTTTCAACAAAACATAAAACATCTTCCAGATATTCATGTATGTGTTTGTGTGTATGCACGCATTAAAAAACTTTATTGTAACATTTTAGTTTCAATAATACATTTCCAGTACACACAAAACCAGTCTCACTGGCAGCCATGGGTGTAAAAATGCCAGAAACACCATGTGAGATCCAAACATATTTCCATTCACACATGGGAGCGGTAAAAACTCCTTCTAGCAGCAGCCCTTCCAAGTATACCTGCTTGCCTCTTGGGAGGAAGGATGGGGGCTACTGCGTCAAGGGGAAGCTTTACTGCTCCCCTGAACAAGTGGAACAGCTGCCTTCTTCTGCTGGATTGCATTCACAATTCCCTACCTTTGGGCCCATTTAATTCATTTTTCTTGCTGGCTCAAAATCCCAGCAGTGGTACAAGTTGCAAACAGCAAGGCCACAACAAGGTATAATTCCATCCCTTCGGAAATTAGCATACAACTGTGTGTAGCTCCAAACATTTTATCTTTCTTAAAAACACTTTGGCTGACCTTCAGAGCACGCAGAATGTAACGGAATACAATAATTAATGCTGAAGGATCAACATGTGTGTGTATGTCTCTCTGTGTGCATGTTATGCACAGCTCTCAAAAAGCTGTTCCTGACCTAGCTGCCATCTGTTTGGTCCACTTTTTCCAATTCTATCTTAAAAGAAACTAAACAAGCTGTTGTGCAGTTTTCATGCTACTTCCAATGTTTCAAGAAGTTAGACTGGTAAAATGGCATAACCTGCATTCAATCTATCTTGGGCAAGAGAGTCACAAGATGGTAGCCATTTCATCATCAACCATTAATATGAACCAGAACTGTTGCATCTTAACTTTTGTCAGAGCAGCATTCAGCGACAGGGAAATAACACAGTGATTATCATATAAATGGCTGAAGTATATATATTCTACTCAAGAATCTAGAAATAATCTAATTCTTCAGTTTCAGACTTCTCCTTTCAAAATGCATCAGTTCCCTTATGACTAAGAAGTTATGTCTTTAAGGGCACAGTCTTATGTTTCATGGCCTCAAATTTTCCAACTTTGGAGGCTTACGTGCATCCTATGCTCCAAGAAAGACATGGCACTCTTCACCACTGATGCATCTTGTGCCAGGTGCTGTTTCTGGCCATCTAGAAAGTGTCAGGGAATGGAATCAGATGGAATCAAGGTAGGCCTGTGGCCCCGGCTTCCTCACCTTCCCGCCCCCAGCATGATCCCCCTTTTCTCCTCTGAAGCACAGCCGTGACCTGGGAATGGGGGGAAGCTGGCAGGCTCCTTTCCACTCCTGTGAGGAAGAAGAGGCAAGGGCTCACCCTTGAAAACTCAGTTCCAAAACTCAAAAAGATCCTGTGGTCACCCAGACACAGGACTGGTACTAAACTGAAGTAAGGAGAGAGCAGATCACAGCTATCATATGCAAATCCAATCATTTTATATTTAACATATTCTGGAATGACATCACTCTTAATTGCTAACTGGTAACACAACACACTAATTAAAAATAGGTGCAACTATTTCAAAAGAAAGATCCACAGACTTAAAGGCTACTAAGATATAAAAACATTTCTATTTCATGTACAGCATTTGAAAAGGTAGACTTGTGGAAGAAAGCAAGCTTTCCTTGCCTTTACTGATCACTTCCACCCTTGTTCAATGCAGATTCTCATCTTGCTCTTCTTCCAAAGAAGTCAGAAATGTAGCATTTAAACTTCCGAACTCTTCACACACTGCTTTCTTAAATGAAAGATTCAAAGTCACCCTATAAGAAAATACGGTTCATGTGCTCCTATGTTGGCAGTTTCAAGCTTGGGAATCTCTTTCCTAGGCTGTCAGCAAGGGCCTGATCAGCTTCATGCAGCACTTCAAGAAAACTCTCCACCTGGAGATAAAATATTCGTGTCAATGAACATATCAGATGGGATACAGGAATTGAGAGCCAAAACCAGAGTATTTAGCCAAGCAGCTTGAACAGGTTAATGAGCTGCCCACATGGATTATTTAAATCCTTTCAATATTTTAGCTGACTCTGCACCAGCTAATGCTATTGAAGTTCAGATTATTTTTTGCTTACTCAATGTCTAATTCCTTTCATGATCTCCTAGAAGTCCAATTTCACTTGTATAAGTGAATACAAATAGCGAGCAGCAGCTATGACACTGCAGACAGACTTCCTAAATTGTTTACTGTTTAAAATGCTATCTTGGAAACACACATTTATGTGCAAAGTGTGGGAAGAAAATCACTGCTTTGGCTCAAAAAGCAAGAGACAAACAACTCTGTAAAAGGATGCGTTAAACAGATACAGTGTTCTGCAGTGGAGACCAAGATAGCCATTTATCCCATGGTAGCACTAATTTGCAATTATATCCACAACCTCATACAAAAGTTGATGTGGGAAGGCCATCATACCCATACAAATACAGATCTTTCTGATATCATTCTTCTTGATTATTGTGGCTTCTCTGGAATTTCAGGCTGCCAGATGCATGCAGGTACAGCAATGCTCACTTCAGAGGTAGCAGAACTACAACACGCACAAAAATGTCTTCCTAAGGTATAAGGCTTTCTGTCTTCCCTTCAGGCTCACAGGAACTACTGCAGCCATCTAGGTACAGTTAGACTCTTATGCACACTTTCTAGCACACGTTCACAGGACCAGGCTACTGACTGCAGCAGGGCTGCGCAGACCCCCAGTTCCTGCCCTCCTTGCTCTTGCAATCTAAGAGTCTGCTTGTTCCGCAACATGAGTTCCTTTATTTTGGCAGCAGCACTCAGTTAGAGGCATATCTGACACATAGAACAGGTAAAAACAAACTTCATGGACTAAAGCTTTGGTATAACAAAGAAATTTGGAGACTGCTGGATACTGGGCCCCAATGCCAAAGGAAGCAGGCTGTGTAGCTTGGAGAGCGAGGGCAGGACTGCGGTGATACTGATTTTCCAGCCTAATCTTTGACTGCAGGCCTCTCGTCTTTCAGACGATGTCGTTTTGTCAAAAGCTCTTCTCAATCTATCCTTATCGTCATGTCAAATACAGTTTTTCAGGTATTTCCAAGATCATACGTACCGAAGATAAATACAAAGGGAGGAGATTCTGAAACGCACAGCAACATTTCTGTTCGTTTAAATGACCTTGTTTGAGCCCCTCCAGTATGTTCTCCTGAAAACACCAAATCATTATTAATTCATATACATATTTAAATACAGCATATTTCTGTTGACACTACACTGGATCAAGCAGCATGCTTATGCTATTGTACAGCTGATAAATGGAACTGAAGTGCTAGTGAACTTGTCTAACGTGCTCATGAAAAACTTCATGATGGAGCCCAAGCGATTCAAGAGGGATCAACACACTTTGATATTGGTAACAGATCCTTATATGAGGATTGAGATCCAATATTCTGGTGAATGGAGATGGCTGTACTGCATGACTGTCCTGTATGCCTCGGAAACCTGGTGTGAATGCCAGACCTCTGGGTCAGCCCGAATGCAGCACCAGAACTGCATCGGGAATGTTCTGATTGCAGGACTTCCTAGACAAGAACTGAGAATCCAGTTTTTAAAACAAAAGAGGACAGGTGTACATTCTCCTTCAACCAAAATAAGTTAAAATGTTCATAAAGAGAACAAAAGTTTTAACTAGTTGAAAACATCTTGTCCTCTACTTTGTAAGTATTTAAATCAGCTACATCAAAATAGAGTTTCAGTTCACATAATTGCTTTTAAATCCAAGTCTGCCACATGCAAGAGAAGTTTCCCCATCATTTCTGATGTGGTGAAGTAGTGCTGTGAAAGCATCCACATTTGATGAAATCCAGTCCCCACACCTTGGAAAACAAGATGTTTCAAAGCTGACCAAAGGATTGTGGGGATCATCGCAATGGTGAAAAGGCCAGGGTGAACTGAAAAGAAGGTTGAGTACCATCTCTTCTACCCCTGGAAGCTTGTATGATGTTTACCTTTGATAACTCCTGAAGCATATGGGAGAGTAGCTCACAACAAATGTCCTTCAATATTTTTAAATGGAAATCTTCCTCAGTTGTTCCCAGCTTCTCAGCCTTCTCTGACTTGGATTCACTGGAGCTGTCTCTAGATCTCTTTCCACATTCATCCAAGTTTTGCAAGACTCTAATCAAGCTTTCAATTAGAGGCATATCTGATATACAAAACAGGTAAAAACAAACTTTATGTGCTGATATGAGGTGGCATGGGCAGTCTATGATAGCGAACAGAACAAAAGGCCTTGACATGTGAATATTCTGATAGAAAATCAACACTTACTTTTACATGCTTTATCACAAATACAACTAAAGGATTTCCATGGGGCAAAATGGCCATCGTGCCCTCACCCACAAAGAAGCACAAGCCCTTATAAAGGGAGAGGACCCAGCAACATGGCAAAGTTATATAAACTGGAAAGTCACACAGTTACCATTTACAAATTGGTGAGAGGGCGCCAGCGTGGTGTTGTGGTTACTGTGTTGGACTGGGACTCAGGAAATCTGGGTTCTAGCCCACTCTTAGCCATGAAATCCATTGTGCAATTTTGGGCCAGAGACATATTTTCAGCCTAACCTACCTCACAGGATTGTTGTTGTGAGGATAAAACAGAGAGGAGAACCTTATAAGCTGCCTTGAGTTCCTCACAAGAAAGGCGGGGTAAAAATGCAATGTAATAATAAAGATAATTTTGCTACAGCTGGATGAGCACATTCCTGTAAATTTTCCTCATTCCCCATCAACCAGTATGACCCTTCCTGCACTACTGAAAATTTTTCTCTCTATAACACCGTTATACTCTAACATTTTAAGGAACATAGTTTAAGGGTTTAAATTTTTATAAGTAGGAAAAAAACTTGCTTTTCTCCATCTTGACATACTCCTGTTCAGTCTGTGAAGCAAAGATGGCTGAGAGCACAGATAAAATCGAAGCTAACACTGTCTTTTGTTCTTGAACAATAATTGGTGGATCATCCGGCTGGCAGAGTTCATGGCAAAGAAGATTATACAGCAGACTCCAACTTTCTTTTCCACTATCAGGAGAATGTACTTGAGAACGAGACAAATGCCAGTCAGTCAACATGTGACCAAAATCTTGACCAAAGGACTATTTACAGATACAGTCACAATGTAAGTACAAGTCAGAAATATTACCAATTGCTTGAATGCCTTCATCCACAGTAGTGAGCAGCTGTAGAATATGCATATAGACATCAAGTCCTTCTGAATTGTTATCTGAGCTGCAGTCAAGAATTACAAATTCAGTTCAGAACTATTACCATTCAATCCTTGTGCGTATGCAAGATAGATTTATCAAAATATTTCTATCTAACCACTCTGTCAATTACTCCCAAGCTGGCTAAACAGACATGTTTATTCAGGTTTCCATTTCCAGTAATACTTAAATAAGTTCCCCACTTAAGTGAATAAATCTCACCAACCATTAAAAATAAACCTAGAGAAAGGCATATAGCGGCATATTCCTATTATAAATAGGATATCCATGTTATTTTGTGTTCCTTTGTGTGGGCATCCAGGTGGACCATGGACTTTACAACACAGAAGCCTTCAAGCCATATTGTGTCCCACATAAGCTGAAGGTCCAAACGGTCCCTAAGCCTTGTGAATAGAGTGCTGCTAAGAGCAACTGCATATTTCTACAGCTTGTCATGACAGTAGCAGAACAAGCAAGCAAGCAAAGCATCAGCACAAACTTGCTTCATGCAGAAGGCTCAATTGTGACTGGTATCCAAGATATCTAACACAGAGAACTGCTGCAGAATCAGTAGTAAGTTACTAAAGGTAACAGCATATGAGCTTCCTTCTGCAGCAACTTCTGTGGTTAAATTACTTCCAAAGACCAACTCACCTATGGAACTTTTTGAAGAGCATTTTAGATAATCAAAACTGGGTGCAAGCATGCCAAAAAGTCTCTACTAATAAAATATCCCCACTCTGCTTAATCAGGTATATATTTTTCTTGTGAATGTATAAGAAATCCTTTATAAAAGTGACTTCAAAGATCCTTCTCAAAAGGTGAAAGCTGATGTGGTTTAATCAGTCAAAAGTGAGAGCAGGACCAGAAAAAGCTTCAGTTTGAACTTCCACACAGCAATGAAGTTCATTGAATGACCACGGGCCAATCAACCTACTGTACCGGACAGGATTAATATTATGAGAAACTGAGAAGGAAGAATCATGTACGTTATTTCAAGCTTCTTGGGAAAGGTTGGTGGGGGGGGGAGTGTAATAAATGGTAAAAAAGCCAGGAATAAGAACAGATATATTTGATCACTTGTTTTACATTTTTGCTTACTTTTTTCCAACACAGTACAATGTGAAGGAGCTGTAACACCGATTCATATATATATCCATGTATGTACAGCCACAGACATACCAGACTTGTTTTGTAGCTTCAAGCAGACAAGGTACAATCTTGAAATCCGGAAGCTCATCGGAAGAATCATCTGTAAGCTGCCTCACTGATGGCTGAGAACTCCTTTTAATCCAGTTTAACATCAATTCTTCATCTAAATCAAACAATTTATCAACCACTTCACCAATTTTCACCAGCAACTCCACTGTAATAAAAATTAAAAATAATTTCAATACTGATGGACTAATACCACCAAAAATACTTTCGGTCACATGTTATAAAGCAAAACTTTAACATTCTTTCAAGATTTTAGTATAGTTTCTTCTGGATGTATGCATTAATAATAATGATTAATTAGATAGGCAGCGTGTTGCCCCAGGGCTTATTACGCCTATTACAGCAAAGTGGCTGAACACTTACACAACCAACAAGTGCAAGTTTGGTTTTGTTTATTTAAGTTTTGTGACACAATAGTTTGTACCTTCACAGAGTTCAGACTTTTGTGTACATCAAGTGGTAACAATGCCTATTGAATCCATTTCAATTTCAGGTTGTAACACAATAAAATGTGGAAAATCAAAGGGACATGAATACTCCTGCAAGGCACTGTAGCATTTAAAACTGAACAACCCCAAAATCTGGTATTCAGCAGTAAGCATGTGCACTCAAGTGAGTTCTGAGCAGCAGGCCAACACCATGAATTTAAATAAACAGGGTATAATAAAAAAGACCAAATTTAGTATACGAGTGGAAATTATTTTTATTCAACTTCCATATCAGAATGCTGGCAGCTACAGCTCATGCCTTAATGAACACTGTTCAGATGGGGATGTGTGAATCTCATTTGAAGGCAAGAGTTAAGGGTGCAATGCTATGGCCCCCAGAACATTGTTGGGGGGCGGGGAGGCATAGGATATTAAAGATTTTCACCTCCAAGGTCATGTTGCTGACACCACCCAGACAGCTTCAGTAATTGGGCAGCAGAGAAAATAAATACATAAACAGGCAGAGCTGCAACCTTAGGCTGAAAGTTCCAGTTCAGATCCTCATCTTTACCTGCTCCCAACTACTACAGATAGCTCCTCTTGAGGACAGAGAGAGGAAAAAAGGCATGCTGGAGAGCAGGTAGGGTTGGGAGGAGGAGAGGCCGAGATTCATTGTATTCTGCAGCCTCTCAGCACTACTCATCAATTGCCAGTGCAACTTCACTCAATGGGCTCAGAGGCTCATTGAGTAGAAAGGTTTTAAAAACCTCTGGGCAAGGTGTTAGAGCGAGTGGTGGCGGGACAACTCCAAGCACTCTTGGATGAAACTGATTATCGGGACCCATTTCAGTCCGGCTTCAGACCCGGGTACGGTACTGAATCTGCCTTGGTCGCCCTGTACGATGACCTGTGCAGGGAGAAGGACAGGGGGAGTGCGTCCCTGTTGGTTCTCCTGGACCTCTCAGCGGCTTTCGATACCATCGACCATGGTATCCTTCTGGATAGGCTTGCGGGATTGGGGGTCGGAGGCACTGCTTTGCAGTGGTTCCGCTCCTATCTCAACGGCCGGTTCCAGAAGGTGGTGCTGGGGGACTATGGCTCTGTGCCATGGCAGCTATGCCATGGAGTACCGCAGGGGTCCATTTTGTCCCCTTTGCTGTTTAACATCTACATGAAACCGCTGGGAGAGGTCATCAGGAGGTGTGGGCTGCGGAATCATCAGTACGCTGATGATACCCAGCTCTACCTCTCGTTTTCCACCAATCCAGGTGAGGCAGTGGCTGTACTGAACCGGTGCCTGGCCGAGGTAATGGGCTGGATGAGGGCCAATAAACTGAAGCTCAATCCAGACAAGACGAAGGTCCTGTTGGTTGGCGGATCGGGCTTCGGAGAGGGTGAAGTGACCCTTGCCCTGAACGGGGTTGCACTCCCTCCTAGGGACAAGGTCCGCAGCTTGGGAGTGCTCCTCGACCCGGAGCTCTCACTGGAAGCTCAGGTAACAGCAGTGGCGAGGAGCGCTTTCCTCCAGCTTCGGCTGATTCATCAGCTGCGCCCCTACCTGGAGAACGACTGCCTGGCGACAGTGACACATGCACTGGTGACTTCCCGTCTTGACTTCTGTAACGTGCTCTATGTGGGGCTACCCTTGAAGACGGTCCGGATACTTCAGTTGGTTCAAAATAGAGCTGCCAGGCTGCTGACGGGGACTGGGCGTTATGGTCACATGACTCCAGTTCTCCGTCAGCTTCACTGGCTTCCCATTGAAGTCCGGGCCCAATTCAAGGTGTTGGCAATGACCTATAAAGCCCTAAATGGCTTGGGTCCTGGTTACCTGAAGGAGCGCTTACGTCCATATATGCCCAGCTGCCCCTTGAGATCAGCGGGAGAGGCCCTTCTCCGGGAACCCTCCGGGAAGGAAATTAGGAGGGTGGCTACTCGGAGGAGGGCTTTCTCTGCGGTGGTGCCCAACTTATGGAACATGCTCCCCAGAGAGGTCTGCCTGGCGCCGTCGTTATTTGCTTTTCGGCGCCAGGCAAAAACCTTTTTATTTAAGCGGTATTTTAACTGTTAGTATTAACTGATTTTATCTGGCCAGGGCGGCTTATTTTATATTGTATTTTTTGGATTTTTAATGTTTATATTAATTTATTGTTGTAAGCCGCCCCGAGGCTTCGGCGAATGGGGCGGCATAAAAATGTTTTAATAAATAAATACAAAATAAAAAATAAAAAGAGGACAGAGAAACAAAATGGCCTCTGTTGTTCCTCCTGCCCTGCCAACATTGGCAGTCTCCATCTAACGCGTGGCAACCAAGAGGGTTGCACCCTCAATGATCAAGTTGCATGTGCTTTATAAAAAAAGCCACGTGGGGCAGAGAAAAACTGGACCTGGTGGAACTGGAACTGATGCAGAAGTATGCTTGCATACTGGGAATTATTTTGTTCCTTCCTTCAGTTGTAGGGAAAGCTTGTACCCTTTTTATTAAAACCATTGATCTGACAAATCAATTCTTCAAATGATTAGGTAACCTACCATTTGTAGAACTAGACATGATAAAACAGATACAGTCATATACTGATGGACTTTCTTGGATTCTTTCCACCCAAATACTGGCCACTTCAGATTGGCAGAGGCAAGTCAGCAACAACCTAAAGAGAAAATGTAAATTTAACTGACATGGGATTTAAAAAAAAACAGATTCAGGATGCAATCATTCAAATGCAGAGAATTAAACTACGCTGAGCTCAATGGAACTTATTTCCAAGTAAACATGTATAGGAATGCAATCTTAATTTTTTTCTTGCAATTGTGTAAATGAAACAAGCCTATTAGATATACAATTAAACTATAAATCTTACTTAAGATAAATGAAATTAATTCAGCTGTGACATTTAAGTATGGGAAGAATAAGAACTGGGAAAACTTAGGATTTCTACCAAGTTCTGTAGTACTAACTCCAGAGGAAGCAAAGAAAGGAATAAACCCCAAATTTAGAAAACAAAAGAGGGGCGAACTAATCCTTTATTTATATGCATTAGAGCACAATACCTAGCAGTGTTCGGTGTTGAGATATTTTAACAAATAGCTTACCTGCTTGTTTCAAGCAGAGTTGGGGAATCAGAATCACATAAACGCTGCAGCACCATTTGTCTGGAAAAGTAAAAACACACTGCTAATATCATCTAAACATGCTATCAAAGAGGAGACAGCAAGGACTAATTTCCCATCACTTCTGAATCTTTGCTCAAACAGACATCATCATCTCCTAAACACATATTTCAGAAATGGATCACTGCAAAATTAGAAAGCTGGTATAGTCGGGGGGCACACATTACAACAACACCGTTATACAATCATAAAAGACACAGACCTATCACTCTGAATTACACCAATTTGCTGAGTAGCCTTTAGCAAGGTCACTTAGGCCAGACTCCACAAAGTACTTGCCTATGGTTGTTCTGATACTGTTTAGCGATTCCACTACACCAGCCCTGCCTTAGCTGCAGGAAGGAATGATAACAGCAATTACAACGACATCAGCCATTGTAATTACAGTTACAGTGGGCAGATCAGGGAACAGGAATGCAACAAGCTGCCTTATATTCAGTCAGACCAGACCACTGGTCACCTAACTCAGCACTGCCTATACTGATTGGCAGTGATTCTCTGGAGCGCCAGTCAGGGGGGTTTCTGCCTTACCTGGGGATATTGTGGACTAAACCTGGGACTTCTGGCATTCAAAGAAAATGCTCCATCACATGTGTTTTCTCTAATTAAAGAATAAACTGTTTTTGTCAACTACACAACCATATATTCTCTTTCACACAGCAAAGCTAAAACATCTGATCGAACACAATAAACTGTCCAAGATCCAGACCGTATAATTAGTTCCATAAACCAAAGGGAGCTTTGGAACAGCAACAGTAGATAGATGTTAGTAGATAGCACAGGTCTTCCTGTGCTTTCTGAGAATATATGATTATCAAAAGAAAGAGTGAAAGATCACTGAGGAAACATGCTACAGCTCACCCACAACAAAAACTGACAGTCTTCAAGGCTGGGAGGTACGACTGTCAACAACATGAAGGTAAGCGAAAGCTGCCCTGGCCTCACCAGAGGGAAAAATAAGCACCGGGTGTGCGCAGGTGCATCTGAACACACATCAAAACCAATGACAGTGAGAGCGATCATTTCACTATTCTATCATTTGAAAATCTCAAGCTTGGACGGATGGCCACATACATGTGTGTTTTCAGCTTGGTCCATAACATTATCCACTCAGGCAGACACCCAGACAACCCTGCTAAAATGCCCAGCTAACATTTTACCCAAGACAAGTTCTACTACGTGCCTCATTAATGAATTAATTAATTAATGCTAACTCCCCAAAGACTAAATTTTAGAACTACCTGGGCCCTTTTCCAGTCCTACCTAAACTTTCCCAATACTATTACATGATTACTTCCTCTCGCTCCTTTTTACCAAAGTACCTTTCTCCTCTTTTATCTTCCTTATTTTCAATTTAAACCATATTTTCTTTCTTCATTGCTCTTGCCCTCCTTCGAACAAGCACCTTTTAATTTTGCCATTTCCTAAGACACTCTCTCAACCATTCCTAGCTCTCCCTCCTCCTTTCTGCACCCCACACAACAAAACATAAAATATAAGGTCTCGATGTATGATTTCCCCCTCAATTACTCATGGCCCTTACATTCTGACTCTGACCCCTGCCAATCCAGAGCAAAAGCTATCACTATAGCTTCTTATTCACCAGACTCAAAGACTTCCTGACCTATCTTACATCCACTTGCCCTTATAACTACTGATGCTCCTTTCCAACTTCACCAATGTTAACACCAGCTACTGGTCTTCCTTTCATTCTATTAAGGACCCATGTCCGTCAACAGGGCTTTAACAGGTGTAAGAGCAGAAACTAGAGCCTGAAGAACTTAAGGTGCCAAATCCTAAGGACGTAACAGCAGCCATGATGGATCAGACCAAGGGTCCATCTTGCTCAGCCTTTTGTTTAGGGGCCAAACAGCTGCCTGTGGGAAAGCGCCAAACAGGAAAGAGTACAGGAGACTGTGTACATGGGTATACTGTTCTTGACACTGGAGTTAGTACACAGTCATTAAGAACAGAAGCCATTCTCTCACCAATCAGCTACATGGGATGACTGGAAGTTCTAGTATTATGAGAAAAAGAGAAAAATGTCACTCTCTCCACACCATGTGCGATTTTATATTACTCTATCATATCTCCCATCACACCCTCTCCTTCTAAGTTAAACAGACCCAGATGTTCTAATCCTTTCTCATAAGGGGTTTCATCTAGCCCACTGACCTTTTAAGCTGTCCTTTTCTGGACTTAGTTTCTAACTCTACCATATCCTTTTATTGCGTGCAGGAGCCAGAATTGTACAAAGCATTCCAAGTGTGGTTGCACAATATATTTGCATGAGGGTGGTAAGATACTGGAAGTATTATTTTCAAATCATTTCCTAATTACGCCTAATCCACATTCACTCTCTCATAAAAATTAAGAAATCAAGAAAATGCCACTTACCCAAGCACCTCTTTTTTACTAATGGACATGCATATGTCTTGGCAACAGGCCATATTTCCCAGTATTCCCACACAGATTTCCTGAAATGCCAAATACAATTGAGTTAGCCACAGAACAGAATGACTACAGCTCACATAAAGCTAGCTAAGAAAAGAACTGCCAACAAAAATGATAGTAAGGACCAAAAGATGCAGGGATTTATCCCCTTTCATTATCTGTCTCTGGTCAAGCACACACAGAACCCTCATTTGACTTTGAACAGCCATATGAAATCAGAGTAGAGAGACACCTTCTTCCGACAGACCAGATCCAGATGCTTCTAGAAGTTTTATTTAGTGCATTGACTAATCAAGGACTCCATTTCACACGAAGATCAAACCTTTCCACCACTACTTTCCACTGTAGTGCAATTGAACATACTGATATCTACCACAGGACAGAATGCAGATCAGCAGAAATGGCTAGTTTTATGGGCTGGTATCTATACCATCAGCCAGTTCCTGCATTTACCTGCACCTCCTCCCTCCAGAGGAAGAACCAGCATTACATCACCAACTTCCAGAGGCTAGAAAAAATGTACAAACACACCAACATTTCCCTAATTATATGGTATCATTTCCAGGATTTTAATTCCATGCAGCTCTGGAGGAATCTCTTAGCTGAAACATGGGGGACAACACTAAATAATAAAATAAAGCCATTCAGTGTAACTGAAGTGGGAGGACTACAGGCATCCAATGAAGAATGGAAAGAACATCCAGGCAAGGATTGCCCCAGTATTCCTCTTCCCTGCAAAATACATAAACAGCCAATTTTGGCTGCCCAAGTGCTATGCACTGGCTCATGAGGAGACAAGCCAGAAGCACCAGCAGGGTTTCTTGTAGGACAGCCATGCCTCACTCTTTCCCTCCCCACCCTCTGCAACACCCCACTCCCCAATGTAGGTTCTGAGGGCAGAAAAGCCATGCTTCAAATTCAGCATCCCAGCCTCAATGGGGGCTGCCTTGGCAGCATCCAACAGCCATAGGATTGCACCTAGAAAAACTCTGATTTATTTAGGAAACTTTTATATTACTTTTCACCTTGCATTCCTTTGGGATTTCAGTTCCTCAAAAATATTAACAGCAACAACAGCAAAAAACATAAATTGTCTAAAGTAAAAATAATGCACACATCAGACAAAAATACGATTAAAAGAATACATAGGAACAAAAAGGTAAAGATCGCCCTTAATCTGTTGTCTCCTGAAAACATGAAAAAATAAAATTTGCAGAATGACAGTGGGGGGAAGCTAAACAGAGAGCTCATGGAAGGGCACTCTAAAGCTGTAGCTATGTGGGGATCTCTTGGAGGCCCTGCCTGAAGTGGAACTCTGGGCCTGCAGCAACATCCGATCTTAGCAACACCTCTGTCTACATAGGCACAAAAATTCAGAAGAACAAAATGTTATTAATAAACAGATCACAAATTCAGAATAGGACTTACAATGAGCCGAGGGCATTTAGATTTGGCAAACACACCTATAAATATATCAAGGGCATTAAATTCTTGCAGAAATAAAGCAACATCCTGAAAATAAGAAAAATAATAAGTAAATAATAGTTACATGAGAATTGGAATTTAAATCTCTCTTTAAAAATAGGCTAACTTTTCAAGCAACTACTATTTATATTAAACTATAAGTAATTTTTTCTCTAGTTCTCTAATATGGCTGAAAACTTCTCATTCAAAGGTATCTGCTACATTCTTACTTCTGAAGCCTATGCTATGTAAGCATGCATCTCTGATATAAAAAAAAAAATTGATTCCATTTCAGGGTAAACTACAAGTTATGAAAGATCTATTTTTAAAAGCCGATCAGCTTCCTTCTAGTTTTTCTGCTGTGAAAGTAGCAAGTTTCCATGATTCACAGAATTGGGACAGCTGACACATTTTTACATACATAGTATACAACTTACTAATCCTGAATTTAAGTCCAAAAGCAATACCCTCTCATGTTCATACTGTCTCAGCTGAGGGCTTCCTACATCAAAAGGACAATCCTATAGTCCCTGCTTGTCCCAGGATTGCAGAGCCTTCCCTTAACTCAGAGGCCGCAGACACCTCTATGGCTTCAGGAAGAAGAAATTCCCTCAATGGCCACTGTGGAAAACTCCACAGCAACTCCTCTCAGCAACTTTGAAGAAAGGACAGAAGGGAAGAAGCTAGCTGTATGGATGGTGTGGAGGAAGGAGAGACATGGCTCTCAATTCCAGTCCCTGACCACCAAGATACCCATGTAATTGAAAACAATAAAACTTGAGGACCAGGAGTCTAAAAACCTCTGCTGTCATACTGCCCTGCCTGCCTCTTGCCAGTAAGGTGTTAGAAAAATTTAGGGCCCTGAAGTCAGAGCCCTCTGTCCATCAAGTGTGCTAAATGTCTATTTTAGAAAGTATTCTAAATTATTAACCTAGTCCTAAACCCCCACTTCATCCCAATTTACTAAAATTGCACTAAAACCTCAGAACACAGCACCACTGTTGAAACATTTCGGTAATGGGACTCTGTTGCCAGGCAGTACTATGTACACCTCCTCTCTTTGATAAAAATATCCAGAGATAATTTCAGCACTCAATGATACATCAAAAATGACCAATACCTTATCCATTGACATGTCCCATACTTTACAAATGTCATTCTCCATATCTTCATCCAGTTCCACCAGTTCTTTGGCATTGTTCTGTTCAGAATCACCCTCCTTTGAGCTAATAACCTTATAAGGAGAATAAAAAGAGCACTTTGACTGAGGAACCAAAGTACCACAGTGAATGTTGTCAAGTATACTTACCAGTGTCAGGGAGTCTAACCCTGATCGGGCTGAAAGTTCATTTTTCTAACTGCAAAAAACAACAAGCCACCAGCAAGATTCAAACAAATAAAAGCTCTTTACTGAAGTGTGCACCCAACAATACAGAGCAACCCACTCTTCCTTCATAAGAGACCAGCACCAGCCATTAACAATCCAAATGTTTTTATACATTTCACTCTGGAAGACAAAATGAAAATTCAGAGCAATCTTGATAAACTTGAATGCTGGGCTGAAAGCAAGAGAATGATATTCAACAAGGACAAATGCCAGGTCCTTCACCTAGGAAAAAGAAATCAAATTCATCTATACAAGATGGGAATAACTCTCTCAACAGAACTGAAAAGAAAAAAAAACCTTGGAGTTATTGTGGACAACAGCTACATATGAGCAAATGATGTGATGCAGCCACAAAAGGGGCAAATGCTATTTTGGGATGTATTAGTAGAATTACCACTTCCAAAACATGAGAAATAATCATTTTCCTATAATCTTTACTTGTCAGACCTCATCTAGAATACTGTGTCCAGTTCTGAGCACCAAGATATATTTATTTTTATTATTAAAACATTTTTATGCCGCCCCATTCGCCGAAGCCTCGGGGCGGCTTATAAGAAAGATGCAGAACAATTAGAAAGGGTCCAGAAGAAGGCAACAAAAATGATCCAGGGTTTGGAAACACTGCCTTATGAGGAGACTTGAGAGAACTGGGTATGTTCAGCCTTGAGGAGAGATGACTGAGGGGGTCATGATATCACTTTCTAAGTGTCACATGGAGAAGGACAAGGTCTCTTCTTGCTCATATCAGAGTGTCGGACACAGAATACTCAATTCAAGTTGCAATGACCCAGATTCAGGCTAGATTTGAGAAGTTTCCTAATTGCCAGAGCACTATGACAGTGGGACCAGTTGCCTAGGGAGGTTGTGGGCTCTCCCATGCCAGACACATTCAGGGCGAAGCTGGACAATCATCTGAGTGGGATGGTGAGCAACAACAGCAGGTCAGTTGGACCCAATGCCCTTCTTGGCCCCTTCCAACTCTATTTTTCTACGATTTTATAATACCTGCAAGAGCAAACTCCGTCACTGGTCACTTTGGCCTGGCCCATCCATACACTGATCCTGCCTTCTGCACATTGTTTGCTAGAGAAAGTAGGCCACATTCCACACTTAACAGTGGACAGTTAAGCAGGAAGTTAGATACCAGTAACTGTCTTCTCAGCATTAGAATGCTGTTAAGCTGAACAATTTCTGCTACATTTGTGTTACATTCATACACACAACTATTTTGAATTTCTGTACAACTTGAGGGACACTCTTTGGATCAAGGAAGCAGATCCTACTAAACTCAATACCATTCTATTGCCAAGTTAATACTCTAAGTAGACTTAGAGCCTACCATATAACTTATGAAAGCTGTCAATTAGTGCAAAATTCAAAATCAAACATCTGCTCCAAATAATGCTGTTCTGTTTAAATAAGTTTAAAATGTGAAAAATTTAGGTGACAGTTTTAGCCTTCCTTAAGAAATTGCCCAGAGCCAAAAAAATGCCTATTATTTCCAAACAGTACTAATACTGTACTATACAGAATATTGAAAACATAATTTTGCCTTTATTTATTTCAACATGTATGCTGTGCTGGCTGAATACAGACCCCCAGGTAGTTTACAAAACTTAAAATAGCAACATGAAAACCTAAATATCAAACACATACAGAAACATTCTACAGTACTAACCAACTTAAATGAAACCAGCCAAAATGACAATATTCACAGAAATATACTGGGGATTGTAAATCAACCTTACAATGATCTTTATGACAAAGGTCATAAAATACCTGAGCAATTTCACCTGGTGCCCATAAGTCCACAACAAAGATTCTCAGAGAACCTCTCTGACAAAGGCATTTTACAATCAGGGCAGCCCCACTGAAAAGGCCCCTTCTCTTGGAACCACCTGCCCAACTTCATTTGACAGGGGCATCCTGTCTAGGCTGGCAAATAGAAAAGAAATAAATCCTTCAGTAATCTGCCCCCAAGATGTTTAGAACAGTACATCTTGAACTGGGCTCAGTAAGGGACTGGGAGCCAGTGTAGACGGAAAAACACTGGAATAATATCATCAAAGCAGCCTACAGACCATAGTAAGAAATAAATGAGATGCAGGAACACAGCACATGTTTGAAATAGAACATCTCATCCCTACTGTCCCTGCCTGATCTCTGCTACCACTTCGAAGGGTGCTACTTGCAGTTTAATGTTTCAGCATCCACCTTCTAGAATACTTTACTAATTGACAATCGACAGCCTCCTACAGTCCTGGCGTTTAGATAACTTCTTAATTGCCTCTTTTCATAGGATTTCTCTGAAACATGACCCAGCTAGCTATGGTATTTAGCACATAGCAGAGGTATTTTTCTTAATCTGTACTGTTGTTTTTATCAGTACTTGGATACCAGTGTATTTTATGTTCACTACAATGATACCTCTATGGAAAGTGGCAAATACATTTGTGTAATATACAACTAGGCCTTCAATATAATAAAACATCACACAGGTAATGCCACCTAAGCTTCTTATAAAATATAGGAAAAGATTTACCTTTTAAGAGGCCATAAGCATTAAGAGGCCATTTTGTGTATTTTATAAATTTGATATATTACATTTCATAATACGTTTGTAATTCATGTAATGTATTTGTAATATAAATATTCTATATATATTATGTTTATACCTATGTATCTATACAACACAGAGATATTCATTTTTAGGCAATGTTAGGCCGAAATTATAATCTAGCAATATATTCACAGAATTCGCATAATCAGCTTGGCTTATTCAAGCTAATGTGGGTTGTGGGACATACCAGCCACCCTTCTGAATATCCAAGCCATGACAGGCAGTCACCATGGTTTGTTGTGACAATCTGTATCCCACAAGGTAACAAACCACCCAAAACCCATAGTGTGCTTTAGAGTTCTGGATGGTTTATTAATCTCAACAACCCACCCTTGCTGGGTGTGGATGTCATGATAAGCTGTGGTCACTATCCATTGTAGCATGAATATTCAGAACAGGTATTAGTGTGCAATAAAACCCACCATAGGCTGCAGCAATCATTTGAACTAGCTGTTCGCCACCATCACATCTAGTTTATCCCTACAAGTTTCATGCCATGGAGTTCTCAATTGTTCCAAGTAAGACAGACTACCCCATATATTTAGCATACCTCAATTAGTTTTGTCAGGACGGTGAACAGCCAGTGTTTACTATACACTGTATTTCCAATAGAGTCCCCAGCGACTACCACCTCTTCTTCTGAATCACTGGAAGGTGGTGATGGATTCCTGTCCATATTTGACTAATTCAGTCTAGCTGCCAGTCCACCATTAAAAAAAGGTTCCTAATGGGGGAAAAAACCAAAAGATATTTAAAATAGCAAAGGCATATCCAACCCCTTTTTCCCTAATAACAGCCCACTTATAAGTTGAGATTCTTAATTTGATTTGCCAATGTATGTATGTCTATGCCTCTTAGGCCTTCTCTCACTCCAAAAGCAAAGCCTTATAATACTTCCCTCTCCAACAGTATAAACTTGTGTCTTTTACCCAAACCTCAAAAGCCAGTTCAGATGCTGACAAAACCACTAAAATTGTACATAGTGTTGGTACCAAATTTCACACTCACTCCTGCACATAGGAAATAACATGAAAACAAAGAAATCATAGAGACAAATACATGTGCTATTCACATAGTGCCCCCTCCCATGTTCTTCAGCAGAGGGGGGTGGGGGAGATCCAATTTCTCTATTTTAAATAACTTAAAGTTCATAATGGCCAGAGTTATGTCGCTGGAGCTAGCAACACCCATTCTCCCTCTAGTATAGCCTGAAATAAGGAACACTTCTTTACTCTGTACAATAGGCAAGGATAGGACAGTTCACTATGCTCAGGTGCAGACAAACGCAAATCAGAGTAGAAAAGGATAACGAAATACAGGTCTAAAATTTCAACGGCAGGGGAAGAATTTCACCAACTTTACTTGCAAAATGTCCCCTACTTTAGTTCGTAATATGAAAGCTTCTGGGGCTCAGACATTACGAGAAGTCATACTCTTTCCCTGTACTGGGGGAAGTGGAAGGCAGAAAGAAACTAACGCGACACGTATCATTAAAAGGAAAACTCTGCTTGAGACTGCTGCACGTGTTTTCCTAGCTGAACCGTGGCACTGCAAACAAGTTCTGGGACTCTGCTGCACATACAATTTGTCCTGGCAAGCTCTCCGGCAGTCGAAATTTTCGACAGGGGCAACCCTCCGTCGGCAACCTGCACACCCCCGCAATCCCCTTTTCGTACCCACAGCGAGAGCTCGCCCCCACCCTGTTCCTCATCCCCGTGATACTCCCCCTTCTCTGTCCCGCTTCCGCTTTAGCCCCCCAGGCCTTATCTCTTCCCGCCCGTCTGGTGGCGGACAATGGGCAGCTGCTGTTTCGCTTCCTACGGGCTCCGCACCCCACCTCCCTTCCCGCCTTCCTCGCACGGCGGCCGGAAACGGCTTATGAGCACCGTCAGGCCGCGGCCGCGAGTACTGCGTGCGCGCCGCGGTACGGGGCGGCGACAAACCTTCACCGCCCCACAGAAGCAGAGGCGGCTTCGGCGCGGGCCAGGAACCGCCTCCAGCCTTCCCTCTTGCAGAAGAAACCTCCCTTTCTCCTCCCAAAAGGAGAGCGAGCCAGAAACGGGCCCGGGCAGCCGACACGTTTTCCCTGCGCAGCGTCTCAGCAGAACGGGCCTGGGGGACTCTGGCAGGCTCAGTAGCGCCCTCGCCCGCCCGCCCGACCTCTCAGAGTGTCTCACACAGAAATGCACCGTTTTTGTTGTGGTTTTAATCGTGTATGTGCATGTGGGTGAGGAAGAGCGAGAAGCCAGGTGGGCATTGTTTGTTCATGTAGGGACATAATTACAAGTTTTAAACGCTTCAGCCTCCCTCCAGACTTTGAGAAACGGAATAATGCTTTTATTTATGCATAAACACAGCTGTATTTCTTTGCTTGCTTGCACTTGGAAGCAAACCAGAAATCAAGATGGTATGCTAAGGCTGCTTCATGAGAGGTCAAGACACACTGGAGAGGATAGTATTGCGAGGAAAACCCAAAGATAGAAGAAGGAGGGGGAGACCAACTATGAGATAATTAGAAGGAAGCTACAGCCTTGAGTTTACAAGAGCTGAGCAGGACTGTCAAGGATGACATTCTGGGGGCATTTATTCATAAGGTCGCCATAAATCACTGATGACTTGAGGGAATGTAACAACAACAAATGTACACTGCAGATCTCGCCTAAGTAATTTCAGTGCAAAACCTGCATTGGCTAATACATATGTGCTTCGGTTAAAAATATGTATTTACTATTACCTCTCCCTCTCGCAGCTTCCCAGATCCAGCAGCCATGATGCAATGCCTCTGCTCCTACAGTGCTGGCAAGAGACAATCCTGCAAGTTCAACATATGGAGCAATCCTATAAACTTAACCAGAAGGCAAATCAGAGACCAAATGTGAAGCAGGTCTAACCCAAGACATTTTGCTGCCCATGGCAAAGAGAAGGTGCCATCCTGTCTGCATTCCATATAGTGAAGCCAGCTGGACTGGGTCTTGAAGATTCGACTGGCAATGGGACAGAGTCACTGACTACCCTACTAACCGCAAATGACCTTTAAGGCAGGTCAGGCACACACAAAGGCATGGGTCCTCAAGCTACGGCCCTCCGTGCTCATTTATCCGGCCCGCCTCAGAGCTTTTGGACTCACTCGGGTCTGGTAATGGACTGGGAGGAGGGCCAATAAACTGAGATTCTATCCAGACAAGCTCTATCCAGGGCTGTTGGTAGGTGGTTCATCTGCCCAGTTGGGAAATATTCAACCTATCCTGGATGGTGCTGTAATCCCCCTAAAGGACAGAATTCAGAGTTTGGGGGTGCTCCTAGGACCTGAATTGTCATTAGAGTCAGAAGTGAACTCAGTGATAAGAAGCACCTTTCATCAGCTTAGGCTTAGACTAACTAGGACCCTCTCTGGACAGGCAGGGCCTAGTAACAGTTACCCATGCTCTGGTAACTATTCACCTGGACTATTATAACCCACATTACATGGGGCTGCTTTTGAAAACTGTCTGGAGACTTCAACCGATTCAAAGTAGAACAGTGAGGTTGCTAACGGGGACTGGCTGACATAAACATCCAGCAGTCATCTATCAATTACACTGGTTACCAATTTGATTTAAATGTCAACGTTAGCACTTTGAATCATGCCCTGCTCTGACAGAAGCAAGGAGTGTCTACCAGAGAAAGGGCCTTCTCGGTTGTGACACTCCATCCGTGGAATCAGCTTTCCAAAGAGGCGCACCTGGCACCCACTCTTGGCTCATTTTGGCGCCAGGTGAAAAAAAAATTCCCAATATTTTAATAGACTTTTATTTCTATTTTATGGTATTTTATTACTGTAACTCTAGATTTAACAGCAGTTTGGTGGGTGAGTTATATTATTGTATTTATACGAACTATAATTGTAATTTTATAATGATCATTTATATCAATTATTCTATTTTTATTTTGCAAACTGGCCAGGAAGCCTTTGGGCTGATGGGTGGGATAGAAATATAAACAAACAAACAAGGAATCATGATCTGTTATCATGACTGGGTTCCAACAAGATAACCTATGTTTCAACCACCTACAGTTCAACAACCACCCACACCCAACATTTAAATGTAGGATATTGTGTTTCCTGAACCCAACTGTTACCTTTTTGGCCATAGATGCAGACTATCTATTTTTTCCAGGTATTTTGGCATTCATTATGGCAAAATAATTGGTGTTCACACTCTTCCACTTTTAAGTGGAAGAAAAATTGTGTATTTGAACACTTCTCGTATTTCATTGTTTAAATTATGTTTTGTGTTATTTGTTTTATCCATATTATTGTGCTGATTGTGTTTATATTGATTCCATCTGTGCTTTTATATTTAATTATGGATTTCTTTAGTGTTTGTGTAAGTTGCTTTGAGATGGCTTTTTTGCAATGGGAACAGACACATACAATTGAAATAACAATGATAATGAAATATTTGGCCAACATTCTTTATTCCCAATGTTTTTAAAGGCACAAACAAGTAATGATTATATTAATTTTATTAAGTTCCACATTAACTAAAACTGAGGCTGATTGGTTACAAGCAATGCTACTAACAGTATCCATAAAATAGTGTATGATTAGAAGTCAAATATTTATTGTAAAAATACAAATATGATATAACAAAGTACAAAATATAAGTTTTCATTAGCATTTAGCAGTTGCATACCATGTGCTGCTGCACAGGTTCTTGTTTGAAAAATACTATTTCATGAACTCTGTCACTGGTAATTATCTTAAAATGAACCCTATTTATTCCAAATGAAATGTGTGGTAGTAGACACTCAGTTGCACAGTAGAACCCAGATTCAAAACTAAGTATGCTGAGATTTACACACACGGCAGGTTTCTGAACCACCCTTTCTGGAAACAGCCTTCATAATAGCAATGAAGTCAGCCCCAAAACTCAAGGGAACAGCAACAGTCTAAGAAAAGAGATGATCCTGGCATCAAACTCCTGCATGTGGCAAATAGAACACTTGAGGTTGTGGCATAGACAAACAAGACCTCAAAATAAGGTACTTTATTTTATGCTTAGTGATTTAGAACAGCTACGGACAATACTGCATTAGTGGTAGTATAAGATGCATGCCCTTACATGCTGAATATTAAAGCCTGAAGATATGTAATTGTGCAGTTTTGGATTTCAGCAGAAGACTCACTTGGAATGCAATAATAATAGACATCTATAACCTTTCCCTATCCCTAATTACCCAATTTCAATAACTATTAGTAATGCGCAGAACTACATAGCTCTACATGCCATACCTCTAAAGTATAACTGATCTGGATACAAACCATCTCAATGTATACCATGCAGTACAATGTAGAGAGATTTACCAATTTTAACACAGCCTCCCATTGGCACCTCCTTCCATTCCCTGAAAAACCAATATGGATTGTCCTCTCCCCATTGCCCCATTAATGGCCTTTTCCAGCCGTGGAAGAAGAAAAGTCAATTTGTGTAAACAGAAATAGCCTTCAATTATTTTGGATCCAAGCAATTAGCAAGCATAAAAAACAAAGCATCATAAACTGAATAGCCTTAATTTGCACATGGAAAACCAATCATAAATATTTTGTAGTCAGATAGCCAACATAAAGACAAGTATTTAAGGGATTTTTAAATACCTTGTTTCTGAAACAATACAATAATGCAACTGTAAAAAGAACTCAACCTTTCTCAACTCAAAGGATCACTATCCCAGTTTTACAATGCAATCCTTTAAGCCCCCTTGAACTATACATGAAGGTCTTCATTTTGCAAGGACACAAACAAGAAAAAGTACAAAAGATTTTTCCATAAATGTTTAGATACTTTTTAGCATATTTTATAAATAATTGGTGGTGCAGGGGAAGATGTTTGTCATAATATGTAATCCTTTAAAGGTTGCAATGTTAAATAGCTTATAACATATACACATTCTGTCACTGCCTATTTTCATTCATATTTAACCACTATCATCTCAACTTCATTGATTACTGCTTCAATTTTTTAATAAAGTAGTGGAATTTTGTAGTGCTATATATTTGGAAGACCATATATTTAATATATTTTCATGCTTAATTTAACACTGCACAAAATCAACAACACAAAATCAATCAATTACTGGATTCTTCTATTTAACTTGAAAGGTTCATGTTGACTTTTCCATCATAGAAGTAAAGAACCATGCAATTACATACATTCATTTAAGTGCAGCTTCTTGCAAACCAAGTGGCAATCTGCTTGAGATGTTATGCAAGTCAGTTTATGTTTCTGGTATCACTAGAATTTACAATTTACATTCTGAATGTGAACAATTTCTTTCTATATACAGGGAACACCATTTTTATCTCAAAATTAAGTTTGATCGCTCAGCGCACTTAACAAATACACATATTCCTGCTGCGTTGTCAGATTTAATAAGCAATTAGGAATATACTCTCAAATACTGACTGATGAAAAGCCAATAGAAAATGTAGGTTCATTAGGATTTTATGTGAATCTGACCAAATTCACCTTTGCCTAGACAGGAAGAATATGTTTCTTATAACATTCATTACATTCCAGAATTGTTTGCTATGCTTGCTGAGACCACAAAAATCGGTCACATCTTTCCAACATGGACTGAATCAGGGCTCTGAAACAAAAGTGAAGAGAAAAAAAATATAAAGAAATAAAGGTTAATCTTAAACAGCAAGGTGTTTCATCAAATTGATTGACCCATAAAAATGTGACACACTTTTTCTACACTACAAATTAGTGCAGCTCATGAGTTGTTTCACAGGACTTGTACTTTCCTGTCCTTTTAATGCTGCTGAATTAGAAGCAATACCTGCCTTTAAAAGTACATGCTAGTAAGCCTCATGAAATCCAATTATCTTCCTTCCAGAGATATGGCTTAAATCCTGGTTTCAACACAGTTTTGCAAATCATAATTTGACAGGATCAATTAACTGCAATTGCTTAGAAGTTTCCAATCATAAGACAAGAAGGAAAGAGGGAGCATGCAAGGCTGCCTAAGGCTCATGGCTATACATGGTAACACTAAATCATGGCTTAATAAAATGTCTGGACACATCCAATGAGATTCCATTCCCACAAGACCTACCTTTGCCTTTTGTCAGCAATTCTTAGTATCTCACAGACCTTGACAAATCTTTGGGATAATTCAGCCATCAGGCCACATTCCTGCAACAGCTGCAAAGCACAATCTGGCCCGATTACTCTTGCCAACAAGAGACCCACATTTTCAACAGTAATACAAGTTGACCAATCTGGAACACCGTTGGTAACAGCACCGCCATTTTGCATAGCAGGATGAAAAGCACTATCATGATGACTTTTCACAAAGCAAAGAAGAAACTTCCATTCTTCCATTGTCTCTGGAATTGCCCCTAAAGACAAAAAAATTATGAGAAAAGTATTTATGGAAAGTATCAATTAGCTGGTATCATTTTATGTTTGTGCATTTGTTAAAATAACTTCGTAACCACACATAGATTACATGATTATTTTCATGGATAGAATGTTTCTGATTAATCTGCTTAACATTTTTTCTCTCTTTTTAAAATTCTGACTTACCCAGTCCTATCCATTTTAGTGGCAGTTGTATGTTGCACTATAGCAGGCCTGTTCAGCTTGTAACCACCATCATAAACACAGTCCAGAAGCCATGTACAGCAACCAACCAAAAGTCACTCAGTTTTGCTGCCTACCAGAGACTACAAAAATAGGAGGGTTGTCCAGCACCTGGCAGATCACAAAGCAAGGCTAAAGGCCTGTCTTCCACTTGATGTATCACAAGATGTGTAGGGTAACAGAATGCTATTGAAAATGTACACACAGCTAAGATACTGTAGTTTGTTTAATATACAAGCTTAGTTTTCCACAAATAAGAGTTATATTGCTCATTCTATATTTGGTGAAATTCTTACTTTTATTTATGAAATGAATAAATAAACCCATTGTGCAGATTCAAACAGGGGACCTTTTGATCAACGAGCATAGCAGCACAGCAGTTTAAACCACTGCGCCAGCTGCATCCCTTAGCACAAATATCTTAACCCACAGTTAACACATATAGAACAGCCCACAGGTCAAGGGAAATTTGACAGTTACTTGATTTATTAAAAAAAAATAAGGAACATTTCTAGTTAACAAAAGCAAGTGTACATGATAAACAGGACCATATTCAATTCTCATATTTAAGAGTTCCATAATTTGTTCACATTTTGCTTATGTTCATTCCTTGTCTCTCTTTTTATTATCTTCCAGCACTCAAAATAGAGACCCCTTCCTTATTTTATGTTCAACCTACTATGGTTGCTTTAATTAGTCACATCTGCTGGATTTTAGAATTGCATATAAAATGGCTCATAAAAATATTATCTCTAAGATATAGTACAGAACATAAATCTGTAAGAAAACAAAAAAACACCCCCCTGATTTACAAAGCAATTCTATGCCTATCAGGAGATCTGCTGAGGGCCCAATGGATGCCGTAGTCACTGACCCACCTACAGACAGGGAGTCTATACATGGAGGTCACCTGTGGATTGTGGCAAACCTTTCTGCTACTATAGTTGCCCTGACAGCAAACTGGAATGTGCAAAGCTAGACCAGTTTCAGGGTGACCAAAAATTCACAGGGCCACATGTCCTATCATTTTAACACACACCCCAAACATAGCTGGAAAATATGTGATCCTGAAAGCTTATTTAGTAAATTGCTTCCAGTGGAAAGGAATTAAAAACTGTCACCACCTTCCCTTCTGCCCTAGCTGGTGCGAGATAGCAACACTTAGGACATGGTGATTCTTCCAACATAGGACCTACCCACTACTTTAGGGCTGCTCTGTTCATGCAGGTGAGTATCAGGTTTTTCAAAATTCACAATCAATCAATGGGGGATTGCAAAATCCTAGTAGAGGCAGCCTATTTTTATATTAATTCCTTACATACATTTAGGAGGAAGTGGATGACAAATACTCAAATGTTTATTATTTTCTCTCTATCTGAAATACATTGGGTGATCTATTGGACATTAAAATGCTATCCAGCTTATTTTTGTATTTGTAGTACATTTCTGTTGCATTGAACCATATTGTATTGACATCAATAAAATATTAAAGAATAAATGTAAAGGCCAGTTAGATTATGTGGTATTTCATTCCAGAATCAAAGTAAGTTATACTAACCACGTTCTCTATCCAACAAGTTCATATCATCCAAATGAATAATATTAGTAAGTGTTTCAGTTCTTCTGTCCAGCTCCAAACAGAGAGAAAGATATCCAGGCCAGTAGCTATAACAATATTACATAGAGTTCCATACATCAAAATAAATACTTAAACTTACTGTAAGTAATTATAACCTGATTGGCATTATAATTTACTACAAACTTCCATGACAAGACAAATAACTTCATCTGCCTTCCCCATTTGAGCAGAGATTCAGAGTTTAGGTCACAGGCTAAGCATATGTTGCCAAATTTGGAGAAAGGGGTTCAAGCTATTGTTTGATTCTGAAACAACAAGCAACCCAACACTAAGGTATTCCAAGAATTTCCTGTTCTTTTTTCATGTTTATGTTCAAGGGACCTCCCCACCCCGAAACAACCCCACTTCTACTGAATTAAGGAGTGATTCTTCCCTTAACATACAATACAAAAAGCTGATGCAGTAAGATCCACTAGTAAATGTACTCTTCATATTTATTTGCGCCTTACAAGATGCTCCTTACATTTTGGTGGGCTGTGAGTGTATAATAAACTTTCATGATTATTGTCCTTTGAAATATTTCTCTACATTCAGTCTTTTAAAAATTCATTATAAATTTAGAAAATAGGGCAGAAGCAAGATAATGCTGGCCTAACTGAAATCAAAGGAACACAACTTCATAGCTATGCACCTAAATCCAACATTTACAGGATATAGAATTTACGTATACCTAACATTTTCAGCACTGTGCTCCTAATACGTAAACTTTGTTCATTTCTTACAGCTTGTCAGCCTCCATGTGGAATTTAGTTTAATGTTTTACACAAAGGAAGAAAAGGAAAGAAGATCACTTCTTTGTTCTCCTATTCTGCAGAGATCAGAACTCATAGCCTTCTTGTTAAAATGCTATCCACACCTGGGCTATGATTGCTACTCCAGCAATGGCTAATTTATATATACTGGTAATAAAGACACTGCCTTTTGAAAGGGTTGAAGGGTTTCCAGGGAATATGAGGGAGGGAGGGAGGGAAGGAGGGAGAGAAAGAGGAGACAGATAAAGCTTTAACTGCAACATAATTGTTGCTTCATTATTGCTTCTCATTGCTGTAACAGGCGGCGGCAGGAGGGACAGACAGGCACCAGGCAGGCAGGCAACCTGAAAGCTCAGAGGCAAGCAGGTACTCCAACTAGCAATTCACTGGCTATTGGAACATGCAGGGAGAGCATGGTTGGGCACATGCATAACACACATCCTGGACAACTGAAGATGAGTTGTGTGAGCAGAGCAGACTATTGCAGTATGGAACAAAACACAAAGGAAAAACATGTGCTGTTATAACAAAGTTTCAAGAACAACAGTTATTTTACTAAGAACTTCTACATTACCCATAGCTTTTGCAGATATCAGACATCTTCTCTTTTGTTACAGTGTCAGCTGGGAGCTTAAGCAACAGTAAAATCAGTTGATTATATCCCCAGGTAAACAAATGTGAACGTGGCCTGAAATATTAAAGACAAAAGTCAAGAAACAAAACTTTCTCTTGAGACCCTTGTATAAAGAACTACTAAAATGCCACCGTGTTTCAATTCTTATCCCCCCACTAACAATATGAAAAGGATCTTTCCTCAGTAATGTCCTAAATTATTGGACCAAAATACCATGAAAGGACAAAACCAGAATGATTAAGAAGAAAGAAAAAAGAATCAGTTTGGAAGTGTCCAAAATAAAACTATTGCTTGAAGGGTTCTTAAAGACAATCAGAGAACTATATCCACTCACTCATTGCAAAGTATCCAAATTAATTACCTGTTATGACTTCTACATCAGCTCTATCAAGATTAGCAAAAGTGCTCCTGGGGAACCTCATAAATAGCAACACTCAGCCAAGCAAATCTGGTTTAATGAGCTAGAATATGAATGAACTTAAGTGCACACAAATAGCCCTTTGCTTCTTTCAGACAGACAAGGAAATAATCCACAAAGTCAGAGATAAACATAACTTCCTATTTTGTTTGGCTGGGAACCATGGTTACTGCATTGGATCCATATTCTGTTTCCCATAAGCAGGTAAGCTTCTGTCTGTGGAAGCTGCTGTGGGTAAATCCCTCTAGGGACAAAGTCTGTCAATTAAAATGCCCTATGCCATCACCAAAACCAAGAGAATCTGTGCCAGAGGATTCAAGAACTCTCTAGGACAGTGTCAAAGGTTAGAATCAGAGGTAATGCTGGGTGGAATGGGGAAAATATCAACAGATTCCATCTCCTCAGGTCTTTAAAACATAAAAAAACCATGGATCACCCCAAAGGTCCACCCAGTCCAGCACTCTGCACACATGGTGGTAGACCAGCTGCCTGCAGGATCCCTCAGGCAGGATGGGTAAAAAATCTCCTCCTGCCCAACTTCCTCAGCAACTGGTGTATGAAGGCATGCCACCTCTGCTAAAGGGGGTAGCACATAGCGAGGCAAGGCTAGTAGCCACCTCTGGCTCATAAATCTGTCCAATCCCATTTTAAAGCCATCCAGATTGCCAGACATCACCACCTCCCAGGGCAGTGAATTCCACAGTTTAACTATATGCTGTATGAAGAAGTACTTCCTTTCTCTATCCTAAAGCTCCTACCAATTAGCTTCATGGGATGACCGTGGGTTCAAGTGTTATGGGAGAAGGAGACAAATGTCTCTTTCTCCGCACCATGCATTATTTTAAACACCTCAGTTGTGTCTCCCTTTACTCCTTTCTTCTAAGCTGAACAGTCCCACTGTTGCAGCCACTCCTCATAGGGGTGCTGCTTTAGTCCCCTGATCATTTTTATGCCCTTCTCTGTACTTTTTCCATGTCAATATCATCCTTTTTCAAGTAAGATGACTAGAACTGAACACAGTATTCCAAGTGCAGTCATACCAAAGATTTGTAAAAGGAAATATGATTTTGGCAGCTCTTCCTACTGCCAAGAACATTCTGAGTGGAATTCTATTCTAGAAATGCTCCCATGTGCAAAGAATACAAGTCAGGATTTAGAAGTTAACTATGATAGCCATTATAGCTATATGGAAATATTACATGTTCATGGACTTCTGGTCTGAATATGGGATCACTGCTGTTAGCTGTCAGAGCACTTATTCCAAATTACAACACCTTGCAGCTCACCCAGGTTTGTCCCTCAAGCTCAACAGTTTGCTGCTGAGATGGAAAAGAAGGAAGAAGCAGATTCCAAACTTATGCAAGTATCAGAATTTCATGGAAGTCTAGCAGCATGAGAAAAAGACACGTGATCAGAGCAGGACTGGGAGTATGTACAGGTGCCCCAGCAGTGCCAAGAAAAATAGGATTCACCAGTAAAGGTATAGAAGACGTCTAAAGGCCAAGGTGATGTCAGACAAGTAAAAACTGTTGTCTTGGTTAGATGTTTGGATTTAGCCACTGCAGTGCTTTATTTCACTTACTGTACTGCTTTCAGTTTGTATCTCTTTCATTGCTGTCTTTATTATTTTAATTGTTGGAATTGGCTACAAACTCTGGTACATACTGGTGCAGAAATAGACTGTTCAAATAAATAAATAAAACCATGATAAAAAGTTGGCTTCCAGAAGTTATTAGGCACAGTTCTGGGTTCACATGTAGCAAGAAACCCTGGTTAATTGCAGTTCCCTGGTTTGTTTCTCTGTTAGCACAAAGGGAAGAACAAAGCAGAAGCATTGCAACCAAGTTCATGAAGTTCATGCATATTCTGCTTATTAATTCAGTATTTGACAATATGATCTGAATATCAAATATAAATCCTAGAAGACAGATTTCAAAAAGTGTGTATAAACAGCAAGCCTGGATAACTGCAACTCATACCGTGGATTTCCTTGGGCATCCATTGTACTTTCTTTCTGGGGGGCATCATGTGAAACTGCCAAGCATAACCAATCTAAATGTAGTGATTCAGGATACAGAAGAGATCTAAGGAAAGAAAGCCTAGAAAAAGATCAGTAGTAAAAAATTACTCTTGTAACAAAACTGAAAATTTATTTACTTATTTAAAACTTTTGTCTACCATCCCATCACAGACATCTTGTCTGCTTGCTTGCTTGCTTACTGGCAAAAAAGAATATTTACAACAGCTAAGCAACTGAGACTAGCTTTAGCTTACTACAACGTATTTTAATATTTTAAGTAGTGTTGCCTTTTTAGACATTCTAATTCCATGATTAGGAGGCAACAAAACAGAGGCAAATATTTATTGCTTTATTATATGCCAAGCTTAGTTCTATTAAAAAGGTGCCAAATACCTTTAATTCTGATGTTTACAGCTTTTCTGCTAATAGTACCCATTTCAAAGCTTTTCCTTTTCACTGAAAGGCCAATATTAGTTAAAATGGGACGAATATTTTCATTATCATTCCCTAGCATCCCATCCTTAAGCTCACTTCCCCAGAATAAGAGAGCACAATATATACCATTCATCTTCAGGCTTTGATTTGATTAGACTGTCTAAATATGCTAGAAAATGCTCAGGATTGCTTTTACAAATTTGTTTGATGTCAGAAGGCAAAATAGAGGGATAAAACTTGATCAGGGGCCTTAGAGAAGTTTCTCCAAATTTTTCATAGAGTCTATAAAGGAGAGATAGACACAGAAGACAGTTAGTCAAAACAATTCTTCTCAGAAATATAATTCATTTTGTACATTATCAATTCACCCACATCAACTAAACTAATACTACGAATACGAATTTTCTGCCTATCACAATAATAGTGAAGCTTGCCTGAACCTAAATTTTAAAACGAATAAAAGAAAGAGTGGGGACATCCGTACCAAAATGTACATTCACTCAAATAGGACTTTCTTCCTCTTTTCTCCCCTTGGTCCCATGCACCCCTTGAAAATCTGCTCTGCAGGGTCTCCTATGCTCTGAAAAAGATTCTGAATATATGTAGGGGGCTTCAGAGAAAGGGAGACTTGGCCCCCTCCCACTTCTACAGACAGAAGCAGTACTAACTGAGGAACTACTTTACTGACCTAAGATTCAATAAGATCCATTCAAACAAGTAAAAAGGTTGTACCTCTGAGCATGTGCCAGCAACACAGGAGCATTCCAGGGACCCAGATCAACTAGCAATTTCATTGTTTTAAACATATCGCCATTTTCCAATGCAATAGTGACTGGGCTAGTCAGGGTCAGTTCTGAAACCCAAAATAGCATTTATTAAGCAAGAAAGTGTTTATCATACCAATAAGGGTAAACCTGAGAAATTCATTTGAGATAGTCTGGATGAATTAACAAGTGAAATTCAGTTAATGCACTGGATCTAGCAAAACCCTCCAGTAGATGGAAAAGTGTTCCTTTCTTCAGCAGTAACCTTTTGATTCACTGGAATAATTTTATTCTTTACTGATTCCCCCTTTTTTATTATTATTATTATTATTATTATTATTATTATTATTATTATTATTATTATTATTATTATAACATTTCTATGCCGCCCCTTGCCGAAACCTCGGGGCGGCTTACAACATGATAAAATACATTGAAATACAATAGTACATAATAAATTACCATTAAATATAAAAATACAAAAAATACATTGATTTACAAATACAAAATTAAAATTATCAGTATAAAATAAAAATATAGGATGAGAAAGAGAAGGAAGAAGAAGTTGCCCAGGCCAGATCATATGTTTTAACAATTGAAATGATGTTTAAATAAAAAGGTCTTTACCTGGCGCCGAAAAACCCATAACGACGGTGCCAGGCGGACCTCTTTGGGGAGTGAATTCCATAGGTTGGGCGCCACCGCAGAGAAAGCCCTCCTCCGGGTACTTACTCTCCTAATTTCTTTCATGGAGGGTTCCCGGAGAAGGGACTCTCCCGCAGATCTCAAAGGGCGGTCGGGCATATACGGACGTAAGCGCTCGTTCAGGTAGCCAGGACCCAAGCCGTTTAGGGCTTTGTAGGTCATAATCAACACCTTGAATTGGGCCCGGGCTTCAATGGGAAGCCAGTGAAGCTGACGGAGGACTGGAGTCATGTGAGCATAATGCCCCGTCCCCGTCAGCAACCTGGCAGCTCTATTTTGCACCAATTGAAGTGTTCGGACTGTCTTCAGGGGAAGCCCCACGTAAAGCACGTTACAGAAGTCTAGGCGGGAAGTCACCAGCGCGTGTGTCACCGTCGCCAGGCAGTCGTACTCCAGGTAGGGGCGCAGCTGATTAATCAGCCAAAGCTGAAGGAAGGCGTTCCTCGCCACTGCTGTCACCTGAGCTTCCAAAGAAAGCTCCGGGTCGAGGAGTACTCCTAAGCTGCGGACCTTATCCCTAAGAGGGAGTGTTGCACCATTCAGGACCAGGTCAAATCCACCCTCTCCGAAACCCGATCCGCCAACCAACAGGACCTCCGTCTTGTCTGGGTTGAGTTTCAGTTTATTGGCCCTCATCCATTCCCTTACCTCGGCCAAGCACCGGTTCAGCACAGCCACTGCCTCACCTGGATTAGTGGAGAACGAGAGGTAAAGCTGGGTATCATCAGCGTATTGATGATTCCGCAGCCCACACCTCCTGATGACCTCTCCCAGCGGTTTCATATAGATGTTAAATAGCAGAGGGGATAGAATGGAGCCCTGTGGTACCCCATGGCATAGCTGCCATGACGTAGAGACATGGTCCCCCAGCACTACCTTCTGGAATCGACCGTAAAGATAGGAGCGTAACCACTGCAAAGCAGTGCCTCCAACCCCCAATCCCGCAAGTCTATCCAGAAGGATACCATGGTCGATGGTATCGAAAGCCGCCGAGAGGTCCAGAAGAACCAACAGGGATGTACTCCCCCTGTCCTTCTCCCTGCACAGGTCGTCGTACAGGGCGACCAAGGCAGATTCAGTACTGTACCCGGGTCTGAAGCTGGACTGAAAAGGATCCAGATAATCAGTTTCATCCAAGAGTGCTTGGAGTTGTCCTGCCACCACTCGCTCCAACACCTTGCCCAGAAACGGGAATGTTGGCCACAGGTCTATAGTTAGTGGCCATCTCTGGATCCAGTGACGCTTTCTTCAGGACCGGTCGTATTACCGCCTCCTTTAAAGGGGCAGGCACTCGACCTTTCCCTTGCAGTCCCATATGTTCCCCCAAAAATCTGCTTTGGAGAGTTGATGCACCCTCTGGGACAGCAGGGGAGAAAGTACTGGGGCTGCAGAGAAAGGAAATGGAAACTATCATGCACCCCTTCCATATACAGAATGATCCTGAGTGAACTCAATTTAGGGATGTGGAATAAAAATATTACATTGAACCCAATGCGATTTAGTAAATATTTTTTAAAAATTACCCATGTTTAAGCACTGGAATTAGAGAAAGTGTGTGAAGTACTCTAATGTTACACTTGGGAGACATGATTTCACATTGTAACAGATGCAAAATACACTGAATTACTTACCTTTTAGTCCTTCCATATATGTTTCCCAGACCTTGGGGTGATTGCTATGGTAAGTTAAGATACATTTCTTCAGCCTTTCCAAATCCAGTAGAAAAAAATAGTCCTTTATGAATCTACAAGCCAAAGCACAGGAATCTTCTGGCTGCGCACCCTGTTCCCCATTTATTTGTGAATATTCGTAAATGTTTGATTCAAAACATAAAGTTGTCAGCTCTACCAGATCCTTCTGAATGTTTTGTGCTATGAAACATGGAGGACAAATCTGAAAAGACTGGTTTAAATCTATCTCTGATCTACTTATCTGATTGCACAGTATTTTGTTAATCTGATTACTTGACTCAGTATTTTCTTCCAAAATGTCTTCCTGTTGTTCAGGTGCAGCATTTTCACAGTTTGTTGTCAAGGATGGTTTCTGTTCCTCAACTGCAAGTTCATTATGTTGATCTGGTTCCACATTTTCTTCAAAAACATGCTCTTCCTCTGGTTGCAAAGGCATTTCTCTGTCTAACTTAGATAAACTATCATCTAAATTGGCAACTGCCTTGAATCGAAATGCTTCTTCTAGAAATGGAACCCAGTCCAGCAAAACTGTCCTCAAGCACTGTGGTTGTAACAAAACTAGTGGATCCTGGAGTCTTGCCCTGTAAAAAATTAAGAGATATTCAACTTATAACTTGTTAAATACCAGAACAAAACTACTGTCAAAATACACTGCTGAACTAACACTACAGTTAGTTAGCACTTAGTTTGCTCAACTAAGACAGCTGTTATCCAGGTACACTATTTTCTTTCCTTTGCATTATTTCTGGATATTCAAGTAATTCTATGTACTCTAAGAATCCAACATATTTATACTTTTTCCATGTGTTTTTACATTTGCAACTCACAACTGCTATTTTTATCTCTATCTGACATATCACTGATAAAATGCCAACACTTGGAGGTTTCCCATAGAAGACTTTCTGATCTTCCAGAATACATTAAACCACAACACCATCAGACTTAGCAAAAAAGGCTAATGGGGGAGAGATAATAGGAGTTGTAAACCAAAAGACCAGAATGGGGACAAATCTGGATCCATCTTCACATATTCTACAAATTTATTCCATTGACCTTCCCCTTTCTTCAAAGCTTGGGGCAACATACATGGTTCCCCCACTCTGTCCAGCTGTGTTATCCTCAAAGCACTTGCTGTCTTACTTACAGAGTCTCTATAGTTGCTGTCCTGAGTTCTCTGAGGTGGTCCTCTTCTGGCAGATGGCTCTGTAGTTCAACCCTTGAAAGATAACACTTTTTAGCAAATGGGAGGATTTTTTAATTCCTTCCCCTTCACCCCCAAATTTTGTTTAGTAAACATCTGTAGCTTCTGTAAAATCAATCCGAAGCAGTAAATGATTTTCAATTCTCTCACTTCACCATTTATTTGCTTACTGAGTCTCTTGCATTACAAATATAGCATTTCAGTCTTACCTAAAAACAATGACCAAGAATTCGCAGGAGAGTTCTGAACATAGTACTTATATTTCTATTATCAAGTATGTCTGTCTTCTTTTTCTAAGCTTTGTGCTCCATACCATAAATTCCAATGCATGCCTGAATTTCAGTAACTGTTCCAGTAACAAGTTGTGTTATGGCGGCATTTTAGCATGTTAATGGAAATTGGTACTTCAGGTATGCATCTTCATGAAAGTGCAGCAAGCATTAACCCAAAGCATAGGCCCTAGTAGCCAACTGATAAAGAAGTAGCTTTTCTGCCTTATGATCTTACTGAAATGGATTTTGCACAGCTAAAATTAGCTTTTACTCACTCTTTCTCCTGAGGCGGTGCTACAATGCTAGAGTTCATTTCTGGTGGTGGTTCTTCTTCAGCTTTTATGTCCTGTCTCATTTTATCAGGATTCACATGAAGGGTACCCATCTTTTCAATCTTCTCTGTGGTTTTGCGTACAAAACTAGAAACACTAAATATCAAATATGAACATTGTATGATCACCAGCAAGTTCAGGACCATAAGACAGACCAAGGTGCTGCATGGTATTTCAACAGTTAATTATTGGCATGAGATTTCACTGTTCTCTTCAGATACATAAGCTGACTGAGGTAATAGAAATATGCAAAGAAAAGCTAAATCTAAGTCTTTTTGCTGACTTGGGTGGAGCTTTCAATCCAATGTTTTTTATTGTTAAGCCAAAGCAACACTGGAGAAAATATGCAGGTTTTACGGTTAAAGATTTAGTAGTTCACATAAGCCAACTGCTAAATTTAAGCTGTATGTTCAGGGAAATCTGAGCTACTATGTGAAAAATTTAAATACTAGTCAAGATCTTTATGAAATACCACCCATACAGCTGATGAGAATGTTCCAATCCTGAACAGATTGCTAGAAATTAATTTCTGTTAAGTTTCCTTCATATCTCAGGACTTCACACTGTGTTTGAATGAACAAAGTTAAATATGATCAGGCAGCTGGCAGAGGTATTCAGGTTTACATGCATTGTTTCTACACTGTGCAAACTATTTTAATATTAATATGTTTAATAAATGTTAAGCATATTGTAACATTTGTATTGTTCCTAATGTGCAAAAATAACCCAGAATATTGACTGGATACTTTATTAGGAGCTAATACAACTCACAAAGTAGTGAGCAAGCTTTCAAATGCCCAGAAAGCTTTCAAATTCCTATGTCCAATGAAATGAAGAGTGGAAGAAAAATGATAAAATGCAGTGTATGATGGAAAAGCCCTCAAGTCTGCATATTTAACTGCCTGAAAACAGCATGCTGGAGACATTACCGCACACTTCACAAGATTAAAATTTATTAAATGGGTTGCACTAAAGAGCTCTGTAATGAAGAAACACTGACCCACTCCACAGGATCACCACACTCACCATGACTTGTAGCCTGCACTGAGCAGTTTTTAATGCCACGACCCTAGAACAGGCCATGAGTTATGCACACCAAACATGCAATCCAGATTCAGACAACATGACAAGCTGCAGCTTGAAAATTCAGAATCACCACCTGCACACACTGATATATGCCTCAGTCCACTGTGGTTTAAATACGCCATGGTGGCTTACTTGAGCTTGTAAACCAACCCAATGTCTACAATCCTTCTGAAAATATAGAAGCCAATAGTTATACTGATCTGTTTTCACAGCGAAAATCCAAATAACTACCAGCATTTATATTTTCAAAGGAGAAAGGTCAAATTTTTCTCTCAGTTACTCCTCTAGCCTGTCAATCTGAGCAGAAAAGAAATTAAAGATCATTTATGGGTGTACTGTACCAAAATGCTTAATATCAAGGGTATAGGCTTCATATATACAAACAAATATAACCAGTAAGGGATATACATGAACAGATGAATCTAGACAAAGGTTAATTAAATTTACCCCTTTATGAAGCCACTCATTTCATACAGAAAACAGAGGTTTTTTAACAATACACATAAAAAGCATTCCAGCTTGTTTTCCTCAGAAAATCTGAAAATTTCTATTGTAAATAGCATTGAAATGGAAATATTCCTATTGGCCCCCAAAGCAAAGAAGGTTTAGTGCAATGTTTCACATCTGATTTCTTGATGAGATCTATACATTTACTGTGCAATTTTGGTTCCCTCATTTTTGGTTACTGAATAGGATTTAAAAATGTAAATCCAAAAGTATCTTGCATAAGCAGAAAGGTACTTCCACTTTCCTTACCAAACTTTTCCAATTTCCCTATCCTACTGGAGTTTCCCATTCCCAATCCCACACCACTGCTAGGAATCCCTCAACTTTTTGGAGCAGTTTTTAGAAGGCACAACTGCTGTAGAAAAGGAAAATTTCACAGCATAAACAGAGTTAGATCTGTTCTTCTCAATGGTATTAGAAATTTGATTTTTACTGAATAATTATTTGGCAGTTCTGGGGTCAGTTCTCCTATGCTGAGATAGACTCATCTGATTGTCTACATACCACATGACATTTTATGGTTCCTTTCATCATGTTTTCTCTGACTAGGCTTGCAACTTGTCCCAGAACTGTTTTCTACAGATATGATTTTTCCTAAAAATAAATTTGGTTCCCAAAATTTTCAAATGTGGCCTTTGAGGCAGCAATGAATAATGGTCATTGTCTGGGGTGGGGCCTTCAGTTTATCTTATCTACTAACACACTGGTCCAATCCCATTTCAGATCTGCTGTCGTGATTCTGAATGGCTTAAGTCCTGCATCAAGAAAGGCCTTCCTTGGCACATGCCCAAAAAGTTGTTTCTACTGATTGTAAAAACTTGCCTTTTTTCCTATGGCAAAGAAAATGAATCCTACACTCTCTAGCTTCAGGAATTCACCCTTTCCAGACCAGCAATGACTAGGACTGAATGTGCCATGCTGACTGGATATAGTTAAAGACATTTAAACACTTTGCAGAAACACTACCCATACTTTAAAGCTGCAGGTTCATGGGCAAAATGCAAAGACCACTTCACTGTTCTTGAATACCTTTCTAATGACTGAAGAGACATCTAGCTAGCTTGTAAAAGCTAGGCATATAGATTAACAAGTTATGTTTAATGATTTGACAAAATAAAAAGGATGATGTAATGGGTAGGGAATTCACACATGATTTTACCTGTCCTTAACCGCTTGAAGAGAGACGAGAGGAGATGGAGAACGAAATGACAATGGAATATTGAATGGAAGAAAAGGTTCATTCCGATCAGTGTCGACCACCACAGAAGCATGAGATACATTGTCTAACAAACAAAATTAAAAATTTAATAAGTGGAATGAATTGACAGCTCATGTTTAGGAGAGACCAGATGCTATGTCCTCAACCAGATGTTTTGCCTTCTTTGGGATGCCAGAGACTAGCCAATTGTAATTGTCATGCTTTTCAAGGAGCATAGGAAGTGGCCCTGCATTTTGCACCTCCAATGTTAACAACTTTGCATATTTTCCCCCTCTGGGGAAACTATTTATTGTTCAGCTTATTTTAACCTGGTTTTAAAGCACTCACAACAAAACTGCAACTTGAACTAAGGGATAAAGGAACCAAAATAGTGTTTTGTTTGTGCAAATCTATAAATCATCAAGACTAATTTAATGAAAGATCCTATGGCACTAGGGCTTCAGGGAGGGGAGGGGCACAGGATCATTCAGATTCCCAGTTCTGTGATCAAACATAATGCTCCAACCTCTAGTCGCCCTCCCCAATACAGAAAGAATTCTGCTCTGAGGTCAGAAAACTGACTTTGGATAGGGGTTAAAATGAGCGTTGGGAAGGGAGGGAGAAACTGAAATAGCTATTTCCCCCCCTTTCCTTCCTCCCCTGGAGTTCCCCAACTGGATAGTTAAAAATGTCCAATTAGTAAAACGGCAGAGTAGGATGAATGGGAAGGTGCAGAATGCATCTTTCGCTCCTCTGACTTCGTGCTGGATGCTGATAATCTTCTGAGTTCAGGGGTTTGTCAGTCTCTCTCCTGGATTCTGCCTTTAGAGATGTTGTTCTCACTGTTATTTATCCTTATGTTTTAGAGTCGATAACACAACCAACATTCAGAACTATTGCAACACAAGCAATCGAAATTTGTAGGAGCCTCTACTGGAGCTATGACTGGAATAAGCAGCTCTGCTTTCAGAGCCTATAGCAAATACCTGGCCATTTCCTGTATGTGCATAAAAGTATTTAAGAAAAATTTATACTACCAAGTTCCAGTTGTTCTTCCTCCTGGTGTGCATGAAATTCTTTCAGTCTTTCATCTTCTGATAGGGTTTGGCTATGTAAGGAGCAAGAATCTTCATCAGACTGACTGCCTCTTCGACTAATAACACGATAAATTCCAGAATCTAATACACTGAAACTTTCCTATTAAGAAATCATAATATAAGCTTTAAAGTCCTGACCTTAAATAGCAACATCTAGAATTTGTTATATACCAAATGACTTATGCTTTGGTTTAGCCAAAAACAAGGGTGATTTAAGGCCCACTGATTGCATTACATTTTTAAACTTTTCTATTTAAATAAATGAACATTATGGGCACAGTCAGAGATGGAATGGTCCTTTGTTATTTCTAGAGATCAACAGTATAATAATACTCTTATATATGCATGATAAGAAAACACAGTAGATGTGTACATGCAATTAAATGCAGCAGATTTAATGGCATCTGAGTGTTCCATTGTGCACAAAAACAGAAGATTCAGCTTTGCAAAAAGTAAATGCTTCATGCTTTCACACTACAGTCAAACCTCAACTTTCATGGGTTAAATTTTCATGGATTTGATTATTCACAGGTTTGGGAATTAAATGGGAATTCTTTTGGAGTTTTGTGGCCTTGTCTTATTTGCAAGTCACCTTATACACCCAATATACAGGCATTTTTCTGAAAAATACTTCCCAATTGCCTGCTTCACACTTTATTACTGTATATATCAGCTTATAAGAAATAGCAAAGCAAAAATGGGGGTCACCTTATATGCCAATATATATGGTAATAACATGTGGAACAAGTGATCAGGAAGCATGCTTCAGAAAAATACCCATATATATCAGCATATAAGGTGAAAAACACCAGAAAAACAGCCCAAAATATCAACATCTTATATGCAAATCACCTTATATGCTGGTATATACAGTATATGAATTAAAAAGGAAAATTTGTGAAGCCATTGCTGCAGCTACACCAGTGGGCACAAAGACACAAACACATGCATAGTGAGAAAGAAAGAAGCAAACCAGTACATGTATGGTTAACAGTATTAAGTGTTAACCACTTAATTGGGGGGGCTGTCTAGAGATATTCATGGTTTTTCTACATTTGTGGGGTCCTGCGGCCCTAACCCTTGTGAATGTGGAGGGCCAACTATATTTTATGGGCAAAATAATCATAATATAAAAATTCTCTGTAGCACATTGTGTGAGCAAATTTGACATAGCTCTTCACATGGCACATAGTGAAACGGTGGAATTCAGAATGTAGTCGTGATATCCATGGTTTGGATAGCTTTAACAGGGGATTCATGCACAAACTCATAAGTAGAAGAATATTAAGGGCTAGTATCACAGGCAGTACACCTTGCTACAGCAGTTGCCAGGTGAACCAGGCAGGAGGGTACAGCTGTATTCAAGTTGCACTCTTGGGTTCCCAAAGCAGGCTGGCTACTGCATGAACAGAATGCTAGACTTTGGTCTGATATAGTACAGAACTTATGTTTTTATCACACCAGAAGTATCTTGGAACATAAAACAGAACTAATGTTATCAATTCTATTATAAAAAATCAATTACATGTTTGAATAGCTAAAAACATCCAATGATGCATGGCTAGTAAGTAGCATATTTTAAAGAAAAGATAACATGGGTAATGAAAAGTCAGCAGTCAAGTTTTATCTTTTATCTAACATTTTATACAGGAATATGCTTACATGTGAAGAAATGCTGCTTCTCCTGCTACTGCATGCAGAATCCAAAGGTTCAAGTTTTGAAATCAGTTCTTCAAGTTGAGCAATGATATCACTCTGTGTTGCAAGATCCAACTGTGATTTCAAATGTTCTAGCTTATCTATGGGAAGAACTTTCCTTGCCTAACAATGAACAAGATGCAAGTCTGATTAAACCAATAAAATTTACTAAATATAAGCTACTAATGTGTTAAAACAATGGAGGAGCACTACTTTATATGAAAGCAGTTAACACTTATTACTTCTGTAACATGACACAATGGCTTGGATCTAGGGATAAATAAATTTATGTTCATCCCTTTCTGTAGTGTACCTGGACATTTTCTTGTGCAGTTTACTCAAAGTATATCTACAATCTAGTCCTCCTAGGACATTGTCAAATTCAGCCTAGTAAAAAATTGTCCCCCATATTTCAGGCACAAAGGTACAAAAAGGAGGTTAACTATGGGGCATTTCTTTTGAAAGACAAGAGTTGGCACCAAAACCACAGGGAAAAAGCATTAAAATCCATTAAGAACAAGCTTTTTTATGCTGATTTGAAATTTATACCCTCAAACAGGCCAAGCATTGTCATGCAGATTTTACTATCATACTCTGACATGGTCAAAGATTAAGTCTTATATTACCTGTACAGGCTCAAGGCTCAAATCTATTCTTATTTTGATTCAAACCCACTGGGGAAATCAGTCAAACAAAGACCTTTCATATGCAGCATTTGCCCTGCCAGGGGCAATTCTGTCTGAGGTGACAAGGTCTCCCCAGCACAATATATGTCAGGTTTCAAATACAGACAAGGTTAAAGAGGCATTTTTAGAGAACCGGGTCTGTTGCAGCAACTTGTGAACAGCAAAAAGCCTCTGCAGAGGGTGGAGGTCGTCTTGAGCAATGTAGCATGACACATACGGCCTTGCTGGGAAGGGGGAAAATGAGGGCAATTCTCATCTCCCTAGCAATCCCCTACACTTTGCACCATACTGTGCTCTCCTCAGCAATCCTTTGCACCCAATAGCACATTCTCTTCAAGCAAGCTCCCTAACCTCTTGGCAAAGGCTGTAGGGAGAACAGTGGACGGGAAGCTTACCTTATATGAATTATCTTAAGTTAGTGTCTAAGCTAGTATGACAACAGTTAACATTTATACTGCAAGACTGATTATTTCTCAGAATTCCTTTGAAATTCCTTTAACAGAAGACATCTGTTTGAATGTGTTTACAGAAGGTAATTATTTGGATTACCCGACACAATAAAATAGAATTCTGGAAAAGACAACAGATTCTGGCTGCAAGATTCCAGAAGTTTCTCCTAAGCAAGCGTTCTATGCATCTTTCAACTGGCAGGAGGAAGAGATGCGAGACTTTTCCAGTAGTGTGTAAACAAAAGAGTTCATTCTTGTAAACCACAATATCATGGATATCTAGGCAAAAGAGATTATCAGAAACGTCAGTCTGAATACAGCTCTCCATTATTGCCAACTCATTCATTCATTCAGGAAGCTTCTATGCCGCCCCATTCGCCGAAGCCTTGGGGCGGCTCACAATAATAAATAAACACAATATAAAAACAATACAATTTGAGTCAACCTGGCCAATAAATAAATACATAAATATTAACAATTAAAATAACGTTTGAATAAAAAGGTCTTCGCCTGGCACCGAAAAACAAATAACAACGGTTACAAATTTTACAGTTCAATGAAAAAACATTTCTTCCATTATCAAGATATTGTCCTTACAAACACATGAAGGCTAATAAGATAATTTCCCCTCTTTCAGGATAGCTAATAACAACTTCCTTTGTAATGGTATCTATAGGCTTTCCCAGTTACATGTTGTGATTATCAGCACTGGATTCTAAAGCATGCAGAGGACTACTTTACATGTTTACCATACATGGCTGTTAAGAAAAAAAGCAAACATTTAGGGAAGTCTAATATGTGATCTGCATTGTGTGTAGCAGTTCCCAAGAAGCACACAGTGGCCAAAAATTCTTCATCCATGCTTTTCTATGTAATAGCATACCTTTAATGCTGATACACACATCCAAGTACATTGAATTACTGGAAGACATTCTTGCATGTGAGGACTAACTTGTATCAGCTATTCAAGTAAACCTTAAAAACTTCTCTCAGTTGAAGTGCAACTGTGTCAGCTATCAAAAGGTCATCTTGGTCACAAATCACAGACAGGCTAAACAAAAAATAGGATTAAAAAGAACAATTGCCCAGTTCACATTTACAGAGGCAAATTATAGGTTTCTTAACTCACCATTTGGGAGGATCTGCTCTGCCTATTTCTGTAAAAGAGCACTCTGATCAAAGGTTGTTGAGCATGACAACATGGATTATTTGGGCCCACAACATGGGCTAACTGTTGGTTTGTTTAGCTCCAAACAATCCATTGGTCTGGATCCACATTTCATGCTCAATCAGCACCAACCAGAAGTTTTTACAGACACTGGAGGCAGCATTGAGGCAGAGCACATCAAATAGGGCCAGTCACAGGCTGTTTACTACCCACAATTTGCTGTTCTGACATGCAAAGTAGCCTGTTACGATGTGCCTAATGTCCATTTAGGTATAAGTATTACCTTCAGAACCACAAGGATAAGTAAAAGGAGGTCAAAAAGAAGGGTTAAGGTTAACATAATGTCATTTCTTTGGCAATCACCACCAGCTCTGCCCACAAACATCAATTCCAAATGATTACACTCTTGATTAGTAAAAGATCTGCCGAAACACATCCATTGGGCTCTAAGTTTGCTTGCTGGTATGTGTCATCAAGTCATCTCTGACTTAGGGTGACGCTATGAATAAAAGCCTTCCAAAATGTCCTATTCATGACAGCCCTGTTTAGCTGTTCTGTAAAAGTTCACATAGAGATGGTATTATTTCTCACCATTTTCAATTAAGTTTCAAAATTTTACTAGATATAATTTATCACATAAGTACTGGATGTTTAGAAGTGAGCCTTATAGACTTTTGGACTTACAAAAATATGCATAATTTTAAAAGCACATAAAATGAGCTTTTAAGAATCAAGTACACTACAGAACATGCAATTTACCTTTTATTTCACTCCAGAGCAAAACTTGGACATTTTGGGGGATAAAAATATAAATGCCTCTTTCTGTCCATGTCATTACACAGTGCTCACTGTAAAGAAAAAGATTAAGCAGAAACATGATGCAGAAGTTCATTACCACCAAAGCTGTCACATGGTTTTAAGTGTTCAAACAAAAGGAAAACACTTGACATTTTGGAAAGGAAGCCTTGCCTTCCTTTAGGAGTAACTGATGGAAAGAATGCCCCACAAAAACAAGGCAGACAAATAATATTCATGGCCACACATTAAGGCTGCCCTTTTCCTGCCAAGTAAACCTGCACAGATATGTACTGTAAAAAGAGTAATGTGAAAAACAGTTTTATATGATTACAGTAAAGAGGTTGTAAAGAAATTACCATGTTATTGGTTGGTCGTCATGTAATACTTGTTGCTAAAGCAATATGTTTATTTCAAACAAAAAAGAACAATTGCCTGCAATTACAGTAACATTCACTTAAGCTGTTTGCATGAATTAATTGGCAATATCGTGGTGGTCAAAATGCCGGACTAACTGAAGACTTTAAGACCTGGGTTCAAATCAAAATTCACTCTCGTAAAGCTTACTAGGTCATTTGGACCAGTCACCATCACTGGGCAGCATCCAACTAGATCATGGGTCCTCAAACTATGGCCCGCAGGATGGATTCGGCCCACCATGGCCTTCCATCCGGCCCATGCCGCTGTTCCCCACCCACATGCGTGCTTGCTGCACAGGCGGGGAGGTGGTGGCTTGCTCGCTTGGAGATGGTCTTTGAGTGAGCAAGCCGCCGCCTGCCTCCTGTATGCATGCACTCACTGCTGTCTCACAGAGTGGGTGGGGAGGTGGTGGCTCGCTCGCTCGGAGATGGTTTTGGACTCGCTGAGAGATCTCTGAGCGAGCGAGCCACCACTGCGCACACCCAGTGCCGCCTCGCGTGTGCCTGATGGTACCCCCACCTCACCAGCCCGCAATGGTCACCGCAGCCTTTCAACTGGCCCCCTTTTCAAAAGGTTTGAGGACCCCTGAACTAGATACTTGGCCCCACTTATCCTGCTACCCAAAGAATCCTTGTCACAAGTGGGGCCTAAAACTTACCACAAGAGCACTACTAGGGACAACCCAAAACGAACAGAAACACTCATTTCTGGAGTACTAGGAGTGCTTGCCCAAGGGAGCTCACTAACCTGCCTCCTCCAAGAAACAAATGTTTCTTCACATTTCAGAGCTTCTTCTAGGAGTCCTACATCTCCTTTGTATAAATGGGGCCTCCCACGTATAGTGAAATCCACCTGCTGCAGAAAAGAATAAGTGGGGTGGAAAAGTAGTAGGGGGTGAATGGGAAGCAGCAAAGGCATGCGTGCCCCACTAGATTTTGACCACTGAGCTGAAATTATGTCAAGGTCTTTCTGAGGACAAAAGAGAGGGTGACAGAAGAATATATGCTGCCTTGCAGGAGTACTGCTGCAATGCAAATACAATCGTTATCAACATGTTGTGAAGGAGAGAACTTAACATGAATTGAGAATATGTTAATTAAATTTAATCTGCAGTTGCACTGAAGTACTGCTGCTAAAATATTTAGCGACTATTTACATATTTACCTTAAATAAAGCAGCCTGGGGAAAGCCAAAGACTGGGGAGAGCAGCCAGAAACAGTATATGCTGGATCCTCCCTTTAAAAAGAAACATCATTTGTGTATTAGCCCAATTGATAAAACACAGTCTTTATATTATTTGTTAAAATGCAAAATGTCAAAGTCACAAGAAAGAACTGTACTACATTTTTACAACAAAGTTTTATACAGTTTTCTTTCAAAGGAACTCTTGTTGATATTCTTATATGTACTTGGTCTAGCGCAAGAATGGGAAACTCATGGCCCTCCAAACATTTTGCCTTTAACTCCCATGACCTTCACCAGTGCCTATGCTGATGGCTGTTATAGGCCAAAGCATCCGGAGAGCCAGATGCTTGCATATGGCTGTTGGCAGGAACCAAATTCACGTCTGCGCAGTCACTTGTGTAAAAGGATGCCTGCACAGTCAAACCATATGCATGGCACTTTTCAGAAATGACTAACTGCTGGGCAGGTACTCAGGTTTTGCTATTTACACAGCATGTAAGGAGCCACAGTCACCAGGTTCCAGGCTTTCACATGCTGGACTCCTTAAGCAAGAGTCCATCACATGCTCTTCCAGCAGAATCTGCTCTAGGTATCTCCGCAACTCCCCCAAAATATAGCACCACTCTTAATGGAAAGAAGCACAGAAGAGAGCCTTTTGGTTATTGGGCAGTATAAAAACAGATTAAATAAATAAATAGGAAGAGTCTTGACTGTTATCAGGACAAGGGCTTTCTATCCAGCCACATGATCTGGATATATCCAGCAAAGAAAAGCATCTCTACCACCACTGTAGGAACCAAAACGAAGAAGAAATGAGAAAAAAAAATCTTCAGATGATCCCAAACAGAGCATGGCAGTTCTGAAAAAGACTAGTTCTTATGAACATATTATGCCTCTCCTTTGTCAGCTGCACCAGCTGCCTGTTCCAGCCCAGACTAAATTCAATACCTTGAATATGGCAGATAAAGCCCTAAACAGCTTTGAACCACATTGTCTTAGGGAGCACTTACTCCATGTATTCCTGCCTGTCTTCTAAGTTCATCAACAGAGGCCCTCCTACAAGTTCCTCTCCTCAAGCAGCTTAAAACGGAGGTTGCGAGGAGCAGGGCTTTTTCGGTGGTGGCACTCAAAGAATGGAAAACATTACCATCAGGTACCTACTCTGCTGAGTTTTGGGTGCCTGACAAAAACTTTTTTTCCAGTGCACTTGTGGCACCACTTAATTATTTTTAAATCAATTTGCACTGAATCAATTTACCTTATTTATTTTAATTGTATGTTTATTTATGTTACTTACTGGCAATTTTATTGTAACTGCTGCCCAGAGTGTGATGCTAATGGCCTTTAAACAAATTTAAGAAAGAAAGAAAGAAAGATCCAGTGATTCAATATCAAGACCAATACCTTAGAGTAACAACAGGGAGAGCAGGCACTGACAGAAGTTGTTTGAACTGATGCGTACTTAGCACCTCCCCTTCAAAGTTCACCTCCCACATCCTTGAACCAGGACGTGCACAGTATATCAGTGGCTGTTGGCTTCCACAACTCTTTCCAACTGGGAAGAAGCAAGCTCCATATTCACCATCTCTTTCCTTATTGCCAATTTTCCAAAACTTTTCCCTATTTTATCAAAAAGAGTGAATCTTTAGGAAAAAACATTTATTTATTTTTATTTATTTATTAAAACATTTTTATGCCGCCCCATTCGCCGAAGCCTCGGGGCGGCTCACATCAATAAACATGTGTTGAACATGTGTTGAACAAGGTAAGTGAAAAGCAAAAACAAAGCTTTAAAAACCTTTGGAAGGGATAGTTGCACAATGTAAATGGGTACGCAGGAAAACCATTGCAACACCCAAGGAATCAGTAGGCAGGAGAAATGATAGTAGTAAAAATTAAATTGTTGAAAGGAACTTTGAAAGACACAAAATAATTTAAAAAGTAGGCCCGCAAATGATTAATGAGACATTACATTTGCACAACAAATATTTTATGCTGTCTTAATTACCTCTCTGTGTCACATAAGTAAGAACGAGTAAGAGAAGAAATAAGCAACCTTCCATCCAAATAATCAAGCTGAACAACTCGAGAGTCAACAGTGGTTACAATCTGAACAGGAAACATCACAAATGCAGTAGTTGCCTAGAGGAATTAAAAAAGCAACAGACAAAGGGTCATTTCAGAAATAACAGAACTCCTTTCATGAAAAAAAAATGCTCTAAACTGATTACTTGGAGCCGAGAACAAAAAAACTCTATGCACTACAAAAAATTCATCTAGCTTCATTTTATTTTTGAAATGGAGAGAAGAACTCTGGAGCTGTACTTGCCACCAATGTTTAATGATCAATGAAAACACATATTTAAATATCAACACACACTGGATGAAAAGAAAAACATGTACTATGTAGCAGCTTCCAGAATTCTGCAATGTTTTTGCTTTTTATAACAAAGCATACATTATCATGCTACAGACTTTATAATTTTTCTGGTCTTATAATAAAAGGAAAATTCTCAAGAATGCTAAGACACCTTGCTACATGTATCAAATCAAGCAGGTCTGAGTATTCATTTCTATATGGAAACCTTTTGATTATTATTCAAAACTACTCCTTTTGGGAAGACATGTTTATTCTTATTCAAAATGCCTCCTTGGGCATACATGCCTAACAAAAACCATATATACAGTTTAAAAGCCCACTTGTGTTCTAGTTACACTCATCATGCCAATACTTTCTCCTCACTCTAGCAAATATGGTAAGCCCTAGAAGACTTCCTGAGCCTAGAGCCGATTGGAAGGAACCACACCGCCCTTCTGTTATCACGGAAGTACTGTGCCTGCCAAGCTCAGCCTGGTGCCAAGCCTTCACTTCTGAGGCACACCAAACATTGTCAGAAGCACAGAACAAGGTACTAGTCCTAGCCCTTCTCTCCTGACCATGCAGCAAGAAGGGGGATAGGTTCTGGGTGACCAGAGGCCAGCCATGATCTGTGGAAATGCTCTTTTGTTGAATATCTCACTCAAAACATTTTACCTTTCCTTGTTTAGATGTATTAGCCTTGATAGCAGACACTTTCCCCACATGATCACCAACAAAAACACGAAGTGCACTAGTATCCCAACAAAGAGCTGTTATTTTTCTGCCTTTGTGCTCAGAAGAAACATAAATCCGCTCTGGCTTCCCACGACGTTCCTGATTCAATTCCCAGACAACAACAAGGCCTTGACTGAAAAATGTTTATCATCATTATTAGGGCACTGCATTTATATACTATCTCAACTCTAATTTACTAATTCTTGCAAGGAACCCAAGGTAGCTTTACACTGTTGTTTACTTTTAACATGTTTATATTACCCTTCATCCAATGGATTCCAGGATGCTAAACAGGTAATGCATCAAAAAACATTCACATATACAATAAAACCATAACATTAACAAAGTGAGGCAATTCTAAAGCTTTATGTTTGGGGAAGAAAATTCACTTTAAATATGAACAATGCATCCAGCTTCCTAATGACCTTTAATAGTTTTCACTGAATGTTCCCAGGAATGGAATTTGGGTCATAGAAAACTTCCACTGAAGGTGGGGGCCTGATTTCTCCTTGTTCTTGCAGCCTCATGAAAACTGTTTTGGAGGGCTGAAGAAACTTCCAACAGGGTGGGATGTGGAGGCACTGAGGACTGTAACCCTGAGAATAGAAGGAACTCCTTTTAATAACAGAAATGAGACTTCTTCTAGAAAGGAGTTCCAACCCAGTGTATTTTAAAAGTTTAGAACTTATTTTCCACATTTACAAGAATAATATTTGTAAATAACTCCAAGAAACAGACATAGATTTCAAATCAGCAATGTAATGCATCTTTCCCATCCTTAACTTGGAAGACCACTTAGGAGACATTGAACTGCTTCCAGTGACAAGACTAAATTTGATGGGAACCTTGGGTTCTGCTGTCCCTCTCCCTCCCTCAGTTGCACACAAGGGGAGTAGATGGAAAGATTCCATTTCTAGTTTTGGTGCAAACCACAGTTTATTCAATTGCAGTAAATAATGACTTGTGCAAACCACAATTTCTCTCCAAACCAGGATCTGAAAATGCAGTTGCATAAATCACAATCTGTCAGATGCAGTCAGTGGAAGTGTCTAGCCTCCTCCCTTGCACACAAGAGAGAAGAAAGAGGGAAAAAATATGAACAGATGTAAGAAAATGCACAAGCTGTACATTTCCTTCATCTCTTTCCTCATGTTCATGATCTCAATTCTTTTTATCAGAGGCATAATAGCCCAGTACTATAACCAGAGACAAGAGATTTAAAAAAAGCATTCTCACCTTGTAGCTACAGCAACATAGTCCTCATCATGCAAGCAAAATGCAACACGGGAAATGGCACCTTCCTACCAAGACAAAGTCATCAAATTGGTCCTATTAACATTCACTTCCTTAAAAATCTCCAACCCACAGCTGCTATACAAAATCTTCCATACTGATTACTCACTCCCAGCCTCTTTTAAACATGTTTTTACCAGTTCACCAGCTCCTTGATTCAGTTCTAGTTACTGTTTCTAAACTAGCTACTATTCACATTGTAAAAGGATTTTCTCAGCCATTTAATAACCAAACAAGCAACCAAAAAGATTGAGCGCTATTTCTGTTGCAGTACTCAAAGAAGTTTTACATATTTAAATGAAAGTTTTACTCATTCACTATTGGATGTTTTAATGAAGATTCTCAGCTTCTGAAGGTTACACATCTTTCTTAGCCTGAGATTTCTTAAAGTTTCCCTTCAATCTTACCTTATGATTGAGAAAAAGCCTCTGTTTCCAGCTCTCCTTGTGAATGAGGTTCAGGCCACCACCTGAACTACCCAATGCCAACCATTTTCGAGAAACTGCTATGCATGTGCACTTCAAAAAAAAGGATACAGTAAGAAATCATCACACTGCTGCATAAAAATATTGCTATCATGGATAGTTTTACTTCCACTTTCAAGGGGAAAACCCCAGCAGACATGAGGAACTTAATCACTCTTACTACCAAGCCATTATAAGAGAACCAGGGGCTTCTTAGCACAATAACAAGACATTAGGAGGGTAGGTACTCGGAGGAGGGCTTTCTCTGCAGTGGCGCCCAATCTATGGAATGTGCTCCCCAGAGAGGTCCGCCTGGAGCCGTCGTTATTTGTTTTTCAGCACCAGGCGAAGACCTTTTTATTCAAATGTCATTTTAATTGTTAATAGTATTTATTCATTTTATTCTTTGGCCAGGGCGACTTAATTTATACTGTTAATTTATATTATTTTAAGGAAGTTTATTTATATTTGTGAGCCGACCTGAGGCTTCGGCGAATGGGGCGGCATAGAAGTCTCCTAAATAAATAAATAAATAAATAAATAAAATTTTCTCTCAATTTTAAATGAATGGCACATTTTGCATGTAGCTCTTCACCAGTTAGTATTATATGGATGTTAGTATTGCATGAACTTGTGCATTACATGGATTTATGCATACCTTCTTCCTCCAATGCAGCCATTTTCTGGCCTGGGATACTTCCAAAAGTTTTACTGTGCATCACCCAAACTTATTCATGGAACTTTAAACCAGATAATGTTTTGTTTTTGAACAGTTTCTGCCTTGTTTCTTATCAGGAAAAAACTGTTCACGAAAAAGGGACAGAACACCTGCACCTGCCTAATGCCTTGTATTTTATTTTTTTTTTTAGCAGTAGGAGCCCTCCATCGAGAAATGCCACTGGTCACTAACCAACTATATAGAGCTGATATTTAGAACAGGATTTCATGTGTTCAAATTACAGATCTCTATTAATTTAGACTAAATTGATGGTAAAGCCATTAATGTATATAACTATTTTCAACCTGAACACACACATATTTTCAGCTTTTCACCTTCAGCTTTCATACCCCATTTGCCTATTTGTAGGCAGAGACAAAGCAAGAAAAAAGGCCAAAGTTAAGAGTGAATATGCTCCAACAGCATTATGGGAAGAGAGTTGAAATCTGCTGAAATAGGCGAGTAGTTAAGAAACCTGTAAAACCCGAGATCGGACAGAGTGCTCCAACCCACAGGGAGTCAGTGATCCAACCCCAGAATATCCTCCACAGAGCCACTGCAGAAAGAGCCGTACAAGTTACTTGTATGAGAAATTTAGCCTCAGAAAGGGGGCAAAGGGGACATTCTGGTGGGAAGCAAGGGAAGGCAGTTTGGGATGCCAATATATTAGCTGTTCAGTGCCTCTGCTAGTTGTGACCCACCAAAGCTCCCTTGCTTTTCTATTTTTTGAGCTGTAGTTCCAGCTCTTTGATCACTAACCATACACCTGCTGGATAAAATTAAAAACCAGGTTTTAAAGATTAATCTAAAAGAGAAAAAAAAGCTTTTGAAGTCCTTCTCCAAGGGGCAAAAGTACAATATGCAGGCCCAGTTTTCACTGAGGCATGTTCTTGCAATGTTAACAATAGCTTATTGCAAAGTCAAACAGTTCATTGAATTGTCAGAATCTTAACTTGATCAAACTTAAAAACAAGTTTAACTAATTTTAATTTTTTCATGTTATTTGTTTAGAGTTCTGTTTTAATTGGTATTATCACTGTTAGCCAACTGGAATGTCATTCTTGGTGGAAAAGCAGGATATAAATTTAATCAGTAAATGGAACCTACCAATATGCTATATAGGCTATAGCAAACAATTTCCCATTTCCCACTCAAATCAGTACAATATCACATGTTCCCTCCTACTTTATTAAATCAAGAACATAAAGAACATGAGAATAATATGGTTAAGAGAATTTTTTTCAATTTTTTTTGAAAAATAAGAGAAAAATGGTTCACCATGAAGATCTCCCCTGCCAATCCTCAAAGCATAACATTTCCTTTTGCTTTTTAATTATTTTCTTTGCTTAAAAACTCCCCCTGCCTTAGCTGCAAAACTTCTATTAAGATTGTACAATAGACTGATTTTGCCTATGAATGTATTAAACATCTAACATTTCCAGGACCAGTCTTCACTAAATTGATGCCCACCAGATGTTTAGGACTTCATCTCCTATCAGCCTCAATGGTGCCAATTTTCAGGAATGCTTGGAGTTGCCATCCAAAAACCTGTAGGACCTTACATCAACTGCCATGGATTACAAATATATGGAAACTGTAAATGCTGTATGAGTACATCAACATCATAATTCCAACCATAACTCAAACATACCTTTAGACGACTAGAATCCAGCCTGAGAGCAGAGAGCAGTGGATTGAAGCATTCAAACTCTGCCAATACATGGCTGCAAGATTCAGGTATAACTGGCATAGACATCATCGGTTTCAGTTACAAGGGACTCCTACAAGTCAGTTACTGCTTCATATTCACTCCCACCTATAGGAATTAAATATAAAATACGATTCCTTCACTGCTTCAAGTAAAAGTTGGTTTCCTAAATATTCATTTCTGCTTTTATTACACAGGATCTAGCATTGCTAATATATCCATGAAAGACCAACAACATTCTTGCCTATATGCAGCTACTTTTGTTCCATTAGCTGCATGAAGAACACCTGACAGCAGAAACAGCTGTGTCCTCCATGTCCACTCAATGTTATCTTGTCTACTTCTAAATCTAATCTGGTGGTCCGGTTACTATTTGTTGAAGCCATCACCGACATCAGTGAGGAAGAAAGTCAGCTCCATCAAGTTCCTTCTTATGAGGATTTCAACTTCCATAAGCCAGCAGCTTGGACTAGTCTTATCCAAATCTGTTTGCATGAGTGAAAAACAGGTGCTTTCAGGTGTAAACTGAGGTAAATCTGTTTCTTTGTTCAAGGCAGAAATACTTATAGAAGTTTGCCCTGGCTCAGACTGTAAACAATCAACATGTTTGTGAGCTGCTTTCTGGTACATAAACTGCTTTGAACATTTTTTATGACCAGCAGCATATATTCTATATAGATCAACTTTCTCTCTTTGATAAATAATTTAAGTATTGCTTCTTGCTGATTGTCAAAACATGTCTTAGTAGTGCTCAAAAATATTTTCCATTGTGGTTGGCTTCTTAAGCTACCTAACTGAAAATAGTTCATTTTCTTAAAAGAGGAACATATTGGCTACAAAAACCCCCTTACAATGTTAAAGTTGCTAGAGAAAAAGGATGTGCAAAATAGTTCCTTATTTAGGCTGCTTTTGTAGCTTGTGTTCAGCGAAGAACTAAGAAGCAAGAACATTCAAATCTTAACACAAGCACACACAAATTTAGCAGGCCACAGTAGCTAGACGAAATTTTTGCTTGCTACTAATCTTGGTGCAAGGATAAAATCTTGACTCCACCAAGAGTACCTCAAAGACCTGAGCACAACAGTAAAGGGCCAGTCTTTGCCTTCCTTGCAATATTCAGCTTAGCTGTTACTGTATATAGTTTTTCAACTTGTTAGCAACCATTAATTCTTAGTGTATTGAAAAGAAGTGTGCAAATTTAATAAAGATTTATCCTAAGATTCAAGATAGGTTAAGGAAACAACCTATTCTTGCTGCTTTCCAACAAGATCTGGTCAATCACAAAATAGTAGAGTTGGAAAAGGCCAGAATTAACCAACCTTTCTCCAAGCTGGGGGAGGGTGTGATTTCTGAACCTTTGCCATCACATAAGAACCATATCCAGCGAGAAATGTGCTTCCAGTTCTTTTCTTACAGTTACTTTTTCAGATCAAAGGCACAAAAGCAGGCTGAATAAGTTTGAATTTCCTTACATCCCTCATTAGATAATAGTGACATGAAGTGTCTTATCTCCTACAGCGATCTCTAAAAGGATTTCTAGCCCAGAGCAGTCTCAAAAGGACTGCTCCAGAGATGCGACTGATACAGAAAAAAAGCGAACTGCACTTTGGTTTAAGTTTAAAGACAGGCTTGCACTACAATTTGGGGATGGCTAAGTGTCTTGGTCAAATAAGGAATTGTCTCCTCTTTATATCGTGTATACATCACGACCAGAATTTCAATCTACGGAGTAATAAACAATAGCGTAAGATAAAGTGTGCATGAGACAGGGAACAACTTCAGTTATATACAACCAAGCTGCAAGAGCAAGCCCATGAAGAGGACTCCTGCATACCCAACACAAATTCTCAACCGAAGTAGCGGTACCTTAAAAGAAGTTCTTCCAACCCACACCCAAACAATGCCGAATATAGTTTTCGGCCGGTTGCAGGCTCTCCGTTCTTAAATCGCCTCGGTACAGAAAAATGAAGCAAAGGGAGGGTGCGGCACCCTCGCAATTTGCGCGGCCTCTCCGCTCACTCCCACTCTCGGCCGAAGACTAGCCCAGCGACAGCCGCCCCACTCCGCCCCTGAAGGCACCCAGGCAGCGCGTGACTGCACCTCGCGCCGGCCTCTCCGCGTGCTTCCACTCCGGCGCGCCCGCCCCCCGCGAGATTGACACGCTGTCACGTCACCCCGCAGCCGCCCCCTTCTCGCACTCCGTCACGTGACGAAGGCGCGCACTCTTCTCCCCTCCCCTCGCTCCCCCCTCCTTCGGACCGTTGCTCAGGCAAGATCCCCCTCCCCCCCCAGCGCGGCGCTGACGACGACGACCTAGAACGGATCCGGGCCCGTCTGAGATACCGAAAGAAGAACGGATGGGGAAAAAAAGAAGCGAAGTCGCCCGCTGTACCGGACTCGTAAGGAACAGTCTCGTAAGGAATGAGGCAGGCGCAGCCGTGTTGTTATTGTACCGTCACCCTCCCCCCCACTTTTTTTCCCCAGGACACTGTCATGGCGGCGGCGATGCAAGCAGGCCTTCACGTGACCTGGAAAGGGCCCTGGCGACTGACAGGTTTCATCACGTGAGCAGGTAAGTGTCATGGCCGTGGTATTAGCTTCTTCTGTCACGTGACGTGGTCTTGCTCCTGGTGTGGGTTAGCTTTCTGTTTCCGGTCACGTGCTCCTCTGCCGAGCTGCCTGGCCGCCCCATGGCCCGGGAGGAGGCGGCGGCAACGGCGGCTAGGAGTTCTTTGCGCTGTGAGCGAGGAGGCGTTTGGGCTTCGGTGCCCTGGTTCTTTTGAAGAGAGCGTGTCTGTATCTCCTGCAGGAACAAGAGGAACTAGTAGTAACACCCCGGGCTCTCCGGAGCTGTGCTCACGGTAGGGAGCGTATCTGGACTCAGTGGTTCCGGGGCGGGAGGCCCGTCTCGCTTATTTCCACTGGGGCGGGGAAGCGAGGTGAGACTGGATGGGGTTTTTCTTTCTCATTGCTAATGCGTTAGACTCCCTGTGGTGCATGGGATTGGGCGGGGTGTGCATTATAGGCACCTGGAAGATACAGTATGAATCTAGTTTGACAAGGTGAGGGAGCACGTTTTTCTTAAGCGTCTCACTTTCCATCTCTGAATAGTTTTCGCTTTTCATCTGAGTATTATTTTTCTTTTGTCCTGCTTTATATTGTAGACAATACCCTTGTAGACCTCTACAAGGAAGTAGAGGCTTCTTGACTAGCTTGTTTGCTTTCTCATTCTTCTTTTTTTCTGGCCCTTCGTCAAGAACTGTGTCAATTGTAGCATAAGTAAAAGGAAAGGGTCGGTTAATGAATTGATAGGGTGATGTGTTGATGGTTAAGGGATTTGAGACCTAGACCCTGAAACTGTAGAGCATAATCTTGGGGATGAACAGACTAGTGTTCTGACAAATATATTTGAGAAGTATACTTGCATTTTATTTTCATGGTTGTGCAGTGCAAAGTATAAAATTAACGAAAGAAAACCAGTGTTTCCAGAAAAAACAGTTGCCTTTGGTGGCTGTATTACCAGATACTTCAGCATTTATCAGGTAAGTAGCTAATAAACTTCCCATTTAAAGAAAAATCATGGAGGAAAACATACATCCTTCTTTGATCTTCTTAAAGTATATTTGGCAAATGAGGGATCAGTACTTCTGTTTGCTAGGTTTTTTGGTAGAGGTTGCTTGAGGAGAAGTATTGTGAGATTATATGCACCCCAACTGGGTTCCCTCATTTATGTGAGGAATGGTTTAATAGAGTAGGGACAGAATTTTGTAGAGAAGGACATGGGTGCTAAGGAATATAGGATGATGCATCATTTTTAAATCCTTGTATTTTGCTGTGTGAATCACTGTTGCAAAAGTCAGTTCATGCATTCTCCCCCAAAAGCATGTTTGCGGGCGGGGGGCGGGGAGCAAACTTTTTGTAGGCTTTCAAGAGATCTGGAGATTATAACAGAATTGAAATATAAGATTTTGTCAGTTTTGGGATTTGGGAATAATTCATCTCAATAATGCAAACAATCGATCTTAATGTATAGTACATTTATTCAAAATGTACAATATTTTTAGTTCATCTATAAACAAAAGTTATCTGGATTAAACAATAAAAGAGTAAAAGTAGTATGCAAGAAAAGCAATAATTGGCCTAGAAAATAATATGCAGAGAAGCCCAGAGATCTTCACCCACTGGGTGGTATAGAAATGTAATAAGTGCATAAATATAGAATTTGCAAAAATAGTTATTTTAGTACAGTACTCTACAAGAAAATACTGTAAAATCTGTATCTAAAATGCCCAGGAGAAGGGGAAACTATTTGATTGGCACCAAATAATATAGGCAGTAAGCTAGTCTCCTGGGGGAGAGATTCCATAACAGGGTGCTACAGCTATGAAGACTCTTGTGTCTAACCACTCATCTGACTTAAACTCCAGTGATCTTAGTGAATAACCATTAAAGCAGCTTTCAGCCTACTGGCTGACACATTAATAGGTAATATAGTTTAATGCTTCTAAAGAGCACCATAATTTCCATAAGCTCCAGCCTGCACTGTCTCTGTTCAGGGATTATGGGAGAAGTTGCCCAAGCCATTCTGAAGGACGTAGGTTGCCTACTGCCCTTTATAGCTTTGTGACCTAAAGCCTGGAGGGGGGTGGGGGCTTTTTTGTTTGCTTGTTGCCAAAACTTGCATTGAAGCAATCTTACATTGGCCAAAGATTGTACCTAAGGGTACAATCCAGTGTCCTCTATACTTAAAGCTTGAAGGCTAATGTGCATCTAGTATATGGCATGGGGTGCTAGGGCAATTTCTGCCACTCTACACCCTACATTTCATCTAGTTAGCCATTTTTTGACCATCTAGATGAAGCTCTGCAGAGTGAGAAGGAAAGAAATTGGGGTGCTGTTTGGCTGTATCAGCCCTGCCTCATCCTCACCCCGTGCACCCCCTGAGACTGATTTCAAGTCTCACTCAGGCATCCAGCATGGGTCTTTCTACTCCAGCAGCAAGGGTGGGTGGTGCATAGGTTCCAAGTTGGGAGTCGCAGTCCAGAGTTCCCATGGGTGGAGCTCCAAATAATCTTGTGTCTCCACAGACAATTTTGGGGGGCCTAAGGACCAAGGTGGATAAAAAACAATGATTTTTTAAAAATTAAAAATCAGATTTTTTTATTTAAATCAGATTTTTTTGGATAAAATGCTTTTTGAGGAAATATCTAAAGATAGTTTCTTATTTAAGATACATGCTAGTCCAAAGGTTATTCATCATGAAATAAAGTTCTGTTCTTAATTATATAGCACGAGGCTGTATTTTTATGCAGTTTTTAATTTTTTTGTTAATTAATCCATTAATCCATTCACAATATCATGCTCTTCCAGAGGTTTCTGTAAGATTACTGGGCAATTTTTCTATCTAGAAGATATCACAGATGCTCGGTTTTGCAGAAAGCTGTGAATTTGTGCCTGCAGAGATCACATACCTCCTCTTCACAGCAATAATGTTTTAAAGTAAACATACAGAGTTGAGAAAAAGACCTTAATCCAATTGTTCCTTTGCAAATCTATGTACACAGAGTCAATCCCTTACCTCTTGAGCTTTTAAAAAAATGATTAGAAAAAGATTGTTGGAGTAGAATAGATCTGCCCAAGAACTGTGATGAGGGAGGGGCAGTAAAAAATAAAAGTGAACCCTTTTGAATGGAATAGTCCAAGTCTTTATCTCTTTGTGTCTAGCCTGAGGTTTATCATATTATTCTTTTCCGGGAGGAGAAAACCTATACTGGTGGCAGGCTGTAAAAGAGACCCAGTTTGGGAATATTTTAATGAAGTTCCTCTACCTATGGGTGAGACAGACGTGTATGCAAATTGTGTAGAAAACCAGGATTTAAATGTAGTCTTATTGATAAGTTATTTAAATCATGATTTATATCAAATCTACCCTGCTGAGGACACAGTCCCATGTGGCTGCCCATAAACTTCTGAACTCAGAAGGTGAACACAGGAAGAACTCAGCTGGATGCCCATAAAGATGATCCCTGCGTGCCCCTTTCCCCCAAAAACAATTTCAGTCATCTGAATGTTTCCTTTCTCCCCAAAAACAGAAGGAGGAGCCTGAGGCACTGCCTGGATTTGGCGAAAGCTGGCATCACCTCTCCCTTTCCTTCCCATCAGAACACCCGCCCTCCAGCTTCTGTCCCTAGGAGTCTTCAGGGCTCCAGGGCCTCAGTAGGTGCTGAAAGAACCATACCAACTTAGAGAGTGCAGAGAATCTCTTCATAGGCAGAGTCCCCTCTGCAACCTTTAAAGATTGTTCTGAGGTTATAGCAGGGGCTTTGCTTTTTCCTGTGGCTTGACAGCGCTTTTTCCTATGGGTAATCCAACAGTGACTACCAGCCAAAGGATTTTTCCTAACAGGTTTTCATAAATCTCCACTGAAGTCTTACGATATAAAGAAAGTAATCTAAAATATTTCTTTCTCAAACTATGGTAGAAAATGTTTTCTTTTTACTGTCACAGTGAATTGAAATCATTAGCAAAAAGGGAATTTTGGTGTATTTGTAATGCTGATAATTTCTTCTTGAGGCCAATGATGTCCTGCTTTGTGACCAAATGGCCCTGTCCAACCCTTTGATTCATAATGTATTTTCCATTGTTGAGCTAATGTAAAACTGTCCATGTGGAATAACAAAGTTTAGGAAATGGAGTAGCGATAGTGACAGGAATGCATATAACACCAATTGGCCTGAGCCTTTGATATTTTGAGTGTGTCAGTTGCAGAACCAAACTTTGCTTCTCCTATTGAGTGAATCCCATAATTGGAATTCTGTTCCAGAAAGGAGGGGGAGATGATTTTTAGTAATGTCCTGCTGCTCTGCATTGGATGAGCGTAGGGTTTTGCAAACATTGCATTAGGATTGTGCTGTAACCTTTTAGAGAAGTAAACACACACACACACACACACATCCTGCACAAAATGATAACCTTGATGGGATATTCAAATTGGGCAAAGTGACCTTGGGAAATCTTTTGTTGAAGACTTACGTTAAGAAAACATAAAACTTGGGTTAGCTATTTAAAATTGTCTTTTCATTCAGCCATTCAAACATTTTCATTTGCCTTTAAGAAGTTTTATTGTTTGGTTTTTCAAGGTAAAATAATGCTATCATAATTTGCCTGTAGAAATGTTTGATGAAAGACTGAAAAATGAATATCTGCAATCATTCATTTTACTTTAAAGCCAGTTTGGGAACTTCACTTGATCCTCTGCATGGGGCTGCCTACTTGTTTTTTGATTCAGTTAAAGTGGTGATTCTAATCTTTCAGTTTCTGAATGGTGCAGGGCCTGGTTATTTCAGGAACCATCTACACTCATGTGAGCTTCCATCTAAGGATACTATCCAACTCAACACAAGTGCTAACATAAATTACATTGTGCTAGTGGAAGTCACCCCTAGGACAATGTCAATATGATTTAGTGGTATGACTGGTTTTCCATGGAAACATTATGCCAGTAAGCACTATTGGCTTTGTGCTTGGGATGACTTTGTACAGTGTAGTTCATGTTAATGCTAGCCTCATATTGGATACTTTGAAGATAAAAGCATCTTTAAAACCAACAGCCCCTTGTCGAGCTTTCTGTCTCTACAGAATATGTCATCAACTCTATCTGTGTTTATATTTGATTGTTATGTATTTCCCTGCCTGTGCTGCACCTGAAGCAGGCAGTGAAATGAAGCAGGGTAGAAAAATGCAAGTTATGATGACACCAGGGCATCAGTAAGTTTTTTTTATGCATTCCAGAATGAAAGGGTGGAATTGACATGGGGCTTCCACTTTTTGCAACATCCTTGTTGTAATCTGCAGTTAACTGGGTAATCAGCTTTAGTTCAGAGAACAAAGAAATTGGTTCATCTTTCTTTTAGAGGTATGTAGAATTGGACCATATGTCCTTACAAAATATTTGCAGATGTACATTGTATCTTAAGCATGTTTCTGTGGCATCATGGCCTCAAATGCAAAGAAATCACCTTTCCCCTACATTTGAACATTTGCAGCTTTATTGATTTTTATCACTGGACCTTCCAGAAAATAAACTTGGCAGAGGTTTAGGGGTTTTCTAAATAGTTATTGAATGCTGCAACAATGTAGATTTTCACAATCCCAGCAGATTCAGCACCTTAATTCGTATTAAATCTTCCCATAACATCCATCCAGAATTACAGGAGTCAGAGTTATTATAATAAAGTAGTTAAGTCCAACAAAACTTTCATATTCCTGAAGTTTAACTATATAGTACCATCAACCAATATTTATAGCATTAAACGTATCGAACACAAAGAGATATCTTTCATTGTTTCATAAACTCTATTAACTGTTCATGTTTCTGCAATTAAGGTGTTACTCGAAAATCCCTGTGAATGGTATAAATACTGACTGTGTTTATAAAGCCCAATAAGAATAAAATTATGAACAATCACGATTATTAAGTGATCATTAGTAAGCTCAGCATAATACTGTTAAAATAAATATTGAAATAAAGAAAGGAATTAGAAACTATTTGGATTAAAAACCCTATTTGAAGGCATGGATTGATGGGATAATACATATATCAGTAGAGTCAGTGATTGATCCAAAGTTATTCAATGAGATTTGTGGTCAGGTAGGAACTAGTGACCAGATATCCTCAGTCTGACACTCCTAACCACTATGTCACCAGATCTCAGACCTGGATGCTCACTTTTTTGCATTCAGAATCTGAAAATGCCATTTGTCAGCTCTGTCTTAGTGTGGAGGCTAGCTATTTTGTCTGTCCTTTATATAGTTCAGAAAGCATGATCCTCAAATAGCAATGAAACATTCTTTTCTTGGATATAAATCATACAGAAGAAACACCCCACCAGTATCAAGAAAGTGTATGTTTGTCCTGCTCTTAAAGTAGCATCTGACTTTCCAACTTGATGTTATTCGAAAGGGAAAAGGGGGTGGATAAAAAAAAAATGGGGAGCTGGTCAGTTCTGGTGTTCCTAGATTATGCCCATGTTTATTCAAATTGTTCACTTCCAGTTATTAACTTGATTAAAAGACAAAAAATATTAACTTAATAACAGGCTTCTCATAAGAATTATCAAACACATTGTCACAAGTCACTTCTGTTCGCTAATGGGAAATGCTATATTAAAACTTAACTTTAATATATTAACTTTTAACTTTTAAAAACTTTTAAAACTTAGGAAGCAAGTTTGAATACTACCCATTTAAAAAAAAAATAAAAGAATACTGCATTGCTTTTTTAATGCAGGATCCTACAGCCACAATGGCAACATCTTCTGAAGAAGTTCTACTAGTAGTAAAGAAGGTGCGTCAAAAGAAACAAGATGGGGCTCTTTATCTTATGGCTGAAAGAATAGCCTGGGCACCTGAGGGAAAAGATCGATTCACAATCAGCCATATGTATGCAGACATAAAATGTAAGTAAAAACTCTCTAGTGAATGCCTAATACCTATCTCATCATGCCACTTTCATCGAGTACTGAAACATACAAGAAAGACAGGATCCCAGTCAAAGAAAGTTAAAACCTTATTAAATACTGAGCTCCTTTGTATATCAGTTTATGCATATTGGCCAGTGTTTCATAATACGATGTCTACTCCATCTACTTCCCTTGGCACCCAGATCAACTCTGCTCCAAACCTTTGCAAATTGCGCAGTAACTTGGGGTGGGGAGCTGCAGTGGGAAGGGAAAATCTGATCCACCCATAGTGCCTGTTGACTGGTTGGCAGACAACATTGGATTTCACAGTGGATTATCTCCAGGTGGTTATGAATTAAAATAAATTAGACTGGGGTGTCAGATAATCTTTTGTGGCAGTATATGTTATGTTGAGGAGTTGGAGTGAGGGTAGAACAAATGAGCCATTTTACTCAGATCAAGCTCAATGCAAATTTACCATTTATCTGTCTTGAGCAAGTATAAGCAGTTTGGGGCCTGTAAGGCACCAGAGTGTGACCAGCTCTTTCCTTGGCATGAGCCAAGGTCTCTAGTTAGCACTCCCCTTGGCTGGTGGTGGATCAGTTTTTGTGAGTGCTGAAAACTGAAATCAATTTCTGTTGGTACTGAAACCTGTTGATTTAAAGGAGCTGATTAGTGAAAGGATGGGCAGAAATGAATTTCCAGATGTTCTGGACTTTGGATTCAATGATTAAGAATGCTGAGGGGTGAAGTTCAAAACTTTTTGCATTTTTAATGCAACCTGAGTTAGAGTGTTAGGATTCAGGCCCCCATCTCTGCTTTGTATTCATGCTTCTGGCAGGATACATGTGCTTTGCCATGCCCCCACTGCAGCTGTTTTGTCATGGTGCTGACAACAGTTTATCAAATGGCCAAATTTCTGTTCTGTAAGCCATGGGCGGCACTTGTGAAAAATAATTGGTAGTGCTTATATGAGCAGTTTCCAGCACTGGACTCTCCAGTGCTTGTGGAATTATATGCAATTATGAAGATGGACTATAACTCGATAAGAGTCTATGACTTATGTGAATAGGGGACTAGAATAAGTTAAATACGATCCACAGACTTTCCCCTAGGGCAGTGATGGCAAACCTTTTAGAGGCCGAGTGCCCAAACTGCAACCCAGAACCCACTTATTTATCACAAAGTGCCAGCAATGCAGATTCAAATATGCCAGGGGGACAGCACAATATTAAAAGAATCTCAGTCTCTTAATTAGAACATCTGTTTACTAAATCTTAGATATTAAATTTCAATTTTTCTTAAGAAAACTCGAAGCTAAAATCTTGTGTTAATAAAAATGAATGTATTAAAACTCACAGACAATCCAAGCAAATATATATATATATATCTCCTTGGCAGTGCACTGACCGGCCATTCAAAAGCCCAGACGAGTCACGGCTTGTGATGTCATCGCCTGGCGTCGCTACTCCTTTCTGAGCATGCGCATGGCCCCTGTGTGCACTGTTATCTGATGCTTGGCTGCTGGAGCTATGCTGGGGTGACTCTGCTCGTGTGCCGACAGAGAGGGCTCTGCGTGCCCACTGCGGCACACATGCCATAGGTTTGCCACCACTGCCCTAGGGTGATTTTAGGCAGAATTATTAGGAAAGCCATCTGTCTAACCAGTGTCCATCAGGGTTGATTTTTGATTATGTGAACTGTGCATTTATTGAATCACAGTGTTCAGTATTACCGTGTTTCCCCGAAAATAAGACACTGTCTTATATTTTTTCTGGCTCACAAAAACACACTAGGTCTTATTTTCGGGGAAACACAGTAATCTGCTCACCATTTTTGGACCAATCGGAGATTCAACTTCTCTTTGCAGTAAGCTGTATTCTTGCCACACGAGTCCTCTATGATTCTTTTCTTGTACTCGATGGAATAGTTCTTTCTTTTTGCACTCGTCTGGAGGTCAAAATAATATTCTGGTTAAATCTACCATTAAATATTGTACCATACCATAATACCATAATATTGTACAGGTCGAAGACTGTACAATAGGAGTGAATGGCAGGAGTGATTGGCAAAGTGAATGGCAAAGTTAAGACTAGGGTGATCAGGGCAATCAGGGGTGCCATACCTTCCCAAGAGCAATTTGGTAACCAATTGCTGGCCAGAATGAGCGATGTGTGTTTTCACTATCGGCTCCTCACAGGCGGAGGGCATTTGGTATCACTCCACCTGTGACAGGTGCGAGCACTATAGAGGAAGCATTGACTCATGCAGCTCCGCTCCTTCCACTGCCTGGCTTCTCTATAGCGCCAACTCCTGTGGGCAGGTGCCAGGTGCTGACTGAAAAGTTTTTTGTTAATTATCAGTAAGGGAAAAGGGTTTTGTTAATCATCAGTAACCATCATCAATAATCAACTGCCACATCCCCTGCAACACTCTTTATTAGCTCTCTGTACCACGGAGGGAGCAGAGCCGCATAAGCCGGCTCCTGTCACAGGTGGAGTACATTTGGTATCACTCCGCCTGTGACAGGAGTTGGCGCTATAGAGGAAGCATCGGCTTATGTGGCTCTGCTTGCTCCACAGGGAGCGGAGGGAGCAGAGCTGCATAAACCTGTTTCCTCCGCACAGTGCATTAAGTTAAAGTTAAGTTAAAAATAAAGTTTAAAAAGGCTCTTTATGTTCCCCACTAGCCCTGGGAATAAACGCAGCTAGGTCTTATTTTTGGGGTAGGTCTTTTATTTTAGCAAGTACCAAAAATAGTACTAGGTCTTATTTTCAGGATAGGTCTTATTTTCGGGGAAGCACGGTACTTTCAACAAATTAAAGCTGTTACAATGTAAGTCAAAAAACAATGCAGTAAAAACAAGAGGCAGTTTTAAGGCAGTTACTTTATTGTTACACATGAGTAGTTTTTTGGGGAACTTCTGTTGTGTAAATTACTTTCTTTAAATATAGGTCAGAAAATCAGTCCTGAAGGAAAAGCTAAGATTCAGCTTCAGTTGGTACTGCATGCAGGAGATACAACCAACTTCCATTTCTCTAATGAAAGTACCGCAGTAAAAGAGAGAGATGCAGTAAAGGATCTTCTTCAGCAGCTATTACCCAAGTTCAAGAGGAAAGCCAATAAAGAACTTGAGGAAAAAAACAGGTAAGATGGCTAATGAAAAATAATGTTCATACCATCTAATGTCTGTTCTTAGTTTGTTGAAGTTGTTCTGCAGAAATGCCAAGAGTGTTATAGTTAAAACATTGGGGTTCCTGTCTCTAATTGTTTTCCAGAAGCATAGTTGCTTCACTAATGGCATAGGACATATATCTCTTTGACATGGAAGAGATGAAACTGGTCTCTGTAGTTAGAGACACATTGCTGTTCATTGATTCTGCAATGTAGAGTATACTAGCTTTTATTGAATCAGGTTTCATTGGTTTAGTAAAAACATAATATTATATCTTGAGTATCTGGGCTTGCAGTATCACATCAACTCTGTAGTGAAATTCTTCTGAAAGGCTTCCACTTAAGCCATCTATTTTTAGGAAACCCTTAAGAAGCACATAGAAGGTCAGTATAATGGATATTCAAAAATTGCTTGGTAACAGTGGCGAAAAAAAAAAGGTTGCAGACCTATAACCTGGAAGAAAGTCCCATTGAACTCTTTAGTTGACTTGTATAGTATTACAATTTAATTGTGTTTTTGTTGATATGAAACTGAAGAATACATTTAGAAACCATGTGTCAAATTTGAAACCCTGGTGTGTCCCCTCCTGGTTTACTCAAACCATAGGGAAGAGAAACACAGGAGCAAATTGCTTGTTCCTGGTCCTTCAAACTGGAAGTCAGAAATGCAACACAACATAGCAAGTATAAATTCTCATTTATACTTCATAGCAGCTAAGTTTGGAACAGATGTTAGGCAAACAATTCTAGAGATTTGTTTTAAAGCTCAAAACTATTTCAGAATTTGAAATGGTAGAAAGCAGTTATTTTGTAAAATAAATAAGCAGAATTCATCACTGCATTAATTCATTAAATTGCCTGTAGGTGACAGTTGGTTAAGAAGAGAAAAAAGTAGTATTCCTGAGACATAATATTATTATCCCCTCAGTGTTTCATATCTTCAGAACCAGAAGCTGTAATCTTAAATGTACTTGCTAAGGAGCAAGACCAATAAAACTCTACAGTTGATGTGCTAAGGATTGTGCTGCATTCTTAGGATTCCTAAGTGATATGAGGGAAATGTAGTTTCCTTCATTCTTAGACTATTTTATCATACATAATCTGGGTTCACACAACACAGCAACCCACACTCAGGGTTGAGAATGAGTTGAACTACAAGTGCATTGTGTAAACCCAGCTGTCCTTTAAAAAAAAAAAAAACTTTAACTGCAACCAACCCATGAAGATGACCCAAAGTTTATTTTGGGTTGTGAAATCTGTGTTGTTCTTGTTTAAGAAACAGCTGGGTGCACACAACATACCAATCAATGGTTCCATGTCAACCTGCACACAACCCTGATTGTAGGATGTTGTGTTTTATGAACATAATTGATACTTTGAGTTATATCCAGTGATTTGCTACCAAAAACATCGCAATAATTTCTGTTGTTCCACCATCATGTCCAACTACTATCAGAACTAGCACAATTAATGCAAACACCACCAGTTTTAATAAAGTTGTAATGGCTTGTGCATCATTCTGCACAACTGGAATCAAACTGCTGGATTTGACACTTGCACAGACATGACACGAACTTCTACAAGTAGAAATTTTGTTCTAGTAGTTGACACTACTGGATATCATCTCAATTTTGAAAAAAGTTAGTGACTTGTTTAACTCCTTTAGTACCCAAAATATTGTCATTGCTGTTATCTTATAAATTGCACAGAAACTCTAGTTCCTAGAGACCAATTCAATGTTTGAATCTGTCTGTAAAATTCTCTTCCCAGAATGCTTCAGGAAGATCCTCTTTTGTTCCAACTTTATAAAGACCTTGTTGTGAGTCAAGTGATCAGTGCTGAGGAATTCTGGTCCAACCGTCTAAGCATAAATGCCATGGATAATGCTACAGTAACTAATAAGCAGGAAGTGGGCATTTCAGCTGCTTTTCTGGTATGTTACATGTATGGTTTTACTTATACATATTTTACTTATTCTAGGTACATGCATGGCTTTTGATAGGAAAAACTTTTTCACATGGAATTTTACTTGAATTGCAACTAGAGTCTAAGCCACAATTGTTAGTCTTCTGAAGTGAGTGTAGCTAGTGCAAAAACAGTTTTGCTTTTAAATTCTACTATAATTAAAATCCTGCTATATTGAAATACATATTTCATGCACAACAGTATATACATACATAGGATCTCATGTGAATGTGCACAAACACATGTATTGTCATAAACTACATGTTATTGAACTGTGGGTGCCTGTTATGTTTTAGCCAAGGTGGAAAAACTATGGCTTGGATTCCAAAAGTTTGATGCATATGTCTGTGCAGTTCTTTGTGCATACAGAGGTTCTTTTAATATCTTTTGTCAGCTAGTGTTTCATTCTTCATTGAAACACAGTCCATTAAGTTTTCATATTTCAGGTGCAAAAGTTTTGGGAAGAACTGTGGCACAGTATGTATGAGTCTTATGTCAAAGGCACATCAGAATTTCCTCGCTTCATTAACTGCGTTTGCATGACATGGCAACCCATTGTAGATAACTAGCTTTTGGGCAACAAGCCGCTTTGACAACCTGTTTAAGCACAGTGATGATCCTGAGGTACCCCCTTCCCACTTTTAAATGGCTCTGAGAAGGAGCAATGAAAAGGGAGTGAACTTTAATTCTTTCCTTTCTAGACTAGATGGACACTTAGGAATTGTCCCAAAGTTGTTGAGCATTGAGAAGTGTCAGTGTAACATTTAAAACTCAGTGAATTATCTTGCTGAGGGGGGAATCTACAGGCTACCCCCTTTTGGTGCACTTAGCTTTGCAGTATTTTTCCCCAATTTGTAAGTTGTTCTGGTTGACATCTTGACAGTTAAAAGCTGTCAACTCTATTCTCTTACCTTATTATTCTGTTACAGTTTGACAACTGTAGCTGATGAGGTGGTAGACCAATTGAGACTGCATATATTTTTGACAGCTGCAAGTGTGCATTTGTGTAATTTCAAAAGACCATAACATTATGAAGGCATTTGCTCACCCCCCCCCCATTTTTTAAGGTTAACATGCCAATAAAGTTGCTCCAAAATGCTTCTTGGATGTTGGCAGAGCAACTTTCACTGGTGGCAACATGAGACTTCAAAAAAGGCCGAGGAGAACAAACATAAACAGGGTTGCAATCAGAGTAGGGGGATGATAAGGCAGTTTCTGGTACAGAGCCTCCTGGGATACCAGCTGGAGGACTGGTGGTGAAAAGGGAGGGGAGAATAACCTGAACATCCGTTAGACACACTTTGGGTGGTTCTGCAGACAAGTTACACTGTGTGGCTTATTTACAAGGTAGGTTACTATGTCACACAAACTTGTTGACTCCTTGAGAGAGACAGCAACTAAGAATTTGCTTTAGCTCAAAAAGTAATAGGATTGTTGTACTCATAACATTGGTAGTCTCCAAGCAGGACATAAGAGGAATAGCTCATTTGTTGGGAAAAATCTCTCCACCTTTACTTACAGTATGAACTGATACCAGGCAGGTAAATAATCCACCCACAGTAGTCTTTGCCAAATGCATGAGGAGAAACAGTGTCCGTAGCTGCTAAACCATTTTCAGCTCTCTCCCTGCTACCTTGCACAAGAACATACTAACCCCCCCAGCCCAGGGCAATGAAGTCCACTGAAACCCTTTTTTGAAGTTTGCTCTTAAAGGGGTAATGTAGGCAGAGGGAGAGGTCTCTTCTCTCAACAGCTTCAGACAAGAGTCCAGAGGAGTGGTAGCTGGGCTTTCCCATATAAGAAGCCTTTCTTCCTTTGTATCCTACCTCACTAGCCTTTTGTTTGGGTCTCTGTCCACTTGCCATTTCTTCTCTGCCTCCCCCTCACCTATCTGCTTTATCTAGTGCCTGTCTACTTTTCCTCCTATCTTCCTTCTCCCTCTTCCACACAAGCCTTAAGTGTGTGTTGGCTGGTGCTGTTATTTACATTGTTGCTGTTTGCAGCTGCCCCAGCACAGATAGTCTCAATGAGCTCCATGATAGGGAGGGCTCAGGTTGCCTTGATGATACAGTGTGGGGTCTGACAGTGCCCAGGTAAGAGTAAGCAAGCCCAGCCAGTTCCGCACAAACAAGCACACAAAATCTCCTCTGCACATACAGAACCTCCATCCTACAACTTTCAATATCTTTGAGTACCTATATTGACATTTCTATAGCAGTCTCTAATTCTACCATCTTTCTCTTGTCTTAGACCCTTTATTTTGCAGCAGAACTGCAGGACGTAGAAAATGTTTTTATAAGCAGGGCATCATTATTGTGGATGCCACACCAATTTCTTTAAAAGGAAATAAAAAGAGAATAGTAAAAAAGTCTAACATACTTTTAATGTTCTATGTCATTGATACTTGAAATATATTTGCTATAGGTTTTTCAAGTTCTTGGTATACTTTGTATTGTGTTACATAATCATGACATCAGTAGCTTGTGGTGTCCTTCACCAGCTTTGGCTGGTGTAATTCATTCCCAGAGCAAGGTGACTTCACCACAGTTACCTGTGCCATCATAGCATCCTGACTACAAGATTACTTAATGTGTTGTGTATTGGATTTCCCTTGGAGAACATTGGAAAAATCAACTGATTCAGAATGCAGTGGCTATACTGTTGACTGGGACCTACCACTGTGAACACATTCTGTTCTTCACTTTTCTTCATTAGCTCCCAGATACTCCAAGCTCTATTTAAGATGCCTTTAGTACTTTTTAAGTGCTCAGTGGGCTTGGGCCGTGGTATTTGAAGAACCACCATCCTTGGCCTGAACCTACCCATCAGTTACCATCTTTAGAGGCTTCAGAGATTAGGCAAGTTGTTGCTGAGGACAGAGTCTTCTGCGGTGACAGACACTTTACCAATGGCATGTTGGCTGGCGCTTTTAGCACCAGGTGGAAGTCTGTCCTGTTCTCTTGGCTATTTGATGTTTGATTCTTCCACACCCAGTACTTTAACTAAGTATCTAATATATTTTGTCACATAATTGGTTCTTATACAAATATACTTGATTTTGTAAGCCATTATGTTAGTCAAGAGGAGGAGGGATATTTAATTCAACTGACAATTTTTAATAGTTGTTAATTTCTACACAGCTGAGAAACTAGGAAAGTAGTTTCACACTAAGAACTGGACAAATACCGAACTGTTTGTCTCAAGTAACTCATGCTTAATTTCAAAGAAGAGTCAATTATATAAAATGTAAAGGGAGATCACAATTTATGTAAAAATAATTAACAGCACAATACTCTGGCTGCTAAATGGAGTCTGGGATTATTTTAAGTCCCAGCTCTTATCTCAGAAACTTGCTGTGAGTTGGCACCTGGAGCTCCAAACTCAGAGCACATTCCACCCACCTACACTGGCTCAGTGGTTGCAAGAACAACCTCAGAGATAGACTTTTTGGAGTGGGGTTACTGTGTATGCAGTATCCTGGCAGTGCCTCAGTCTCTTCTCACACTCTTGAGGCACACACTTTAAGGCTGCCTCAGTGGTTTGCATGGTGCAAGGAACATGGAGGCACCCTTCACCTCTCTGCTTCTTCCACCCTACACAGGATGCCTATAATCCTCGAAGTTTGGAGGATCATGGGCCTATGTTTTGGATTGTGCCCTAAAAGAATTAACTATAATACCAATCAAGTATTGTATTCCTTCTAAAATTTCTTACCCATTCAGTTAAGTTTTGAGGTATTCAGCAGTTTATACGAAAGGAAAACGAAGGAACGAAAAAGAAAAAAATCTATTCCAAGTAAGAGAGATAGGTTCATATGGGCTCAGATGAAAGTTGGGGAATATGGATTCCATTAAAATGTCCCGGAAAAATTAAAGAACAGATTTAAAATACCGATGTTTGAGCCTCACAAAATGAATAATTTTCTTTTGAAAAATCCAGAAATGCAGTCTATATACCAAACATCATCATCTAGTGGTGGCTTGCATGGTGGAAATGTGGAAATAGCCTCGTACTTGTGCACCCTCCCTACAATGCTCACAACCTGTCATGAGAACCCAAGCTGCTGCATTTAGGCACTGACATGTTTAAATTCTGCTTCTCAGTATAAATCAGATATGTAGTGCAGGATGATCCAACACTTCGACTCTGTTAGCACACTTTTTAGCATAGGTACTGGTTCCATGTGATAATGACCAAACAATATTTTTTTAAATATTTCTATTTTTTTCTTGCAGGCTGATGTTCGACCTCAAACAGATGGGTGCAATGGCCTGAGATATAATTTGACTTCAGATATCATTGAATCTATATTTAGGACTTATCCAGCAGGTAAATAACCAATGATACTGAATTTTATATTTGCATTTGTAGCATCTCTGCTATCTTTCGAGTTTGCTTTGCACTTTCCAAATTCATTTGGAGGCATTTCCTCTTCAATTAGACCTTTGAATCTTTGCATGTTGGTATATTTGGTCACACTTCTAGTACTGTAGCTATGGGTTAATCCAGATTTTGTGATCTGCAGATGAAAACGTTCTTTGTGCCTATGCAAGATGGTTTATCTATCAGGAGGGGAGCAACCTTTGCTGATTCCTTCCTTCTGCTGCCATCACTTGCACCCTTCAGAAGAGTGCTTTAGGAGCCCCACCCCCACCCCCCCAATATCTGGAGGAGATTTTCAACCAACACACATGGCTGCAACAGAAGGAAATTTGCAAAAGTGACCTTCCACTTTCCTCCGTTGAGTGTCCTCTAAGTTGAATAAATCAAGATTCAATGATGTACTTAACAGTTATATTTCTTATGAAGTTGTTGCTTGTGATTATTAATTCAAGATTATCAAGTGTGAGTACTGGGCAACTGTGCTTGAATTGTTTTATAAGTGAAATACACGCTCCTAAACTGAAGGTTGGAAACTGTCTTAGTGTCTAAAGTTTATTGTGTCTCTCCATGTCATAATCTCACTTCTAAAAGAGAAGAGAGATAAATCAGTGGAGCACAAAAAAGTTCTTTGTGTGCTTTGATCTCTTCTACCTCTTGTATTCCAGCTTGGTTGTAATTTGGAAAGGCAAAGGAATAATTAGTGGTGGTGTGGTACTTAGGGATAATTCCAGTTGAGAAATGGGTCTCTAGAGGAAGTAAGGGAATGAAGATAGAAAGAGGACTTCCCCTGCTCTTCTTCACTCATACTCTTCTCTTCCTTAAACCCCACCAGTTAGTTAAGAAGACTTGGCCTCAGATGACTTCCTTGAGAGGACAAAAAGGAAAGAGGTTTAGCATTCCAATTCTATTAAAAGGGACCTCTGTAAAGGGTTGTTTCCCATCCTAACTATTAGTATCACTAGAGTATTAGAGGCTCTTCTACTGTTAACTTGGCATTAGGTGCAGCAGAAAGGAGTCCGGGATTCCCCTTTCCCTTGACCAACTGGGCAAATTCCCTCCCAGAAATTCCCCGGTCCCTCAATTCCCAGACCAGATGGTGGATTCAGCACAGGACAGCCCAAGTGTGGAGAACAAACAAGTTTATTAAAAGGGTAAAACATAGGGGTGGAGGATGCTAAAACATTACAGCTAAAAGAATAAAACAGGGGAAGGGTGAAAGAAGGAGGGAAGCTGAAGAGCAGCAATTGTACAAGTTACACGTTGCTGCCCACCAAATACCTCCCAGTCCTGGGAGCTTGTTGAACCAGTTGGACCCAAAATAACAAAGCTAACCCTCTTCTGAGCTATACACAGAAACTCTACCTTTGACAGAGTCACAATATGCAAGGTGTCACAGCATTCTTTGACACAGAGGATAGGTCGCAGATAGGAACAAAAGTGTCACTGTACTCTGTCCTTTATCCCTCGCTACCACTGGTCAGGTGACCAGGGAGAGATGGCCCATTTCCCAATCCTTGGAGCCAATTATTTACTTCAGGTGTCAGTTGTTAACAAGCCATTTCCACTATCTAACATTGTTGAGGCCATAATTTCTGATAACACCCAAAATTTATCACAAAAGGAGGAGGGTGACTCCCAAGACCTTGGGCTCCGGAATCCTGCTGAGTTGGCACTAGAATTTATAACATAGTCTCTGTTTTGAAGTTTGGTTCCAGTTCCTGTTTATTTAAAGGCATGTACTTTAAAGTATGTGTCTCACTTGCCAAGTATCCATGGAGCTCTCAGAATCATTAATCTTATATAAATAGCTATAAATCAAGGGCAGAATTAATTTAAATTGCACACTCGAACACATCATATCAGAATTCATTGTTCCCAAGTAATAGATGTGGTCCACTAGTTGTTCTCTGGAACCTTGCAATTGCATCACCCGGTTAGTAGTATTAAATGGCAAATACAGGATGGTGCAAAGAGTTAATCTAGAATGAGGGTTTTTTTGGTTAGAGATAAGACAATTTCTGAGCTAAATTTCTGTTAGTGCGTCCTGCTAGCTGTTGAATGAATATTATACTCTTTGCACTGCTGGTCTAACCATTAGACTCCCTGAGCCAGCTGACGGTATACAGCAGCAGTCCAGTTCCTAGTCTTCTCAACTGTTCGTACTTTTCCGAATCATGATGGTTAATATATTCTTGGCCTGACCTGGCTGGTGTTAACTAGGTGCCTCTCCCAGTAGAGAAGGCAGCAGTGGGAAAGGTCCTTGACAAACTGAGCAAGTGGAGGCAACCCAGGGCATATGGTCCAACAGGCATTGCTCATAGGAGTTCGTGTGCTGCCATGTCAAAGTTTGAGATGGTAGCAAGCAGGTATCAGACAAAGCTGTAAGCAGTGTCAGACAACAGAATTCTTTGTCACATAGCCTGCCCTACCCTCCTTAAGTCTGTCTGCCCTTGGTTGGCAGTAGAGGATGCTGTCCATGTTTTGACATGTTGTACACTTTGTACTCATTATATGCAAATCTGATATGCAGATTAGTGTAAGAGCATTTTAAATAATGAATTTGAAATGGCCCTATAGTTTCTAAGTTTTTATAACTGTTGTGTTTCCAGTGAAACTGAAATATGCAGAAAATGTTCCTCACAATATGACGGAGAAAGAGTTCTGGACGCGATTTTTCCAGTCTCACTATTTCCATAGGGACCGGCTGAATGCAGGATCAAAAGACCTTTTTGCAGAATGTGCCAAAATGGATGAAAAGGGTATGTCATTATTTTGTTTTCTCTGGGTAATCATGCATTGTGTTTTCTAGACTTATTTGTGAGCTTCAAACAACATAAAGAGGAGCTGCTGTTGAAACTTCTAAAATATTTATTGGGAACAGTATGCAGCTCTCCATTTCTTTTGCCTTAGTGCTTGAATTTAGACATTGCGGGTAGATCCCAGAGGCAATGAAATTAATGTAGATAGTAGCACCTTCTGAGCCCAGTTGCAGAGACGAACCATTGTGACTTACTGTGATTCACAAGCACAGGTAGACACAATGGTCTGTTCCAGCATTTCTCCCTACCACAGTTGCTTCTTTGTTGTCTAAACTTGGACAATACAGCCACTCCAGAACAAGAGAACTGCCTAGCAACAGTGACGGTCGCTGCTCTTGCCAAGCAGCTAGCCTGAGAACGTGGCTGTCAGCTGCCCCAGTTTGATGCAGCTGTCAAGATAGGTCCTGGCTCCTCCTACCTCTATCCCCAAAGGTCTTAGAGGCAGAACCTGGGCATTTTCAGCTCCCCTGCACTTTCTTTGCTGCACTTCAGGATGTGAGCCCTGTTTGGGCACCAAAGACTGCTTGATAGCTGTGGCAGGCTGAAGTTGGCTGATGTTTGTCAAAGAGAGAAACCTCATTCCTCTCTACAATATCCCACAGTATACAGCCTGGAGAAATGAGAGGGAAGACAGCAAACCATGATGAGCCCAATTGTCTGGCAGGCTCATTGTGGCTGCTTGCTACTTCAGATGAACTCACTGTGATAATTTACTGTGATTGGTTTCCATGATGTGTGAATCCACCCCTTGTGGTCATGGTGAGGTATCGAGGCTTATTGCAGCCTCATTACTGACCCAGTACCTTTATAATTCGTTATGGAAGTGGTCATGCATAGAGACTTAAACATCACTGTTTGGTATTGTGCAGGTTTAATTACTGCTCTGCCCTACTTACCAAGCTTATGATTTTACTGAGAGTTCAAAGGGCCTGTCTCAATATGGTATACAGACTTGCAAATGCAAGCTTTAGATTTTTTTCTTCTCCTCCTAGGTTTAAGAACAATAGTGTCTCAAGGAGTGAAAAATCCTTTATTAGATTTAACAGCTTTGGAAGATAAATCCTTAGATGAAGTAAGTACAGGAGATTTAAAATTATAAATGTATAATTGCATAATATATGAATTAGGCATTAGTTCTACTGGTCTGGCACTCTAGTGCCAAGTATATGAGGAGGTACATAGTCCTCGTGACCACGAAAATCTGTAAAAACTGTGAATCCCGGTAGAGTGTGCACTGCTGGTGGATATCTAGCTGATTTTGGGTCAAGATTCCTAGTGCTACATCTTGCAAAGAATGCTAGAGTAAGTGGGTATTTGCCTGATCCTGCAAGGCCCAAGTACTTAAGCAAGTGCCCCTATTTAGACTACGTAAGAGGTCAGTAAACTGCTAAGAGGTTGAATGTATTGGTAGCCTAAAGTAATATCTAGTGTGCTTCTAAAACACAGTCATGAGAGAAATTGCCTATCAGCAATATATTGCATGAGCTTTTGTATTCGGAAAGGGCTTGTTTTTCATATTTCCCTTTGACTCAATTGAAAATTGGGGTGGTTTTCTTGACTGCAACCAATTTCCTGATTACTTGAAAGTAATGAATCATGATTTGGACACTAAAAGCATAATAACTCCCTCAGAAAACCAGGCTTAATTATGTACACTTGAAGAAGGGATGAGTAATTAAAAGTTTGGGATCTGATTTCCTTAAAAGTCATCCTATACATCATTCTTCCCAACCTCACACCCTCCTGATGTGTTGGCTGCGGTTCCTATAATACACAGGTAGTGTGCCATTTCCCTGCTGGCTAGGAATGAGGGAAGTTGTAGCTTGACAGTTCAGGAAAGCATGAGGTCAGAATACTGTAAAGTATTGCGCCTGAGAGGAACTACTGTTGAAAATTCAATTGTTTATTGGGAACAGTGTATAGCTGTCAATTTGTCTTGCCTTGTATGGCAGAGTTTTGACATAGGGAGTGGGTTCCAGAGGCATTTAACCATTCAGTTACATTGCATTGCTTAGCTGAAATATCTCTGCTTTGATGGCTTCAGTCAAGCACAAAACAATGAGTCTCTGTAAGCGACCTAAGTGCATTTGTCACAGCCCCTGCTCTAGACCCCATCATAAAGTCAGTAGACCAGTAATTCTTGCTTACATTTTTTTTTCTCTCATCAACCATGACATAGAATACTCAGACATTTCATATTTGCTTCCTTTTCAGGGTTATGGTATTTCTTTGGCACCTTCCACTTCCAACTCTGCAAAATCAATAAAGGAGAGTAGCAATGCTGCCATTATAAAACGCTTTAACCATCACAGTGCCATGGTTCTTGCAGCTGGCCTCAGGAAACAGTAAGTTTCAGCACAGAACTAGACATGAGAATTCTAGGGCTGTAAGGAAAACCTTCCTGATCATTTAATAAGCTGCAAGGTTGTTCTGATTCTGCAAGGACAGAAGCCCTATTGCACAACATTAAATGTTGCTCATGGTTTATTACATCTAAATGGAGATACAGTCACTATGGCAGGACACAAACCACCTGCTAAACTTCATCACTAGGATACATAATTCTGTTTAAGCTTAACAGGATTTCACAGTGTTTCTATTCTGATAAGCAGTGGTGGATTTCAGCAATTTTTTTTTCCAATTCTGCAAATGCCCATATTTTTTGCACACATGAAACATATAGATGCATTTTAGGTCACATGATTTGCGCAAATGGGATGGCCTTTAAATTTGCCAGACTATTCTGTGCTTGTCAAAGAACTTGTCAGCTCCATCCTCTGCTTCAGTGCTCCCACTCCACCTTTGCTGGGGAAGTACCTGCCCACCAACCCACCCACTCACACCAGTCCATGCGCATATAAGAGTTCTGTCTGTGTGTGCACAGGGATCAGGGGCTTTAATTCTAATCTGAACTCTAATCAAACTTGTGCTGAATGGTTAACAAGAAATTAATACAATGTTGAACTCACGGTTTTCAGAGAAGCACAAAATGATCACTACAGTGAGACCAGCAGTATGGATGGAAATTCCAGGGATTCTGATTTCTTTCAGCCGCCAGTAAAAAAGGTAAAGCTGCCTGTGTATCTTCTAAATGAACAGCATGCAGATTCTGTCCCTTCCTGCAGAATGTAACTGCTACATCCTTATCAAAGCTCTGACTACATCTATCTTCTAGGTAAAGCTGCAAGAGTCCATTGAATATGAAGATTTGGAAAACAACAACAGCATTAAAACTATTGCACTAAACTTAAAGAAATCAGATAGGTATGTTCTGTAGCAAAAATACCATGCTTTGGTTCTTTTATAATAACAGTGAAAACGTTGTTGCTTGAAAAGAGCATTTTTCCCTGCTGGCTTTTTCTGTTCATTTCAGGAAAAAAAATTCTTTTAACTGAAGTATACTGAAGAGTACAGGGCATTCAATTATGTATTGTATGGCAAAAAGTAAAGTTCCTGCCTTCATGCTTAAAACTTACCAGATGCACAGTGGAGAAATAGAGAAAATGAAAAGCTAGAACATCTTTGAGTTGGATCCAGAGGTGCCTTTCTGAATAGTGAAACTTTTTTCCTCTTTTGGAAGGATTGTTTACATTGTCACCAGACATTTTCCCTATGAGGGAAATGAAGCTAAATTCAAATATATTTTTGTTGTTCAAGAGCTGGAATGAGCAAATGCGTAACAACTGCTGGGAGAAGTGTTGTATAACAGTTCAAAATTGTATGTTCTCATCTACAAGAATATGTGGAATAGCACTAGCAACTATTTTTCTTCCACTTAAAAGTCTTTGAACGCAACTCTATTTCTCACTTTCCAAGTTAACTGAAGAAATTTTAAGTTATTGTAATTTTTTCATTGGCCCATGCAATGCTTTATCACTTTTGTTTGTCTGTTAGCATCTTCAGAATGCTAATTTCTCTGGCTGAAATCCTCACAGCTGTGTGAATATAGATTCAAGTACACTGTTTAAAGCAAAAGCCTCCCAGAGCAGCTTACAGATGAATTAATACAGTCCCCTCTGCTGGGTTTACTGTATAAAAGACACAAGACAAAAGGAAAAGGAGATGACTCAGATTAACATACTCTTGAAGTTACTGACCATCTGAAATAGAAACACTTAATCTTGCCTGATGGAGTGATTACAACTGGATGACAGATGAGGAAGAGGCAGAAGGAGCCAGTCTGTCAGGACCATCCTGCTTCCCTTCTCTTCCTCTGCCAAATTCCATTTGCGACCATTTTTTTATCAGCAGTCTTTCATGTTTGCTGGATGCTGCTCCAAGGTGCTGCTGACACACAAGAAGAGCTTGTGGGAAGTGTCACAAGAGACTGTACTGCCTAATATAGCACAGTGCTGTTTTAAGTCCTTTGAATAGATTTTTATCTATTCAAGTGTAAATTTGAATTCTGGGTGTACATACTTTGGACCTGAACCTATATAGAAGTCTGTTTTACAGTCACAGTGGGACCCAATGCTGGCTCAGCAGGAAACTAGCACCACAACTTGAATTGAGGCAAAGTAGTCATTTCCAAAACAGGGTAGGTTAGCCGAATGAACAGAAAAGATCTCCACTGATCTGTCCGGCAACAAGCAGTTCAGCTCAAGGACGTACTAGCTTTCTGGTCTATTGGTGGGTCTCACCACAGCAGCACTGAATAACTGTCTCAGAGTTTAATATTAAATGGCACAAGCACACCTTTTTCAAATGAGTTCAAATTCCAAGCAGCTCTGAGGGATTTTCCAACTGGCATGGGAGGCATTCCTGTTGACACTCAGGTCATTCTGTGGAATACAGAAATGGCCTGAGCAATTGACACGATCGCCCCCAAGTGCCCTCTTCCCTCCTGCAGAGCCCAAATGACTCCTTGGTATATGCCAGAGCTGAGGACAGTGAAGCGAGAGGGAAGACAGCTAGAGCACAGATGGTGGAGAACTCGAAACAAATCCAGCCAAACGTGGCGTAGTACTCATTATCAAGCCTATTCCGTGGCGGTGAAGGCAGCAAGGAAACATTCTTTTGCTGCCAGCATCGTGTCCTCATTGTGTTGCCCAGCAGAGCTATTCTGTGTGGTTCAGGGCTTGTTGCACTCTAGCCCTGAAGGATATTTGATTGAACCCTCAGATGCATGCCGTGAGGAATTTTCATGACACTTTGAGGATAAAATCGCTTGAAGTCGTAGCAACATGGACTCCACATTTATTCCAGTTCCATCAGCAGAGGTTTCCAGTGTGCCGTCTTGTTCCATTCTACTGGATGAGTTTCAGCTTTTGCAGCCTGATGATGTGGACAGAGTGCTTGGATCTGACCTGCTCGCTTGATCCTTGCCCTTCCTGGTTGGTAGGAAAATCTGTAGAGAGCATTTGAGTCTGGGTCCAGGAGGCTGTTAATGCCTCTTTTAGAGAGGGAGTGGTGCCTTCCACTTTAAAAACAGAGATTATTGCACCACTCCTTAAGAAACCTACCCTGGATCCAGTCAATGTGACCAATTGCTGACTTCCCCTTTTTGGACAAGGTGATTGAGCAGGTTGTGACCAGGCAGTTCCAGGCTCTCCTGGAGGAACTGATTATCTAGACCAGTGGTGGCGAACCTATGGCACGTGTGCTGCAGCGGGCACGCAGAGCCTTCTCTGTCGGCACGCGAGCCAAGTCGCCCCAGCATTGCCCCAGCAGCCGAGCATCAGATAACAGCGCACACAGGGTCCATGCGCATGCTCGGAAAGGAGTAGCAGCGCTAGGCAATGAGGTCACAAGCTGCAATTCATTAGCTGCAACTTGTCCAAGCTTTCGCATGGCCAGTCAGTGCGCTGCCAAGGATTTTTTTTTTTCTTGGACTGGCTGTGAGGGTTTTTTTTCTGAATTAAAACCTCAGTATTCAGGTTTTATTGCAGTGTTGGCACTTTGCGATAAATAAGTGGGTTTTGGGTTGCAGCATGGGCACTCGGTTTCTAAGTTTGGCATCACTGATCTAGACCCATTTCATTTGTGCTTTAGACTTGGTTTTGGAATGGAAACTGCCTTGGTCTCCCTGTGGGATGACCTATGCTGGGAGAAAGGTTGGGGGAGCGCAACCATGTTGAGTCTCCTGAACCTCTCAGTGGTTTTCAATGTCATCAACCATGGTGTCCTTCTGGAGAGGTTGGCTAAGCTGGGAGTTGGGCATTACTTTGCAGTGGTTCTGCTCCTACCTGGCTGACTATCTGCAAATGGACGCGATGGCCTTCATGGCCCCTTCCAACTCTATGATTCTGTGATCTGCATGAAACTGCTGGGGGAGGTCATCATTTCCATCATCCCCAGGTGAGACAGTGACTGTTCAGAACTCAGTAATGGGCTGGATGTAAGCCAGTGAGATGCAGCTCATTCCAGATAAGATGGAGATACTTTTGGTGGGGAGTCTGTCTGTTCAACTGGGGAGTTTTCAACTTATTCTGGGTGGGGTAATGTTCTGCCTAAAAGATAAGATTCGTAGCCTTGGAGTACTCTTGGATTTCAAGTTGTCAGTTGTTGGCATGGTTTGCAGGAGCACTTTTTCTCAGCTCTGGCTGATTTATCAGCCGTGTCCCTACTTAGATGAGCGGAGCCTTGCCACAGTTATCCTTGTACTAGTAACCTCCCACTTTTTACTGTAATGCACTTTCTCTGAGGCTGCCTTTGTAAATGTTCCGGACCTTGCAACTTGTCCAAAATGGGCCAGCATGCCTGCAGATTAGGACCAACGTTCACGAGCATATCATGCCGGTCCTACACAGGTTACACTGGCTGCTGGTTGCCGTCTGAGCCCAATTCAAAGAGCTCATGATAACATTCAGGTTTGGGTTATTGGAGGCAGCACCTTACTTCATATGTACCAGCCTGTTCACTGTGGTCCTCCCCCTAATGAAGTAAGGGGGGAGTTTTCAAGGAGAAAGGCTTTTTCCAGCACAGCACCCCAACTTTGCAATTGAATTCCACTCAAGGTCCAGTTGGCACCTACTCTTTTGACTTTTAGGCATCACCTAAAGGCTTCTTTGTTTAACAGTATTTTAATACTGAATTTTTATGTATTATTTTTTATGCTGATGCCAACAGGACATGATCTTAAATGAGAGATTTATTTATTTTAATGTTTTATGTTCTATTCTTGGGTGTGGGTATGTGTGTGTGTGTAAATAATTGAGCATTTCATTCTACTTTTTCTCTGTTTTGATTTTACCTAATTCTCATGATGATGATGATGATGATTGGTCATTGTAATTTAATGTTATATTGTGCTTGTATTGTTTTATGTTGTTGGAGTTTAACATGTTATAAGCCACCTAGAAAGCCTATGATTTGGTGGGGCAGCATAAAAAATTGAATAAACAAATATATGATTACAATGAAATATATATAAATGCCTAACTTCTAATAGATTTCATTGATGTCTTGCAATAGAGGGGATTATTTTTGTTTGTGGTGCCAAAAAACCAATATGCAGCTTTTATAACAAAACAAAAAAGTGTCCTCACCACAGGAGATGGTGCCTAAAGGCATTTTTAATCACTGAGAATTAATTTCTTGTTCCTAGAAAGTTAATGATAAACTTTTCTGTGATCGACAGGTATTATCATGGTCCAACACCAATTCAGTCACAGCAATATGCAACTAGCCATGATATTATTAATTCTTTGTATAGTATTAGAGAAGAAATGGAAGTCTACGTACCCAAACTAACTCAGGTAAAATAAATGTGTTTGTTTTGTTAAAAAAATAATCCAACCTGGAGTCTGAGCATTCATGTACTTTGAGGATTTAATGCCACTGAAGCTGTTCAGCTGTTGGATATTCTTGTGGAAGGCATTTTATATTCCTTCTCCTTTACATATTGTGAAATAGTTCCAGAATTATTTTTTTAACAAGCATAATATATTAAGCTAGGAAGTGAACTTAAAAAAATAGATTTCATGATTTGCATAATCTCAGCAGATATAGTTTAAGCCACTTTAGTCTTGAAAATTGTAACAGCCACATGCGTAACCCCAGCTTTATTTATCTTTTGTGCAAACAGTGTGCTTTGCACTGTATGCAACACAATTGAGCAGATCTCTGCACCACGAAGATTATAATGGAAATTTTAATATAGAGCAACAAGAGGAACAGCAGAGGAGGCAGAAATGGCTAGAAGAATGTGCATTTGCCAGTTTTGTGTATTTGGGCTTATATGGAAACAAACTAGTTCACACTATTGGGTTTTCTAGCTTGTGATTGCGTATGGTACCTGATAGAGACTCTCTACAGTTTCAGACAGTCTTTCTTAACCCCACCTGGAAATGCCAGTGTTTGCATGGAGGATAGTTAATGTGAACCAAGCCTTCCACTGTAAACCCAAAAACAACAAGAAAGATTGCTCCCAGGACAAACTCACTTCTCTTTAAAGAGAATCCTCAGAAAGTGCATGTATAACTTTATCAAAGCCTTTACAGCAGGGGTCTCAAACTCAGGGCCCGCGGGCCAATTGCCGGGATGGGCGGGGCCCGGGGGAGGGGCCCTGCGGCCTTCAAAGCGCCGGCGGCGCCCGGGCCGGCCATGGGATGAGCGGCCCACCCCCACTGCGGTGGTGGAATACTTGATGCGGTCCAGCCTCACCCAGACTCTGCTTCCAGCGGCCCCCAGGTAAGTTGAGTTTGAGACCCCTGCTTTACAGTATGAGTGATATTGTTAGGTTCAGTCAGTTCCAGAGGTTAGGAGGGGATATATGGGGAAGGTGGTCTCATAGGTATATTGGAACCAGACTAATTTGATACATGGCCACACATCATAATGAGCTGCTTCATTTAGGATGTCACGGCTGAATTATAAACGTCATAGTGCTTTGCCAGTCCTTCCTTTGCTTTTTGTGCACCTGGCCCCCATGATACTGTTCTCTTCTCCCTTCTTCTCCCACCTTCAGAGGCTTAGCATGCAGGCAGTGAAAATTCAAATACACTGTGCTTAAGCATACTAATTTCTGGTGGTTTGGGGACTTAACTCCTTGCTTGCTTGTCCTATTTCTTATTAGGCTGATTTCTGATTTAGCTTTTCATTTCATTTGGTTAGATTTGAATTGTTTTAGAAGTGTCTTACATTTATATTGATATTATTATAAAATGCCCTGAGAATATTTATAGCTGTAAGGCCTCTATAAATATGATATATTTACTTGGGAGTATATCTGGAGTTGTCAGTATAATATATCACTAAAGTAAAATTTGTTCCGTATAGCAAAAATAGTGTGGCATATAGTGATTATGCCTGTTTATATAAGCCCTGACAGTGTAAATTGCGCCTTTGTTTGTGCAGTTAAAGTGACTGAAAATGTCTTGTGCCTTTCAAGGTTCTCTCAAGCGGTGCTGCAAGTAGTACTATCACAGCCCTGTCACCTGGAGGAGCACTTATGCAGGGTGGAACACAGCAAGCCATAAATCGTAAGTGCATGGTGCCTTTCTTGCTTCTGCATTAGCAAATATCCAGAATAGTCTCATGTGGCCATGTGGGCATTGTAGGCGAGTTCTTATTAGTATGCATGGCTAGTGAACAGAATTGATAGGTATGACTAGTGGTGCAGTCCAAGGTTTGACAGAGTACTTGTTCTGATTGGTTCACTTAGGACATTCCAATAGTTTGCTGACAAACCTTTTCTGCTCTATAGCACTCAGAGTACTTACAAATTGCTGCGTGTGTTTATGGTGTACTGCTCCATGTAACTGTGCTACTTCAGGTTATGCATCAGGTGTTAATGCAACACTCAAGAACTATTAGGCATCATGGAAGAAGATTGGGACACAACAGAACGAATAAATATAATGATCCAGTTTCCAGATCACAGTGGGGAAAATAAGCCTCAGAGGCTTATTTCCTCTCTACAGTCATGAGAACCAAGCTATTGATTTGAGGGAAGTGGGGGGAATGGCTTTGTACTTGTAAGGGATCCTCTTGCATTGCAGCTGATTTCTGAGTGGACAGATTCCATTATAAATGGAACTTATCCCCGTTTCTTTCAAACGACAGAGATGGTGCCAAATGATGTTCAGTCTGAACTGAAGCACTTGTATGTGGCAGTTGGAGAGCTGTTACGACACTTCTGGTCCTGCTTTCCTGTTAACACACCATTCCTAGAAGAGAAGGTAGGAAGGTTATGCTATAAGGCTTTGCTTATCACCACTTTACGAACACTGCAGCATTCTATTCTGTAGCAAAGTACGCCTCAGCTTCATGTGCTGGGACCTGTTGATTAATAATGAAAATTCTCCCTAGAATGAATAGTGTGTCACATAAAAACATCTATTACTGGGGGACACAATGAAAACTTTTATGTATAGCCATCTGTAGAATTGACAAAAGGACTCCTGATATAGCACCTAACTATTCAAAGCAAACATATTTTTAGATAGCTTCCAAAAATGTGGTATTGTCTACTTAGATTTTCAAGGGAACTTTGAAAATTAAGAGGTACAAGTAAAATGCTATAGAAATTATTTCAATATATGAAGGTATTATATATAAGTACATTGCATATTAAGCAGACACATTTTAATTTTTATACAAGTTTAAAGAATAACTTTTAAAAACTTGTAGCATGCTGAGCAAGAGTGTAGTATGCTTTCCCATTCAAGAAGAACATGTAGTGATATTTACAGTAAATAAATTTGCATTATTAGAAATGTGAAAGAACTAAGTTCTTAAAGCAAAAGAGTTTCATTTAACATTTTATTTTCTCTCGTTCTCTTAGGTTGTGAAAATGAGGAGTAGTTTGGAAAAATTTCAAGTTACAAAACTCTGTCCATTCCAAGATAAAATTCGAAGACAGTATTTAAGCACAAATGTAAGAAAAGAAAAGCCACTCCATTCTCTTACCCACCTTAAAAATCTAGTATTAAGGGTAGTGTCCTTTATTGTAGGGTACTATTGCAGGAGTGGCCAAAGCGGCTCTTTAGTTTATTTTGCAGCTTGCCACTCACTGCTGTGGGCGCCCACTTGCCACCCCTCCACTGCCCACAGGCGCCTGCGTGCCACCCACGGACACCTGCCTGCAGTTTTCAACCATCTGACATTTACTGTGTGTGGCAATTCTGTTGAGCAAGTCTGGCCACCCCTTTACTGTAGCATACAAATAATCATTGCCCATTGTTAGGAAGATCCAATGACAACGTTAAGGAGCTTCAGAGCTATACAGAACAGGTTTCATTAACTTTACAGATCTGGAGGTTTTTTTATTAACTTTCTTTTCTACAGTAAACAATTAGACCTACAGAAACAATTTCTGGAATGAGCAATCTTATTTTTAAAAAGAGCTGTATCTACCTGATTCTAACACATGATAAAATGGACAGCTCTGTCATCTTGTTGAACTCAATGAGATGTAACTAAAGACCTTGTGGAATCACTATCCTGCCTCTAAACTGTGTCATGATGGTGCTCTCTGCTCTTTCATAACTGAATAAATTCTGGCTTGGATCCAGGTTCTTCTTTCCATGGAGAGTCTGGTTCCATGCATCCAGGAAAGGTTTCTGAATAAGTAGGGCATTTCTGCTGCTAGTATTGAGGGAGAGGGGGCAATCTTCAGCTACTGCTATTTTATGTCCCCTGAAGTATGTTCTGGAAGATTGGGGGATCCTCTGGAACAGGGATGAGAGGTGGTGCTAGGGATTGCAGAACAAGGGGGGAAGTTGATGAAGATCGCCTCTCTTCTCCCCTTCCACTAACAGGAAGGAGCATTCTGAGTAGAACTTTCCCCAGAGAGAAAAACAGCTGGAATCAAGTGTTTGATTCTCCACTGGGGGCTTTCTTCTCTCTATTACACTTTGGTTATTATGGTCCAAGATAAGAATAAAGTTGTTCCCTTCTGTGCAAGTTCTTTAAAATTCTTTTCTAACTTGCTAGCTACATATTACTTGTGTTTACTATCGCTGGGTAATTGTTGGCCAGTAAAAATACCTGGAACACGGGAAATAAACCCACCTAGAAATGATACCTTCATCCTAGCATTCTACACTGTAATGTCACGAGTATCTGGGTCATTTATTTCTTTTTGTAATTAGAAGTAAGGGTGGAATAAAAGTCTTCGATGTTGATCAACTTATTGATAAATTTTATTGTTAGTTGTAACAAGCCTTATATCTCTTTCAGCTGATAAGTCACATAGAAGAGATGCTGCAGACAGCCTACAATAAATTCCACACCTGGCAGTCCCGGCGTATGCTGAAAAAGACGTGAAGACATAGTGATGGCAAAATTTATGAGTGGGAAGAATTTGCAATAGCTGTAGGAACACAACTACTCAGTGTGTAGATCTTACAGACATTGCAGGGAAAGTCAGCATCATGTGGACTGTTGAAAATGATGCTAACTGAACCTGCAGACTTTTTGGAAAGAGGTCAAACTTGAAAACTAGGGCGTTAAAAGGAACCAAACCAGAAGAGCTAAGTGGCAAAAAAAAGTCTATATATAAAAAGACACTGTTTACTGCAGTTACTCAGGAACTGCTTTTGATTTTCGTAAAGAGCTGCTTTCAGAAATAAAACTTTAAAAGGGTGTATTAATAAAATCCAAGATTGTTTGTCTAGTTTTTTAAAGTGTATCACACAGGGTAGAACTTAACATTTCTTTCTTCACTGTATCCTGGCATTTTATTGAATTCTGTTTGTACTTCTAGAAACAAGTTTAACATTTTAAATATAATGGAGGGAGTGTTTTGCCTCAAATTCCCTAAGAGCATAGATGCTCTAAGATGTGTTTTTGCCAGGTTTCCCTACAAATCAACAGCCAATGCACTGAAAAAGTTTGGTGTTCAAAGGAGACACACATGACAGAAAGTGCAAAATTTTATGCAGGATTTTTACTAGCCATTAATTGCATGTTTTCCTTTGAGTGTGTGTGCTACTGCAGGTTTTTTTTTTAAGTATGACATTAGTTTGGAAGCGAAAAATAATTTTTAAAGTAAGCTTAAGCTTACAGAAGTAATAACTTTTTATATCTTTAAAAAAGAACTATCTTTAATGTGCTTTTCTCAGTTCTCTCCTGATGACTGTTAGCGCTATATTTGGCGACTAGATAATCATTGAAGAGTGAATTTACAGTACTTTAGATATATTTGGAATCTGTACCACATTCTGGTCCAAACAGGAGACAATTCACTCTTACCTAAGATGTACCTGCCATGTATTAAATACTTGACTTATTAAAACAAAGTAAACTTGTTTTATATAGTCCATGGAGTCAGACTCCTTATATTTTGTTGTCTTAATGTCTTCCTCATTAACGGTTTTTCCTAGGACCAATCAAATCGCTTAGATAATGTGCAATGAGATGTATTGACATTTCATGAATGATTTATTCCCTCATAAACTATGGCTTTTAGTGGCAGTGGTTGGAATTCAGTGGAAATATAGCAACTGTGTTCATGCCCAGAAAGGATTATTAAGGGAACTGGAATTGTATTACTAATTTAAAGTGTACTGGCATGAAGAATTGCTTCCCATCTTCAGTGTTCATGCGTTCTAGTACTCACCAGTTTGAATCAGAAGAGTTTCTCCTTGTGTAAGAGTGTGTATGTATGTACATGCTTACACAGTGCATTTCATTGATTTGAAATTTTGCAACAATCAGAATATTGAGCAGGCCACTGTATCTATATGAAAATATTATGGAGTAGATGTAAGGCATTATTTTTAAACTTGACGCTGCTTGCCTTTTCAAAGAGGCTGCATGTTGCTGTCTGCTACAGAAAAGGAAAACATGTTGTTTTGATGTTAGACCCAAAAGATTAAGTGATTTGTGAAAAGCTGCAATTAATCATGATAATAAAAACTGATGCTGCTATGGGAATTCCATTTGGCTCTGAAATATGGCTCTGGTAGTATGTGATTACTTGTATCCTTGGGTAAGCTACTCAAGGAAGTGTAATTAATTCTAATGATCTTGTTGGCATTGTACCGGTGATAGATTTGAACTACACATATCTTTGAGCATCACCTCTTCAGCAAAGTTAGTATTTGCCTGCATGTTTAAACTCCTTCAACACATTCTCAGATTAAGAACTCCTTTGGTTAGGCTTGAAGGCTACATTGACATGCACACATTCTAGTTGATCTTGCAGCTGCGGAGGTATAAGAAAAAATACTTTGCACAATTCTTGGAGCAATAATTAGCGGATGTGAATTATAAAGCTGGGTTTAGTTGAAATTATTGTTCGGAAAGGTAACTAGAGGGACGGTCATTTGGTAAAGCATCTCCTTCCTGATATTTTGGATTGTTGTAAATGTACAAGGTTTTGAAGAAAACCATAGTTGTAGAAATATTCCCAAGCAGACCTAAGCACTTTGAATGTCATTTTTAATTATTTGACAAACAAGAACCCTAAGATTTTTCCTATTAGGAGATGGCGATAACAATTTTCATGCACACTTTCTTTAGAGAGCACTTCTCTATCCTTGCCGTCCTACCTACACTGAGTACTTGAGCATGGTCCAAAACTATTGAGTGATGGTAGCTTGGGTTTGTTTTTGGTTAACCCATACAGTCTTTGGAATCTGAAGCAGAATTTGTATTTAATAGAAACTCATAGCTTGTATCACTGGCATTGATGAAAAGCTGTAGAATAAACCTGAATTCTGTAGTCGTCTTGTTAATGCTATAGGGTGTCTATTTTGTGACTTTAACCCAGAGCAAGCACCAAAGCTCAAGAAACAAAATTGTGTTTATACATCTGAATAATTTTTAGAAGTCCATAATAACAAATCACATTTAAATGTATTATTTATTTGTTTGTTTATTAAAACATTTCTATGCTGCCCCTTGCCGAAGCCTCGGGGCGGCTCACAACATCAAATAAAATAAACAATAAATTAAAACAATAACAGTATTAATATATTAGGCTTCTATTGCTGCCCTTCTATTGCTGCCCTGCTAGTATTTGTAATGTTCAGTGTTCTCATTACTACTGCAAACAAAAGCCACAGGAACTTACTAAATATTCATGGCAGGGAGAAACCTTGAACTGCCTCTGAATGTCTGAAATGTTGCCATAATTACATAATGAGAAGAACATTCTGAAGCCTGTGGAAGTACGCTACTGATGCTTATCAGAAGTGAGTCACTGAAATTAGAATATTGCAAAGGCCTTACAAAGAGGAATGGGTTCTACCCTTGTCATGCAGCCTCTGTCCTAGGATTGTCATTGATTTGCTGCTCTGCCTGGAAGCCTAGTGTCCATGTTTTACAAAGTCTGCATTCACTTTGATCAGATCTGAATCTAGTGATGGATTCTAGATTGACTGTTCTGAAGTTGCTGCAGAAATTTTAACCACCTTTCTGGTGACAGAAACTGTAGAGACCTTACTATGATTTCGCACTGTGAGACCCTAAATGGCTGTGTCCCAACCAATGGTGCAGCTAGGGCCAGGCTCTGGGATTGGAAGACTCCTTGCCATGCCCCTAGAGCCCGTGGAGGCCTGAAAAGACTAGAGAATGGCGGCAGCACCTGGGCCCACTCTAGACTGGCACTACCTACTGTAGCATTTTTAAAAGATTTTAAACAAAATGCATGCTTACAGATGATCATTTTATTCTTTTTAGTTAAACTCGTTTCCTATTTTTAAAAGATCTTATTTACAAGACAATGGACAGTAGTCTATACTGCTACACTCCCACTGGAACAAGATGGATTTTATGGTTCTAAAATCCCTGAAAAGGAATGGAAAGTATCATTTCTAGATTGGGATAGTCAGTGGAATTCTCTCCTTTAAACTCTGCTGACCTCCAGAAGCAAGCATTTCTGCTTATTTCACTGGGCTTGCAAAACCGCAAAAATCTCCTTTATGCAAATAATTACTCCTAATGCACAAACAATAGGATACTGCTTGATGTATTTAGTACCAGAACAGCAGATGTACACAGTTTTATTGCCATAGTCGTCATGATGCTGTGATTTAAGTGAGTAAAATGTAACATTACATGCTTAGAATTTTTTGCTTTGTTTTCTCAGGATTGGCAAACAGTTTGCTGAAAATATCAGAAACATGTAAGTGGTCGTAAATCAAGTACTACATAGGACTGAAGAAAAGTTCGAAGCAATGCATACAGCTACCTACAGGGGTCCTCACAAGACCATAAAATCAATAGTATAAAATAATCCAGAGTGGTTCCAACATACTTGAGATCCCACCATCTCACCCTTATATTAAGTTTAAAGTACAGTTCTCTTGATTTGGTCAAAAGTGCCTTAAAATGTATATAGTCTGTGCAAGTCAGGGCATCTCACCCAGAAGCCCTGTGAAAGAGAAACTTTGAGGAAGCATAATAAAGATTGGGGAGGGGGAGCATGCGAGGTGTCTTTTGACTGCAAAGATAGAATTAACACTTTCCCGCTCCATTGGCTTAATTGTTCCTGAGCTGCATATCTCATCCACAGGAGAGCCATAATATCCTTTAATGGTCTTCCCCCAATTACTGCAGTGATAACAGTACCGTCTCATGAGGGAATGCAGTTTGTAGGCATTTCATTAAAAATGCAGTGCTCCTGAAGGAGCCACCCCTAATAATTACCATAAGCAGCATATTTAATAGCATTGCTCTGTGTTCCCTTAATCTGGCTACTGGGACTATTGACCCAGTGACCTGGACTCTGAAATCTCATCAATATAGTACTGATGTCCAACTCTGAGGATGAGTGTGTTTGTTTTTTGCATTTGACACAGGGCTGTAGTCTTTGTCCTTATCACTGGCAACTATGATTCCATATGAGGGCAAATATGCACTGACTAGGCAACATGACACTCAGTAGGGCAAATGGTTTTCAGTATGAAGCATGTGCAACAGCTGGAAAAGCTCTGTAGCACTGCTGCTGTTGATACATCCTCAGGTGACAGGCAGTCTTCTAATTCCAGTGATTCCAGTAAGAGGTCTTCTAATTCGAAGTGTGGCCTTTTCTGGAGTGTGAGGACCTGATGACCATCTATGCCTTGGTAATGACTCTGATGGACTCCTGCAGTGGGTTTGGTATCGGCAGCCCTTGAATACCCTTGGAAGATTCGGCTTCTACCTACCACTTGTTGGGCAGCTGGGGAGGGGGAGAATCAATGTAGCCAACCAATGCTGTGGCGATTGAACTGACTTCCAGGTTTAGATCAGGGTGCTGTCCAAAACTCTCTGTAGCTCTCCTTGGCATGCTTTTGGAGAGTCGTTCTCTGTATTAACCCAAGCATCTCTTAAGATCCAGCGGCGATGCTGTGGAGGTCCTAATCCCCGCTCAACCATGCAATCCACTGGTGACCTGGGGCCACTTACTCCCTCTCAGCCTAAGCCATCACACAGGGTTGTTATTGTGAGGATGAAATTGAGAGGAGAACTTTGTAAGCTGCCTTGGGTTGCTTTTGAGAGGAAGAAAGGATTGGTATCAATGTAATAATTTTATCTTGGTGCTGGCCACAGTAATACTTTAACATTGGGCTGTACACTTCTGGAAAGCAATGTAGTGTTTTCCTTTTCAGAAAGTCTCCAAGAAAATGATGTATTCTGGCTTTTACCAGTTCATGTTGAATATTTGTGGGCTTCTTTCAAATTAAGCTGCTCATGTTGGACAAAACACTGGTTCTGTGCACAGATTCATAAAGCTAAGCGCTCATGCCACATAGCTATGAAATATTGTGACAGTCTCTGCCTTTCCGTTGTGTTGCTGTAAAGCCATCTGTCCCTTGTGGCACAAACACAATCCTGAAAAGGAAAGCAGAGCCCCTTCCTACCATGGAAACAAATCCTTGCTCCAAGGAGGTGATGTTTATTGAAGTGACTTTCTAAAAATGAAATGTAACCATTCACAACAGGAGTCATAGCAACACAGACTGTCCAAGAGGCAGCTCTCTTGTACTGTTCTTGCCCATGTGCTGAGGCTTTCATAGTCTACCTTTTGAATGGCGCATGTGAACACAAGATTAATTTTTAAAAACAATTTATTAACTGGCATGGAAAACACAAAAGTGGAAAGGAAGTGCCAAAACAAACAGAATGAAAATACAGTCTCAAAGGTGTCAGTTTTTTTAATTCATGAGCCCAGTATGTATTGGGGTGGAGCGCCTTTGTCAGGGGAGCACAGACCAGGAAGAAAACAGCTGCATTGCTGCTTTTAATGAAATTGATGTCTGTCTGCAAATCATGTTCAAAATACCTTAAGTTAATCACCAAAGCTCTGAGTGTGTGTCTGATGCTGGATTAGTGCAATGCATCAAATGCCTTGAGAATAGGTTGGATGTTTCATAGGAAAAGCCACAGTGGATTGGTTCAAAGGCCTAGCTAGTCCAGCACTCTCCACACATGCTGGCAAACCAGCTGCCCACAGGGTCCCCCAAGCAGGATGGGTGCAAGACCCCCTCCTGCCCAAGCTCCTTAGCAACCAGTGTATCCAGGCAGGCCACCTCTGGTCAAGGAAGCAGCACACAGCCAGCAAGGCTAGGGGCTACCGATAGCCTCCTCCCTCATGGATCTGCTCAATCCCATTTTAAAGTCATCCAGATTGGAGGCCATCACTTCCCATGGCAGCAAATTCCATATATGCTGCACAAAGAAGTGCTTCCTTTTATCTGTTCTAAACCTCCCACCAATCAGCTTTATGAAATGACCCTGGGTTCAAGTGTTACGGGAGAAAGAGAAAATGTTTCCCTCTTCTCTGTCCATACCAATGCAGAATGTAGATTGATTTGCCCAGGCTGACGCATACAACATGAAGCTGAAAGCATTTCATGGAAAGTCTGTTTGCTTCTCAGCCCATTCAAGCTGTCTGCATTTTAAAACTCAAAGCATCTCAGACCTATACCTTTTAAGCTGACCATATGAATTTTTACTTTATTTTATATGATACTATACAGCCATGAAATCCAGGCAGTATTAAACAGGTGAAATAAATTATACTGTAAAACCTCTTGTGTAATTTTTAACTCCAGAGAGCACTTTTTTAAAAAGATCCTGCTTGCAACCTCACATGATTGCATTGTTCATTCTGCAAACAAGGTACTGTGAGTGTGGCAGGCTAGTTGTTACTGTCGCTCTCCATTTATACCCAGGGGGGGCAACATGCCTGCTCCCACCTAATGATCCAATCGCCCAAATTTTCTGATAGCAGTCAGTTCAGACCTCTGGCAAGAGTGAGGTCTTCTCCAGCAGACCACCAGGAGGGGAGCACAGAGGTGACCCCACCCATTTCTGGTTTTGGCCTGGCTTTCCAACAGGATGCAATCCCTGACAGATGACCCAAGAGAGCACGTCAAGACAGCAGCTCACCGATTTGTATCATATGCTTATTAGCTGACCAAACAGTGTCATTCATGCTGCGACAAACAGCAGCGTTCGTTGTTAGGTGCTGCTACATGCCACGAGTATCTGTGGCATGATGGGAATCCTGACAAAATGCTTGGGCCCATCTCCGCCTGGCCCTGACATGGACTGGATCATTTTGGGCCTCTACACGGAGGCCTCATCTGACTCCTGCAGCCATCTTTGCCGCCACTGACGTCCTAAGAAAGCCAAGACATCCTCGAGGATTTCAAAGAGGAGGATGCCCTATTACACCGCAGGTACTGCGCACCTCTCCCTTCTTTTGTGTTTTGGCACATTCCTGTGGTGCGGGCATGTGTTCCTC